CTAAAGGAAATCTAGAGAATTACTCGTGGCAAAAGACTTAACTATACTAAAGGAATTACTTGTGGAAAAGACTCAACTATACTAAAGAAAATCTAGTGAGAATTACTCGTTGGCAAAAGACTAACTATACTAAAGGAATTACTCATTGGAAAAGACTCAACTATACTAAAGAAATCTAGAGAATTACTCGTTGCAAAAGACTTAACTATACTAAAGGAATTACTCGTTGGAAAAGACTCAACTATACTAAAGAAATCTAGAGAATTACTCGTTGCAAAAGACTTAACTATACTAAAGGAATTACTCGTTGGAAAAGACTCGACTATACTAAAGAAATCTAGAGAATTACTGGTTGCAAAAGACTTAACTATACTAAAGGAATTACTCGTTGGAAAAGACTCAACTATACTAAAGAAATCTAGAGAATTACTCGTTGCAAAAGACTTAACTATACTAAAGGAATTACTCGTTGGAAAAGACTCAACTATACTAAAGAAATCTGGAGAATTACTCGTTGCAAAAGACTTAACTATACTAAAGAAATCTGGAGAATTACTCGTTGCAAAAGACTCAACTATACTAAAGAAATCTAGAGAATTACTCGTTGCAAAGGACTCAACTATACTAAAGAAATCTAGAGAATTACTCGTTGCAAAAGACTCCAACTATACTAAAGAAATCTAGAGAAATTCTCTGTTGCAAAAGACTCAAACTATACTACAGAAATCTAGAGAATTACTCGTTGAAAAGGGACCCTCAACGATCCTGCGGAATTATCGGTGGAAAAGACTCACTATACTAAAGAAATCTAGAGCATGCTCGTTGCAAAAGACTTAACTATACTAAAGAAATCTGGAGAATTACTCGTTGCAAAAGACTCAACTATACTAAAGAAATCTAGAGAATTACTCGTTGCAAAGGACTCAACTATACTAAAGAAATCTAGAGAATTACTCGTTGCAAAAGACTCAACTATACTAAAGAAATCTAGAGAATTACTCGTTGCAAAAGACTCAACTATACTAAAGAAATCTAGAGAATTACTCGTTGCAAAAGACTCAACTATACTAAAGGAATTACTCGTTGGAAAAGACTCAACTATACTAAAGAAATCTAGAGAATTACTCGTTGCAAAAGACTTAACTATACTAAAGGAATTACTCGTTGGAAAAGACTCGACTATACTAAAGAAATCTAGAGAATTACTCGTTGCAAAAGACTTAACTATACTAAAGGAATTACTCGTTGGAAAAGACTCAACTATACTAAAGAAATCTAGAGAAGTGCTCGTTGCAAAAGACTCAACTATACTAAAGAAATCTAGAGAATTACTCGTTGGAAAAGACTCAACTATACTAAAGAAATCTAGAGAATTACTCGTTGCAAAAGACTTAACTATACTAAAGGAATTACTCGTTGGAAAAGACTCAACTATAAACTAAAGAAATCTAGAGAATTACTCGTTGCAAAAGACTTAACTATACTAAAGGAATTACTCGTTGGAAAAGACTCAACTATACTAAAGAAATCTAGAGAATTACTCGTTGCAAAAGACTTAACTATACTAAAGGAATTACTCGTTGGAAAAGACTCAACTATATTAAAGAAATCTAGAGGATTACTCGTTGCAAAAGACGTCTTATATATATATTAATAAAGGAAATCGTTGGAACAGACTCAACTATACTAAAGAAAAAAATCAGAGGAATTACGGCTTTGTTGCAAAAAAAAAAGACTTAACGATTACCTTGTGACCACCAGGAATATCGTTGGAAAAGACTAAACTATACTAAAGAAATCTCGAGAATTACTCGTTGCAAAAGGGATTAACTATACTAAAGGGAATACGCGTTGGAAAAGACTCAACTATAATAAAGACAATCTAGAGAATAATAGTTGCAAAAGACGTGACTATACTAAAGGAATTACTCGTTGGAAAAGATTCAACTCTAAAAAAGAAATCTACGGAATTACTCGTTGCAAAAGACTAACTCTAGATATATACTAAGGAAAAATTTTTTTTTAAAACCCCTTCGTTGGAAAAGACTCAACTATACTAAAGAAATCTAGAGAATTACTCGTTGCAAAAGACTTAACTATACTAAAGGAATTACTCGTTGGAAAAGACTCAACTATACTAAAGAAATCTAGAGAAGTACTCGTTGCAAAAGACTTAACTATACTAAAGGAATTACTCGTTGGAAAAGACTCAACTATACTTCTTTGGTTCCCACCTGAGTCTTGAGATCCTTCATCTCGTTCTCAGCCTTCTCTTTGTCCTCGCGAGATGTCAGCCTGGATGTTGACCAAAAAAATGGGCTGTTAGTGGTAAATCCTATACACCACATTATAAATGCGATAATAGATGATAATAGATGATAATTGATGATAATTGATGATAACTGATGATAATTGATGATAATGATATGATAATGATATGATAATCGATGATAATTGAAGGTAAAATGACCGTAAATTAGAGATAAAGGAGAATCTTCTCGGGGGTTCCTGCACGGATTTCATCATATGTAAGATGCATCACCTATCAACTAATATCTGGTCGTACACTGGGATTGTGTATCTAAATGTGCATGACACATCATGATCATCATGAAATCACATGAATTTCTGGTGGTGGTTGAGCCTACCCCTCTGAAAAATGATGGAGTTAAAGTATGTTAAAGTCAGTTGGGATGATGAAATTCCCAACTCTTCATGGAAAGTCATGTCATCCATTCATGTTCCAGTCACCATCAAGCAGATTTTCATTGCACCCCCAAACCTTGCCACCATGGGCCACCATGGGCCACCATGGGCCATCCATCCGCCCAGCGGCTCCTTCATCATTTCATCCATCTGAGCCTTCATCTCAGCGATTTGCCCTCGGCGCCGTGGATAGATCGATCATGGGGCCGTTCCTAACATCTCCGTTCAGAGCCCAACGAAGATCATTTTATGGTGATCACCCCCAATGGAACACCACCAAAGCCCAACATGGTCCCAAAAACAAAGCCAATTTCAAGGGGGGGAAACCGTAATGGTTTTCAAACCCCCCCATGTTGGATGAACCAATATATCCGCTCATCTGTCCGGTTCAACAGTGAAAACCATTGGCTCGGTGTTGGTTCGCCATCCCCTTGACGAGAGGAAGTCACGAGAAAGCCCGACTTTCCAATAGGACCTGGTAATGATCACATTCGAAAACTCTATTAAAAATGTCAAACTTTGAAAATACTGTGGATGTTGCGAAAACCTGCATGCCGTTGATAGAGGGTTTATCATGGTTTATCCCATGATTTTGTTGGGGGTTCAACCATCCGCTTCCAGTCGTGGTGCAAGATTTCGCTGGCCCATCCATCCACAGTATGTTGAAATCCCCCCAAAAACACGAGCCGTCGAGTCTCTTTGGGTCCAAGGGGCTTTTGTAAGTGCTCACGATCTGTGTCAGCGCCTGTTCCTCCCAGTCCAAGTTACGTTGTTTCAAACAAACAGACTCTGATCATGTGGGATGGATATGTGATGATCAATGGGTGAGACTACAAATGGGCTATACCATGGTATACCCCGCAAAAAAAAAAGGTTCTTTGTTCCGCCTTGTGCAATCTGTCGGCTTTTTCGATTTGCGGTTTGCATGTATGTACAGGATCTGACTGCGAAATATTGGCTTCATCGATCCTTTTCCCAGCCACCGTGCAAGTCACTCCAGGTGTCATATTGTCTTGTGCTTGATAAGTAATTTATTGTAATTTCATTTACAGTATTGGACATGGGAAAAAAGCGTTCTTTAAGTTTGTCAAGAACAACATCTTCCGTGTCCCAATCAAAACCATGAATCCTCCATTTTTATCTCATCTGGTTGGTGGTTGAGCCTACCCCTTAAAAATATGAAAGTCAGTTGGGATGATGATTATTCCCAACTGAATGGAAAGTCACAAAATTCATGTTCCAAACCACCAACCAGATTATATATATATATACACAATGTATATATATATATTCACTATATTAGGGATTAGGGATATAGCTATAGGATAATATAGGGGTTATCATCCATAATATATCATCAAATTTGGATTTTTGACTGATATGTCGACATGCAACAAACCATTCTCACCGCTTTTAGCATAGCGCGCGCGAATGCGCGAGGTCCTTCATGGTGATCTTTCTGGCCAAGGCTTCCACGTCGTCACTGATCTTGCCAAACTTCGTCATGGAGCTCTTGTGATCTTCACCTCTGGAAGTTTTTTTGAACATAGATTATCCCGTTACCAGCTGGTTGTGACTCACAGTTTGCCATGGAAAGATCCACCATGTTTAATGGGAAAATCACCATTTTTAATGGGAAAGATCCACCATTTTTAATGGGAAAGATCCACCATTTTTAAGTTCGGTAAACCATCTATTTCTATGGGCCATGGCTTCCATGGCGAACTGTAACAAATAACCAGAGGCTATTTTGTCGGGTGAAAAAACCCTCCGCTTGGTGGTGTGGCTTCCATGTGAAACAACCTACGGTGGATGGGCCAACGATACATCACCAGTTGGTACATGGTTTATCATGGTAAACATCCCATGATCCCATGATTTGCAGTGTTTTGAAAGTTACCCGGCCTGGTAAACGTTTACAGTTTGCGAACTGGAAGCCATGGCCCTAATCGAAATAGATGGTTTACCGAACTTCAACATGGGTGGATTTTTCCATGGCTATGTTAAATAACCAGATGGTACCAATAGTTATCAACTGGTGCAGGATTTTGCAACCATCCACCCTGTGAAACCTATGAACCTATGAAGGGGATGTTGAGTCAAAGAATGGGAAAGTCGTCATCAAACATGGGGCTGTTATTTTCAGCAACCAGAATGGTCAAAGATGACGACGGCGACCAATAAAAAACTGTGATGTCAACACACACTTGTAAAAAAATGTAAATGTCTAAACTAGCAAGAGCGGGGATCGAATTCCTCAAAATACAGGTGTTGACATGTATTGACCAAATTAAAGCAGGAAACATGTGGTCGGAAAATGACCAAAAATCAGCGGCAATCAACGGATCCCGAAATGTAGATCCCAATGGTCATCTCAATGGATACCCTCTGCATCCTCTGCTAAACGTGTACAGTTTGCTGGCGAACTGGAAAACGCTCCAGCTCGAAATAGTTGATTTACCCACACAAAATAGCTGGTGATTTTATCATCTCATCATATCCACTACAATTATATATATATTATATATTACACACATACCCATACTGATCATACTGCTTGATGTGCTGATTCTGTTTCTCCAAATCCTCCGCAGCTTTGGCACCTGCTTTGCTGTGCTCCGCCGCCGCTTTCTCCACTTTGATCATCAGATCGCGCGTGGCCTTCGCCTTGTCTGCGATGTGATCCGTCTTCACCTGCATGTCCTCGCGGCAAAGAATGAAACAAAGCCATAGATTTTGATGGTATATCACATTAACAATCATTAACAATCATTAACTATCATTAACGATCATTAACTATCATTAACTATCATTAACTATCATTAACTATCATTGATTAATCAGATTAATCATTCACCAGTGATGACTCTCATAATCAAAGCTGTGTCTATAATCAATGCATGTTGATGATATGCAAAACCATTGGCGAGTCGATCCAAAAATGGTATCCCACAATGATCCTTAAACAGGAGGGGTATATAGATCCAACAGTTAATGGATCATAAACCATCTATAGTATCTATCATCAGTGGATTTTGATGGTGTACAACATTATATAACTATCTAGCCATCATTAACCATCAATTTTTAGCATCGTAAACCATCAATCAACCATCATATAACCATTGATGTGGGTAAAACAATGCCAGAAACCACCCATGACTGGGAATGGTAAACATAGCACTTATAAAAATGGTGATGACTGGGGGATGCTTTATGGCATTGTTTTACCCACATTAGCAGATGTCTAGAGATGTATGAAACGGAGTTGATGAATTTAGACATATCCTGTGACACACTGTGTGTATACTGTATATGATATGTGAATATATAAACCATCATCCATCCAAAAGCATCCCTTCTTTATCTGGTTTATACATTGCGAAAAAACAAGTCCCGACTTGGCTTCGCTGCAGATTTCTCTGTGCATTCCATATCGGACCATAGGTTTCAATGCTGAATGGTCTAACTCAAAGACTTAGGGCTCCCCCCACTTCAGGACACCTCCATTTATGTCCATTTGGTCCTAAAATGGGGGTACCCCAAAATCCATAATCCATTTAATATTTTAGGAGTGTCCATGAACTAAACCATCTAGCTATTGGGGTACCCCGGTTTACAGATGGAAACCCGTATTGATCGAAACCAAGGGTGAAAATTCTTCAGGCCACACTACCCTCTGGTAAACTAACATAACTATGGAAAATCATCATGTTTGTCCATGTTTAATTTCTGGTAAATCAACGAAGTAAATGGGCCATGGCTTCAATAGCAAACTGGTTGGTGGTATGCCTACCCCGAAAAAATATGAGTTCGTCAGTTGGGGTTATTATTCCCAAGTCTTCATGGAAAGTCACAAAATTCCATGGTTCCAGTCACCAGCAATCAGCAAACTCTTAGAAATGACAAGAGGGTAAAATCGGCCATGACGACTCTCAGTGGACCTTGGCGATCTTGGCCGTGGAGGCGATCTTGGCCGTGGAGTCGGCTTTCTTCTGTTCCGCCAGGCGATTCGCTTCCTGCTGAGACCAAAAAAAGGAGGTGTTGCGGTGTTTCATGGGGAGTTAGGTAGGCTTAGTTTACCCATCATTCTGGGATAATTTTGGCATAATCATGGACTGGTTGATGAAAATTGACCTACCCCTCTGAAAAATCATGGAGTTAAAGTCACTGGGAAGGATGACATCCCATATATTACCCATAGGATCCATGTATGGTATATATGCTAACATTGGGGATATATTGATGGTAAATGTTACCATATATAGCATACATGGATCCTATGGGTTATGGAAAATAAAAAATGTTCCAAACCACCAACCAGTATATTGGTTTAGTCGGGAAAATGGGACAAATCGACAGGAAAAGTTGCTTTTCTCAACCCAACAAAAAGGGGTTTCCTGTAGAATAAGTTCCTCAAATCAATCCAGCCACTATCAATCCTAGTATGGAAATGTATGGAAGGTAAAATTTCGTATTACATGGAATGTGACCATCATTTTAGCTATGGGATAAGAATGGATAAGATGGAATTCCATAGTGAACTAAGGAAAACCCATGGATTTCCACTGTTTTATGATGTTTTATGTGTGTTTACTGGACAGCACATGCTGGTTCACGGAATCCTCGGATTAGTTCACCCCAATCATAACTGGACATTGCCCCTGTAAGGAGGTACCCCCCAAAAAAACTAGTGAGTTGGTATTTATAATGCCCACATTAACTATAGAATACTATGATATGATATATCTTGTATCCACCAGAACCCTAGTGGAATACTAGTGAACTAATCCAACTTGGCTTTCCTGTGGGCAGTCTGAAGAGGGTGTTTGAACAATTTTACGTTCAATAAAGGCAATATCTTGGGGATATTAACATGGAAGAAGATATGGTTGTGTATTACATGTATAAAAATGAGGTGGTTTAACCCTCCAATCGCAGTTTTATATAATGGGAAAACATACAGTATGATAAACCCGAATTTCAGACAAAACCACATTTAAAATCGAAAATCGTTACAGAAAAAAACATATATACTAGCAAGATATCGTGCAACATCTTTTAACATGTGCGATCAAATCTAATAGGGTACCTTCCTGTACTCAATTTTTTGCTGGTAGAAAGTCTACCATTTGGTTCGATGATTTTCCCATCAAACCTCCAAAAAAATGTGAAAATTGGCATGTTTGATGACACCAGAGGGTGTCAACCAACATTCCATCGAATATTCCATCGAATATGACCATTCTATCCTCATTGCACCGGCATGTTTGGCGAGTTTTTCCATATGTTTTTCCCATTAAAACTTCACAATTTATGGATTTCTTTCATTTGTTTCATAGTTTTTCCCATTTTTCTTGTTGATTTTCCCATCGATTTCTTTCATGATCCTACTGCTGAAGGGCACACTCAAACCGGAACACTGCAGCCGTTTTCTGGCCACTGCGCTGTAGCTACGCGTTTCGTCCTCTGTGGGACTCGTTCAGGCCGCGCTTGTAGCCAAAAAGGGCTTTGAAACGTATGCCAAATGTCTAGCAAGCTCCAAAAAGCATGCGCAACACTTGGCAAAAACAGCATGGTTTGTGCGCTTAAAAAACCAGAACCCACCTCCCACCACATCTGGTTGCGCAAAGTGCAAAAAGCGGAAGTCAAAGTGGTTAGTGCCAATTCAAACTGAAATTTCTCCTGAAATTGTTGCATTGGATGCTATAGGAAAGAAAAACTTCTACACGAGAAGTGAACCTAGACTGCACAAGAGACGCGTGTTTTTCAAAACACGTTTTATGACTGAGACGTTCAAAGAAGAACTGTACTGCTGGCGGAAAAAGAACTTTCGTGGTTGCTGCTGACTGGCTGTCGAGCATTCTAGTTTCTTGACAGTTTGCATGGCAAGGCGTCGTGCCTCCTCTTTGCAGTAGCCTCTGTGTTGCAGTTTGTCAAAAAACAGGTCTAGGTGCTTGGCAAAAGCTTTGGCATTCTTCCGGTTTGTTCGGTGTAGCCTCTGCGTCTCACCAATCACCAAAGCTTTGAACACACTGGGTGGGTGACATGAAGTCCGTGGCAAGTACAAGTATGCGTTCTGCGGCTTTCGGAAAGTCTCAAAACAAATGGAACGATCTCCCATCTGCAGTGTCAAACTAAGATCCAGGAAATTCACTGCCATACCGGAACCAGACATCTCCCAAACGATGTTCGGATGCCAGATGTTGAGTTCTTGAAGACACTCGTCTTTTGAGTCCAGAGGAAATATTGCAAAAGCATCATCTATGTAACGCTTCCACATGAAAATCCAGGAACATCTCTGAACAAGAAAATCGTCAAAAGCAGCAAGGTACAAGTTGGCAAACACGACGGAGGCTTGCAATCCAGTAGGTAGACCACTTTGTACATGCCATATGTCTGCTTCAAATTCGACATATTGTACGGCAAGCAGAAACTCAATGAGCTTGACTATCATGGCCCCAAAACTGGGCTTCGAACTCCAGAAAGACCTCACTTTGCTGGCTATGACACTGAGGAAATGCCGTTGGTCAATGCTGGGGTATAGATTCCGCACATCAAACGTGAACAAAGCAAAACCAGGAGGGACAACGCAATCCACAAGCTGTTTCACAAGATCTTGCGAAGACTGAATGACATGCAGCTGTCTTTGTAGCATAGGCGCCAGCGCTTCAGTGAGAAAAACTGACAAGGGGCTAAACCAAGCCTTGCTCAGGTTCATGATTGGCCTGCCTACCACTGGGGACTTGTGCAACTTCACTCTGAGTCGAAAACTGCCAACATTTTTGGAACCGAAATCCTTGCGGATGAACGCTGCTAGTCTGGTGGATATGGAACCCGCAAGCACTGATTGCTGCAAAAAACTATCCAGCAGGAATTTCAAATTGGCAGAGGAATCCAGGAAGTCTGCGCGGGAGACTTTGTACGAGGCTTCCTCCAGCAATCTCAAGCACTCTTGCCTAACCCAGTGCTTGGGCACAATTGCATCACCAAGGTTCTTGTCGCAATCCACTACGCTGATTTCACGTCGGTGTTGCCATAGCCATTTCCGAGCAGCTTTGTCAATGAAATCTTCATTTTTGACAAGTTCTCGAGGAGAATAGCTACTGAGTTCTTCTCGCAGCAGCCTGCCATATGCAGAAATGATTGGATCCTCTTTGGGCTTCCAAGCAGTTCGGAGACGGCAACGTCTGAAAAAAGTAGGTTCAAGTGCATGTCTGTCAAAAAACACTGCCGTATTCAAAGACCTTTCCAAAGCAGAAACGCTTGTCAAGACTTTAGCAGCTGAACTGGCACATCTGTCCGCCACAAACTTACCGCCCTTCGACAAATACGCAAGGACATACGTGGGGATCTCAACATCTGGCGAAGTCAAAATATGAACTGGCATGCAAAAACGACGTTCAAGCTGTACAAGGGACATTTTTCTCAGTCTAAACTTGAGGTACATGTCAAAGTCGATGCTCCAATCATCCTTCCAAAAACTTCGCCTCCTAGGTCTGTGTGATAGTCAAGACCTGTTGTGTGGGGCTGGGGTCTTCATAGGCACTTGCTTGTGACCGGTGCCCTTGGACTGCCCTTTGCCTCGGGTCTGCTTTCCTTTGCCCTTGCCCTTACCCTTGCCCTTGCTTTTGTTTCTGCTGGATGCCCTAGAAGCCCTCGAAGACTTGGCACTCTTCGCAGACTGGCGGGATCTGTGCGAACCAAGGCTGGACTGCCTACTCTTGATAGACGTTCTGGAGCCCGATCTGCCACGATCTTTGTCATTGGATCCCATGGGCTTGGACTTGGGCTTGGACACAGTTGAGCCGACCGAGATATTGTACTTCTTTGCCAAATCTGGATGCTGCTTGACAAAATAGGCCAGGGCACCGGTGGTTGGTACGACATGCTGTGACTTCTGTGTTCCGCTTTTTCCTGACAGAGTTGCAAATTCCAACACTGCCATGGCTAAAAGCTTATTGACGTCCATAATCCTGAACTCGGCTTCAGCTTTTGTAAGTTCATCCTTTCTCTTCTGTTTGGATTCCTTGTCCTTCTCCTGCTTGGACATGGCCTTCGGATGCTCTGTTCGGAAGACCAGTTCAGCAAACACCTTAAGTTGTTCTTGCAACCGAGTCTTGGCCTGCGCGCTCACCAAATTGCCATGCTTCTGCTGCCAACTAAGAAAACGATCTTCAAGAAAGATGAGTTGCTTTGTTGGGTGGACTTTGTCCTCAAAGAAAGCTGCGCACTGTCGCTGGTAAGCAAACACAAAGCTCTGGCATTCCTGAGCATGCCGGCGCCTCATCGCTCTGAATGCTGCCTCAATGTCGAACGGACCTGCAACGTCAGCTCTGTACATGTCCCTCTGACCTTCCTCAAGCAAAGCCGAAGTTGTGGTCAACTCCTGGGCGTTGGCTTTGAAAGCCTGAGGCCACTGCCAACTTCTGGTGCTTTCATCTTGGAACTGCTTGTGAAGTTCACCAGACACTGCAATGTCTTGATACTTCTGCTGCAAATTGGCTTGTGTGACATGCTGTTGCAGAGCATTGCGATAGTCACGGGCCCACTCCTTCAAAACAGGTTGGAGCGAAGGATCGAAAGTGCCGAGCATGTCTTCTGGATTGTTGTGTGCCGTGGGTGTCTGTGTTTGCTGCCTGAGCACATCCATCTGTTGCTGTAGCAACTGGTTCTGCACCTGCTGTGACTGAACCAACTGCAACAAAAGTTGCTGGCTACTTGGCATGTTCTGTGCTTCTGCTGGAGCTGGCAATCCTGGAGGTGCTGGCAAGGCTGCATGAGCTGGGTGTGGATGACCTTCATTAGGCCGACTACGACTTCGAAGAGCCGCGGCTGAGATCATGGAATTAGCACGAGGTGCAGGACGCTCCATGGCGAATGTGCTGGTAGTTGCGAACACTCTACTGCTGAAGGGCACACTCAAACCGGAACACTGCAGCCGTTTTCTGGCCACTGCGCTGTAGCTACGCGTTTCGTCCTCTGTGGGACTCGTTCAGGCCGCGCTTGTAGCCAAAAAGGGCTTTGAAACGTATGCCAAATGTCTAGCAAGCTCCAAAAAGCATGCGCAACACTTGGCAAAAACAGCATGGTTTAAGCGCAAAAACAGCATGGTTTTTTAAAAAAGCATGGTTTTTTAAGCGCACAGCATAGTTTTTCCCATTTTTCTTGTTGATTTTCCCATCGATTTCTTTCATGATCCACATCTTTTCCCCATTTCTCGGTGAACGACCCCCAACCCCCCGTTGGACGACCCGTCCGAGCTCGGCCTCCAGCTTTTCCACATGCGTCTGCACCAGAGCTCCGGCTTGGCGCAGGGCGTCATAGATCACTTTGGGCACGGAACGACCTCATCTTCATGGAGCCCATGGATTGGTTCAAGGGAAAATCTACCGGAAACCCATGGGTTTTTACCATGAAAAATATGGTTTTCCTACCGGAAACCATGGTTTTTACCATGAAAAATAGGCTTTTCCTGTATCTTTCTCAATGGATTGGTTCAAGGGAAAAAATTAACCAAGGAAAACCCCCATGATCTTCATGGGAAAATCGATGGTTTCCGGTTGAGATTGTCCCGACAAAACCAATCCATTGACATGCGCCATAATATGCCAATGTGGAATTCTTTATTGGACAAACCATGGGATAACCACGATTTTAGATGATTGACCATAAACCTGATTGGCATCTGGTTTGTCTTCACAGTTTGAGATGGAAAATCACCATTTGCAATAGGCTGTAGTAGATGTATTTCGGTCGATTGTCTATAAATGAACCAGCTAACCTCGAATTGATAGGTGTTCACCTATCACATAAAGAGTCCTAAAGGCAGACAACTCATCCAATCCTCGGGGGCCCCTTAGGGTCATCCTCCGGGAAAAGAATGAGCCGAGGTGTCACCCCCAAAATGGAGGGTTTTGTGGCCACCTTGCGGGTGACAAGAGTCAAGTATACGTAGGAATAAAACACAAAGTCGAGCAAAAAGTCATAAAATGTCATAAATATGAAATTATTATGATTCATCATATGATTCATCATATATGATACATTATCATACTATTCATACTACATGACAGAAATTTGGAATGGAAGCCCACCTATCTTAACCATGGACATGGAACCAACCCAACTGGCCACGGCACTCTCGGCCGTGTGCTCTTCCACCTCTTGCATCTTGGCATAGCTCCGTGTGCTCTCCACCAACGGCAAGAAGAGAAGGGCCAAGCACACACCTGGCGCGCTGGATGGCTGTCTCGGTAGTGAGGATAGATCACTGGATCTGGGTGAAACCTGCACAGAAAACACCTGCCATTAAAAATTATGAAAGTCATATATAGTCATGAAAATATCACAAAAAAAACTGGTGCAATTGGACATCGTTTAGTTGGGTCATGTTGGGTCTACCACATTTGCAAACAGCTTTGGGATGAAACCCTGGCAGCTTACCCCGGTGACAACAGCCAGACGCACCTCGAGTCATTGTCATGTTCTCGTCGAGTCACGTTCGCAGAATGCGGCAGGCTGAGAGGTTTGAGAGTCAGTCGGCTGCATGAAATTCAGTGAATCCGATACTAAACCAGGTTTACTTTTTTGGGAGATACCCTCTGGTAAATAAACCGTTGGACCCTGACTTTATGACCCATTTTTAATGGTTTCGCTAGTCTTCCAACCCCGTTTTCTGCCAGGGTCTATGTTAATTTACCAGAGGGTACTCTTATGCATTATGGACGAATTGGAGGTTACTGTACCGCTTAAAAGCGTAGAATTCCATGGGGTTCACCCGACCCATCTGACCGTTGGTGATTGGTGACTGGCCTGATCTGAAGCCCAAAAATTGGGATTTGTGTTGTCCCATTACCCCAAAAGGCACATCATAGGCACATCATCTCTACTTATGTCTACCCTCTGGTAATTTGTTCCATAACTATGGGAAGATCCACCATGCTATTCATGGGAAAATTCAGTATAAATGGTAATGTTCCATAGTTATGTGAAAAATTACCAGAGGGTACATGTCTACTTCACCCACTTCAGATTCCTGTGGAACCACCGGCATTTTTTTTTAAAGAGAGCTGGTTCCGCTGCACTTCGCATCTTTTCCTCTCGTGCCGCTGGCTGCCAATGCCTGGACCACAGCGATGGAGGTTTCACCAAGCACAATGGGACTTTGACCATGAAACATTGGAGGAACGGTGATTTTAAGCCACCAGGGATTATATATATATTATCTCTTATGGGGATTTAAGCAACAGATGGGGATATCATGGGGAGAATGGGAGATATATATATATATAAATATCACCCTATGCGCGACCGTGCTAGCCGATCTGAATTCGTTGAGGCGAGCCGCACCGGAAAGGATCAGTGTGCTTGTGGAAGAAAAAATATCACCAACAATTATGATTCATGGTTTTGTCTGAATTTTAGGTATACCCACTATACCCCTTTTTTTATCACAAATCGTACAACATCAGAGGTAAAATGAACTGGAATGAACGAGTGCATGTGGGGTGTACCATGTACCCCATCTTCACCAAATATTATTTGGGATCTTCGCTTGACTCATGGAACATGTTTGCAAAGAAGCGGAGCAAAAAGAGACTGCAGTGTGGTACATCATATTGCCTAAAATCTGGTTATCAAATCTATTCAAATCGCCGCACTTCAAATGGCCATAAGGCTATGGATCAATACCTATAAATAGCATGCTATTTTAGGGGGATGAACATCCATATCCATGAATCGCTCAAACAAATGCAGGGTTAGGGACAGGGTTTTGACATGTGACCATTTTGACCCATGAAAAAATGGCCCAACTTAAACTGAGGACCCATCCCACTATGAAGTCACGAGATCGCCAGCTGTCTGTGCCCAGGGCCGGCCTTAGCAACTGATCTTCGTCTCATCGCAGCAGCCCCAAACCTCGACTCCGCAGCCCGAGGCATCTGCCTGAAACCACTGGATTGGCAGAGACCATGAGAATATGATGGAGAAACCAGTTAGATTTACTGAATGTTCACTAACATTGAACTAATATCCCAGTAGTAGATCTCATTATATCCCATTCTTCACTAATTTATCTGGGATAGATAGAAGAATCGGTAATATAATGAGAATATACTACGAGAAGCCTGGGATATCCTGGGATACAACGGGATCAAATGTAATGTTCACAGAATGGGATTTTCTAATGGGAACATGCTATGGGATATAAAATTGATAGAATGAGATACAAAGGGATATATAAAAATAACTCATAATGGGATATAGTGATCCAAGAATGGGATATGTTTTCTGTGTGTGTCTGTGTAAACGATGCTAATTAGTACTAATTTGACGGCTTCAAATAGCAGGTGCTCATCATGTGCTATTTTCATGGTACTACCAGCCGCTTCTGCAAATCATTGCGCTGGTTTCGCATGGGAAAACCTAATGGTTTTGGGCCAATGTTGTGAAACGCCTAGATGAAAAACATCGCTGAGTCACGTTGCCAGAACAATTAACCCCCGCAAAAGATACAGTCGAAATGTCATATGTTCGGACAAAATTTAGGATCGTGAGATATCTTGGGATATCTTAGGATTGGATTTTGCTCTGCATCTTTCTTTCTTTCTTTCTAAATGTCTCATTTCAGTCCCCAGAAAACGTCCCCGAAAACGTCCCACCTTCTTCACGTATTTGCAGCCCGTCTTGGTGCCGCAAGTCTTCCAATGAACCTTTGCACCACCACCTTTGAGGCATTCGACATGGCACACAAATGACACAAAAAAATGCACAAAAATGGCAAAACATGAAGTTGTGCTGACCCTTGGCTGGTTTTACGAAAGTGAACCGGACCTATGTTTTTTTTTGAAATGGCAGAGTTTCCGCCCAAGCAAACAACGACTGAGCCACTCATCAAACGAACAAGATTTTGGTGCTACCACAAAGTCCTACAATCAACCAGGTTCATTTTCTTCCTGAACATGAAAACCCTAAAACTAGTTGAGCCAGGAAAAAAATACCCAGTTTTCCGATGAAACGCTGGTTGAGAATGGGATACCCAGCAGGCTGGGTTCATAGCACTCTATACCCAACTGAGAACCATACCCTATAGCTGGGTGCAATCAACGATAGATTCATGATACCCTTGGTTTTTTTTCCCTCCTGTAGACATTGCCGTGTCATCGTTTTAAACCCATCATTGGTTGGATCATGATGTTGCTGTTTCCCCGAAGGGGATCCCGCAGGGACTACTGGATCTGAAAAAAAATACAGCAATCCCGTCCCAGTTTGTATCATCCTATGATGTACTTAAAAGACAAAAATATGTTCACAATATCATTGACAATTTTGACAACAAAAAAGGAACATTGAACCAGTAAAAGATAGTAAAAGACTATATAAATGAATCAACTAAGAGTCAACTGTGCATCGCAGCTGGTTATTTCACTTGCGCTGCTCCCATGTTCCCATGTTCCGAAGCCAAGCAACACTCAACTTCCGGCTCTGGCGGCACATCATCTTCGGCCCTCGGGGATACCCTCTGGTAATGACTGACATAGCTATTGAAAATGGTGGATCTTTCCATCGTTTTTTGTGGCTGTTTACCAGAGGGTAATATTAAGAAGAGTACAGATGTAGTTCATGATAGTTCATGTAGTTGTACATTGTACATACTCTTTGTCGCTTCATGTATAGCGATATATATATATATATATTATATATATATATATTATATATATATTATATATATATATTATATATATATTATATATATTATATATATATATATTATATATATATATTGTACATATAAAAATACATGGAAGTCATGGCTCAAAACCCCTCTACCCTAACATCCCATAGCGGCTAGTTACTGCAATGGGTGTTACCCTCCTGCACTTTTGGATCAACTTCCCAGGAAGACCATGGGTTTTTTAGTGTTTTTTGGCCGCCCGTCCATCCAAATCAGCAATTTTTGGATACCCAACTCACAGCACCTTAAGATTCGAGTTGCCCAAATGATTGTACTCGAATCTTCAAATGGTCCAAATCTTCAAGTTTTTAAGGTCAACACAGTAAACACATCATTATATATAACATATCGCTTGAAGAACGCAACCCAGTGATGTGGCTAAAGCATGCTAAAGCAACATGTTTTTGGAGTGGTAAATTCTGGTAAATCCACCGATATCCCATCCCTATCACCAATTTCATAGGTGGTCACGACTATCATCCTCAACTGGTGATTTCCCTTCACATGGCTTCTTAAGTCGAAGAGACTCTGGTTCCTCCTCAAGCTTAGCAGTGTGGACTGAGAAAACCTAACAATGGCCCGATCCATTCAAAAGTGGGTCAACGAAGGTTTATGGGGTTGGGTTTATACAACAATATTACTTAAGATATAACCATTGTTGATATAACTTGATACTACTATATAACATTATATAATATGATACTTATATCACTATGGCTTATATAGATATAGATAAACCAGTAAACATCCATAAACCTTGTGAAAAGTAGCAACATGTACAAACCAGGTTCAAACCAAGTACAAACCAACTTAGCAAGCATGTACTATCATTTATTGGCACCACCATATACTTGGATTTGCTTAAGGAACCCACTCACCAGAAAAGAAAACTATAGACTCCCCAAATGGTGGTTTTCTCATCACAAAAATAACACATCACCTGGCTCAAGAGCTGGGCCATTCTCAATGGGATGTGCGTCCAAATAGGAAGTGGGCAAAAAAAAACCTATATAACACATGTATAGGCCACAGATAGATAGATATACATATATCATATAAACTAACCTAGATATAACTGGGGTATAATATAATATAATGTAATATAATATAATATAATAAAACATAATATAATATAATATAATATATATAATATAATATATAATATAATATAATATAATATAATATAATACCTGCGAACTCCAAAGTATGCAAAATTTCTGCTGTTTCACAAAGAATTGCCTTTTCAGCCAGCCGGCGATAATTATTGTTGGCGAGCACTTTTTGATGTTTTCAAGATTTTGGAGGATTTTGGCTCTGGAATGGTATTGGAAGAACACCCCATAAGATCGTTGCAACAAAATAGAAGCTAATTGTCACTAAAGTTCAGTTTGAGACATCAGAAACCAATACATTGATTATTAGCCCTTATCATGGATCCAGTCTTAATTTATCAAACCAAGATTTACCCCTTGCAATCGTTCAACTCTTTTTTGCCCCGATGATGCTGTCATCGTGGATGCTTTCAACCTCGGCAGCCAGAAGATCCCAGGTGCTTCTCGCATGTTTGGGCAAGGGTGGCATGGATTCAAAACTACAAACCATGGCCCATTGATGTCCATGGTAAAAGATGGTGAAAGCAAATCCTGTTGGATCAAAACATAATAAAACGTCATAATAAAATGGAGCAAAGTGGGGAGGGGAAGCGGCAGGAATTCAATGCTGAGCCATACTCAATACCCTGACAGCTTTTGGTGCTTAAGGAGGGTCTTTCAGGCTTCTGGTTTGTTTCGTTCAGCTCCCATGGCTGGAGTCTTATCCCTTCCACACCTTTGGGAAGGAGATGTTGGCATCCGGGCGAGGGCTAGACATGAACAACAGCTTTGCGTATGGCCAGACCAAAGGTTGGTGGGCATCCCATCCATTCGCGCATGTGTCCTCAACGCTGTTCCCTTAACCATTCTTGCGAGGTGGTGGACTTCCCAACAGACCTCCCCAGCGGCTATCCCAATCAAACTTCTGAGAAGTGAGGCCTGGTTTGAAAATCAGGGGCCAAAGGTCAAAGGTATCTTTCAGAATTGTTTGTTGTTTGCCACACCCTGGTCTTCAAAGTTGTTTCCAACAACATGTTAATTTCAATTCATCCTGCCACCTCGATCCATCACTTCACTGCAGGTTACTGCATGGCGGGTCTTGAGCGCTTTGGATAGTTCAATCGCTTCAGTGACTATGGACAGTTGGGGGTTGAAACGCTTGTTCTCCCACGGGTTGCGCCGCTGGTTGAGTGGAGCGCGAAAGCCCAAGGACACATGTCAAAATTCAAAGCTGAGTATTCAAACAGGGCTACTTCTGGTATTTACTTTAAAAGCTTCTCAACAAATAGATTCCTTGTTGGTGAGTTGTTGTCAGAACCCTGTCAACTAGTCAGCGCCAGGATCCCTCTCTCAACGAATTTTGGGAAGCCTTGGACCATGCGTGGGGCGGTGGTGATGGGGCTGCGGCTGCTTTCGCTGCTGGGGGTCATGATGGGATGGACGATGATGATGACGATGAACCTGAAGATGGTGGCATTGTTTTCCCAGGGACACCCACCGCTACTGAGGCAGCTAGTGCCGCTCCAGAACCTGAGGAACGCATGCCTCTACCTGAGACCTTGGAACCTACCACCCTCACGAGCCAGGCTGTTGAGGAGATTCAGGAGAGCCAGGTCGTTGAGGAGATTCAGGAGAGTCAGGTGATGGAGGAAACGGATGCCTACCCAGAAACCGATCTCTTTGCTTTGAACCAGCTTGACGCTGAAGTGCCAGCCACCCAGCCAGAGCCAGAGAGCCCAGCTGCTGTTGCCGCGGCAAAAGCTGAGCCCATGACTTATGTGGTTCCTTCAGCCGGTTCGCCCCACAGCTCTGTCAACCTCACGGATGCCGACGGCACCAAGGGGGAGATCGAGAAGAAGAGGGCGAAAATCCTTCTCATCCAGTCGGGGGTTTTGAAACTATCAGTGTTAACATCAGTAAGTCACAACATGTATACCCATGACTTTCCTTTGAATACTTTTCACGTAGGTCCCAAAAGGTCAGATACAGAATCAATACAGAAAATCAAAACCATAGCCGGTTGCTCATCCAAATTCATCAGCTTTATTTTGCCTTATTACTTGATCCCTGAAGGTCCATCATGGCTGGTCGTGAAGGCCTATTGCGTGGGAAATCCAGTGGCTTTGGCTTCCAACTTTCTTTGGTAACAGTAACTTCTTGGGATGGGCCCAAACCCAAACAAGATAGTAGCAATCAAAAGTTGATAGCATTCAGGTGTGAACATCGATACCGTGCAGACCGTCCCAATGACTGCCGAAGAGTTGAATGCTAGTGCCGCGGCCAGCGCAGCTTTTGATGGGGACGTGCTCACCATTGAATCCCAGGAGACAACCATGCCTTTCCCATAAAGAAATGGTGGATTGACAACATGTTCAATGTTTTTGGGGTTGATCTTGAGCACAAATAAGTGCCCCAATAGATTTTCACTTTGGCTGCCTGCCCCCATGCCAATGCCAGGAGCTCTTAGAAGACATCGCACCTGTGGCTCCTCCTCCGCTTGGCAATGCTGGCTTGCCTGCATCGGGCAAGAGTGACGCTGCAGCGGGGGATGAGATCAAGGACAAGGCCATTGCAAACAAGAGGGCATTGGACCGGGATGAGGGGGACAAGAAGTCCAACAAGTCCTTGAAACCTGATACGGCCAGGGATGCGCTCAGAAAGCCCTTTGATGGGGATGTTTGTCACCTCATGGGAGAGGAACCAGGTGTCCTACTCCGCCGAGAACAGCTCAATGCCGATTTCAGGGGCGCAGCACATGATGATGGAGAAGATGATGAAGGAAACGGTGATGGTGATGATGGCGAAGAGCCTGTTGAGAAAGCCAACACGACCAAGCCCAAGCCTGGAGCCAAGGGAAAAGCGAAGTCCAAGGCCAAAGCGGCCACAGCCAAGTCCAAGCCTGGGTCCAAAGCGAAAGCCAAGGCAAAGGCAAAGGCAAAGACCACCAAGGGGGCAAAGGTGAAGGATGCCAAGGTGAAAAAGATAGATGACAAAGTCAACAAGGACAAGACTGAGGAGAAGAAGATGGACGAGGAGCCGAAGAGCAAGGAGACCAAAACCTTTGCCCGTCGCTACCTCCCAACTGATCCTGTTGCTGCTGCCCGCTACACGGCTTGCCGTTCTGTCTTTGAAGCCGAGATTGCGCCCAACGTGGCTAAGCAGAGCTCTTTCCAGGTGGGTCAAGTTCAAAATCACAAAACAAAACCGAACATGTTCAAAATGTTCCCATGGATCTTGGGGGTTTTGCACGCAGGGTTCCTTTCGCTGATTGCACCCACAGCTTTCACAGGACCATTTCTACAAGTTGTGCATGCGCGCTTTCAAGACTGGCAACGCTGAGTCTTACGATGCCAGTGTGGAGATTGCCGAGGGTTTGCTGGCTTCTTTCTTTGAAGACGAGGCGATTCGACCCTTTGGCTCAACTTCAGGCAATGGGTTTCTGATGCTTTCTGGATTCAAAAGTTGGGGGGCCATCAAATAACAAATAACAGAAAAAATGCTGGTGATCATTCATCTCACATCCCAAGCAAGGACCCTATGTGAAGCAGTGAAGCACATCGAGTAGATTTAGTCTTGGTTGCGAACAACCTGACACCTTGGAGTGTGGAAAGCATACTCAATGCAGTTTACCATGTCGGATGGCACCGGGGGTAGTATGCTGCAAACGCTGTTAGGATAGGCAGGTTGTACAGCTTGATTTTGAAGACCCAAGACTTTAATCCTAATACGTGGACTTCTGTTTGCACACTGATGGTATGCGAAGGTTTATCCAAACACTATCCACTTGTTTTTCAAATGGTCTCTTGGCTGGGGTGTGCAACGGATTAGATTCGCATGCAAATCGCATCAAGCCTGGTCAGTGAAGTTCGTGAACATTGACCAGCATTGCTGATGGCCTGGCGGCGGGAAAACTGATTGAGGAGCCCCCTCGCTATCCTTTACTAAGATTTCTAAGGGATTCAGCAAAACAAACTCCAATCGAACATTTCTTGAAATAGAAAAGGATTCCAAACGAGCTACTTAGCAGATAACAACATGTATCAACTCCTGACACCGCCGTTTCATCCCATGCCAGGTGCTTGAAGATTGAAACCGCTGCAGCAGCCTACGAGGACAGCTTTTGGTATCTTATGAATTTCTATAGAATTGCCCCCTTTTAGTTTATGTAGAAATTTCCCAAGATATGATCAGCCATAGTTTCCCATCTTCTGGCTTGCAGGACTCTCCATGCCACTTCTCCGTGGCCAATCTTCGTTTGCTAAATTCGGGTTTGGCGTTGAAGGTGCCATAGGGTGGCCGGACCTCACGTGGTTTTGGTACAAACAAGAGGGTTTCTTATAATTCTTAATCCCAAGCATTCCTAACCTATTCAATAAAATCGTTGAGTCAACCAATTTTTGACTCAACTTGCCATCCCTGCAGCCCATTTCGTGCTGAGCGAAGGCCAGGCCTCAGCCAAGTCTCGGTAGCCATGAGGATCTCTGACAGCCAGTTGAACCTGGCATTGAGGCGCATGATGGCCATGAAAGTGCCATTGGACTCTTGTCAACACCCATCTGTTTGCCACAATCCTTCAATTGGCAATGCCACAATGACTGGATGAATTCTTTTATGGACATTGAACCATAAAACGAAATTTTGAAAATAAAGCCCCATAATCTCATACTTTACCGGACCTATTTCTGAAGGGGTTGAATCAGCCAGCAACTAGTTGATCCCTAAGGACTTCATCTACCTGACCATGTTGGCGAGTTGGGTATCTTTGGCCCTGGACTGGGATCTTGGCGGACCGATTGATCTAGTGGAATACTTCGCTGGTGTATCCAGGATTTGCAAGCTGGCATCTTGGAAAGGGTATAGGAGCCGAGGTTTCGAAATGAACTATGACACCAATATTCCTTTTGGGTACTCAAAGCATTCCAACATGCCCCACCGGTCTTGCTTTGATTTCAATGGAGAAGCTGGCTTTTTGACCTTTGATTGTGTATAGCAAGTGTTTCTGGTTTTGGTTTTGTTTCAATGGTATTTGTTACTTGGGGTAAAAACAAATCATCTCATCTACTTGGGTGCTACGACTTAGGATGGCCATCATTTTGGTTCTTCATGGACGGTATGAACAATTCGTTGCTTTCCTAGCACCGGTTTGCAGTTCCTACAGCTCTGTAAACCTGGCAACCAGCCAGAGAAGCATCCTGACCCCTCTTGGACAAGTTGGGGCCACTCATGTGAGAAGAGGCAACAAAATGATTTCAAGGTCGGGATTTGAACCAACAAATCAACAAACAAACCTAGCTTAGCAAATGTTAAAACCCTTTTTTGTTCATACTACACAGGTCCCAAGATAATATGTATATATATATATATATAATATCTATGTATATAATATATATATATATACTATTAAGAAAACATATGTAATTATATATATATGTATATATTATAATATATATAGCAATGAATAATTAATATACATAACAGATATATTTATATATATATATATTATACAATATAATATATATATATATATACATAATACATAATATAATATATATATAAATATAAATATATATATATATATGTATGTATGTATGTATGTATGTATGTATGTATGTGTGTATATATATCCCCAAAACAATGCCTTCACCATATCATCTGTCGGCCTTGCTAGGCTGGGACTCTTGCTGATCTTGATTTGTTGCCTCGGCAGCAGCTTCATCGTGGAGAACCCGGCTTCTTCCATTGTGGTGGAGCATCCACGGCTGGTTTGGGTGTTCAAAGCCCTCCGCAAAGTTGGCATCACTGTTCTTTGTCAGAATCAGTACTCATTATAATGAAAAGAAATCTGGAATCAATGGTTTGAATTTTCAAGCAACTGGTTTCATTTGTTGGGGTGGCAACCCTAGGGTGGTTAGATTTCCCGGCTAATTCCAATCAGGTCTACAAAGTGGCTTTTGACATGAACACGTTTGGAACTCGATCCCAGAAGCCGACGATGCTACTGACTAACAGCAGGTCGGTTTGCAAGCTTCATGGTCGCCGTTTCAAAAAGCGAAGAACTGGTAAAGCCCTTTGCAAACGGTACAAAAGCAAAGATGGAAAGGCAGCATTTTCTGGAACCAAACGCTTGAAAAAATCCCAGACTCTAAGCTGAGATTGTTGGTTTGTTGTGGTGTTGATTCTTTGATTATAGGATTTGAGCTATACATGATCTATACTTACCTCCTTCAACAAACCTCTGGCAGCTATCATCTCTTGACGGAACTAAGGAAATACACGTCCAAGTTTGCTCGCTCCATTGTGGATTTGATACCGTCTCTGCAACAGGAAATCTACTGTGGTGACATGGTTGTTTCTTGAATGAACTTATACCAATTGAATACCCCAATCTTTTTCCCATCTCAAAGCCACGTGTGCTCTGAGGCTGACACATCGCAGCTTACACCAGCTGATTTCATGGACCTGGATGTGGAAGGGATGGGCCGGTGGCCTGAGGCTGAACTATTTGATGTTCTATCTTACGCCCGTGGAATGAAGGGGCTTCAAGTTCCTCCAGTTTGGAAAGGGATCGATTCCCTTCTCCGTTTTTAGCTTAGCACTGGATGCAGTTTGGTAAGCTTCCCAGCTCAGGTGTCAACCAATTGCCAATGTCAAGTACTTGGATGGTCTTGAATACATTTTGACAAAAAAAATGAAAATTCATGAAAATCAAAACGGCGTAAAACAGCGCCAAAACGGCGTAAAAAAGCGGCGAAACGGCGTAATTTTTTTTGAGTGGTTTTTGAGAGGGTCTATGTAGCCTGAGCTGGATGGCGAAACCCATAAATTCGTATTGCCGGCTCTAATTGCAAAATACTTACACCAAGAGTGACCAATCACATCAAATGAGAAAAGGTTTGCCTATCTTCAGGACTATCGCTTCTCACCTGAGTTTTTGACGCGACTGTGCATGTTGGGGCCCTGTTATCTGTTGAGTCAATATTGTTTCATGTTGATAAGCATGATGGGAGTTGAACCATAGCAAAAACCTTTATTTCTTGTAGGGGCCACTGTATGGAACCATTGGTGCTTGGCCCCAGATTCCCTGCACTGTTGTAGCTCGCCTGTGTGGTGATGATGGCCAGCCGTGAGCTTCGGTCAAACCTGTGGTCAACAGAGACACTCCAACGTGGGGTCCGGTCTGTGGAGCAACAGCCCCGGGATTTGTTGGCTTTGAACAAAGCTTCTGATGAATCCTTGTGGAAGGAACTTCAGGATTGGGGATGTCACAACATGGTCCATCAAGATCCAAGATATAGGGTTTTCAAATTACATTCGGTTTGCTAAAAATACAAGTACGTAATTATAATACCATTGTTGGTGTACTGTATTAAACCATGAGACGATTACCGTACTGACTTCATCTTAAGGGCTAACCAATTCCCACGCTATTCCTTGACTCTGCCCAGGAGTTAAAGCAGGAAGTGACGGATCTCGAGGAAAAGATAGGTGGTGAACCGCATGGCTGGTCGGCCATCAAGTCGGAGAGGGTTGCGATTGATCTAGAGTCAGATGGTGAAGCTACCGTCTATCACAGCGGAACTGTAACTTGATTTGAAAGTGTCCGATGTTGAAATCGCTGGAGAGGAAACACTATGTTTATGGTGAGGTAGAGACCAAATTTGTATCATACGTTCATTCCCCAATTTAAAGTAGCCTGCCTGACTTGCCAATCTCAGGAACAACATGATGATTCAATTGCGGATGCCGATGCCGAGACCATCCCTGCTGACATTGGGGGGGACCGTGGTATGATGGTAGATTCTCAACAGCTTACTCCAGAAATGGCTAAGCCCGTTGGACTTACTCTACCATCTGATACTCAACCTGAAGATGAAGACATGGTAGGTAGCCCAGCCAGCAAAGAAAGTAGCGATGTTGTTGAGGCCCACTGCCCCACATCCAACACTGTCACTGCTGAACCCACGCCAGCTGAGAAGACCCCATGCCAGCCTGATCGCACCGTGCCCACTCCTTGCAGGGCACCTGAACCAGGGATGACAGCAGAGGAGGTTGGATCACCAGTGCCAAGCCCTACGGTTCTTGAAGTATCTAGCCCAGAATCCACAATTCCTTCCTTGGATGATGTGACTGCTTCTAAACCCAAAGCCCAAGTTATGCGGATATCAGAGGCAGCAGCAGATGCCAGACTTCGTCGTGTCTTTGAGCCAAGTAAGCGAACTGGGGAATACAAGGTCTCGGATGCCATCTTAGCCCAATACAAAAAGCCCGGGAAAAGCCGGAAGAGCCTCCAAAAGATTTTTGAAACTTGCGGGTATGACAAGGCGGGATTACCACAGCAACACAGTGTCAAAATCAAACCTGGGAACCATTTTCTGTGTTCAAACTTAGATCTGTATTTTTGGATGCTGTTCTTATCTGTTCTTATAATCTGAAATTCTTCGGATTGGAACCCTCATAGGCCAGCTTCATTGAAGAACTTGAACTGATCCGAGAAGATGAGTTGGCAAACGATCTGTCGAGGGTCAGTATTTGTCTGAGAAGGACATGTCAGAGGTGTGGGGTTGGACAGAGTAGCTTGGATTAAATCCGTTTACACTTCAACATCAAATTTCACATTGTTAGGGTCTCAACTTAAACTGCATATTTGCCACCAATTTTACCCATGTCGTGAACTGAGGCAACGGATCAAGGCCGTGAAAAAGGCCGCTGAGGAAAGTCCATCGACTATGATGAGGCTTGCTGGTGGCTCTTTAGGATCTTGCTAGATCTCAACTGTTGTTACAAAGACAATACTGTACATTCAAGGCCTTAAACAAAGTAAAACAAAATAAACTATCTTGGACCATAATACATGATGATATATATATATATATGTGTATAAATATTATATATATAATTATATATGTACGAACTCGGATATGATAGTGACTAAAAATTATGCATGCACCCTTCAAGTCTCATTCCAGCCCAGGCGGGATCGGTATGAGAAAGGCCTGTACCTTTACTGGGCAGAAACTTCGGTGAAAGCTCTCCAGCGGCTCCCAAGCTTAAGTCAACCAGTGTGATTTCCATGGAACATAACCTCACATAAACAAATACTTGATTGGTCTATCTTTGCCTTCAAGGAAGACCATCAGAACTTCTTTGAAAAGGCGAATGCGATGGGATGAACAGAACGCCAACTTGGATGCATACGACAAGCCCCAGCCCGCCGTTGCTGGGCCTCCGCATTCGAGCTTGGAGGATAGTGCCTGCCAGCCAAAGAAGGTGGAGAAGGCTGTGTCAAGCTGCAAAGGTAGGGGGGTGTAAACTCATGTTCCCCAAATTCCGGTTGACTAGGACATGTCCCTGGTGTTTAAGGGAATGAATGGCCATGATCCTTTTACAAAACTGTTGTTGACCAACCTTGATTTACCCTTTAGATGGTGATGCTGGAAGTGATCAAGACACTTCTGACAATGATGACATTACCCCAGAAGAACTCAACTCAGAGAAGAAAGAGGAGAGCTTGAAGAAAGACCGGAAAAAAGCGGGTCTTCCTGAATTGGAACTTGACGCTTTGCCATCATCACTTGCGAACAAGATGTCGACACTCTTCCTTTTAACAAGATACAATTTCTTATGATTTCTTATGTGGCAATTTTTGTCATTAATGTTGATTGGGGGATATGGCCCAAAATTGTCTAATCAATCCCAGGATTTGCCTTGGCAAACGGCAGAACAAGCTCCAAGAGGTCCTGGACAAGTTTTCTGGTGTCAGCAAGCTGTCTGACTTACAAACTCGGAATCTTAGCTACGGAATGGATACAAAGATTCATGGCCCTGTGTATGATATCACACTACCTACATAGTTCTAGTCATTCATAGTAAGATTCCGGAACCTTCATCATTTCCATCTTCGGTAACCTCTCTTATTCACGGTTGCTCCTCCACACGTGGCCCATCTTGAGGATGTTCAACAAGATCAAGAGCGTCCAAGACAACCTCAGCGCCAAGGACGATGAGGTTCAGAGGATCTATGGCGATGGGGTGGTGAATGGATTCAGTGATCAGTAGGGTGCTCAAAGTGAAACTTGCATCATTCAATGGATTCAATTGGAGTGTTTTCAATCTCTTGCCTTCAATGTCGATTCTTTACATGCCATGTAAGGTAATTCTAGCATCATCTGCATTTCTTCCAACCCCTCCCCTTCAATGGTATAATCTATAAGCTATGTCAGTGATCTCTAGGCAAGAAGAAAAGCTCAAGGAGTTGTACCGACAAGCTTCGACACTGTCCGGGTCTTATACATTGCACTTGTATAAACCAACATCATTGGTTTGGCCCAATTTTGGCCAAGGGCAATGGAAGCGCTTGGGCTCGAACTTCGTTCCAGGCGCGGTTAAGCCTAAGCCAAGCTTTCATACACTCTGTCGAAATGAATGGGTTAGAAGCGATTGAAAAATTCAGAAAGTTTGCCCAAAACATCTTGATGGGAAGACTCTTGGCTTTGGTTGATTTTGGTCGGATTTGGCAAGGCCACTTCATCCAAAGGCTGCCCCGAAGAAGGCTCCTAAGCCTCGTCGCACATCTGAGCGAGCAGCTAAGGCCAAGGCAAAAGGTGCAGCGAAGAACAAAAAAGACAAGTAGACCTTAGAAGCGAAGGTCAAAGCTTGAGGGGTTTGCAATAGGCTGCGGCTGTATCATCAGTGGTGGTTTTAATATGAAAAAATGTTTGTAGTCTTCTTAGATTTTTTTAGTAGTTCATCAAGAGTGGTGTTTTTTTGGGAATCTGGTGGCAAGCCCAGCTCATTGCTCGAAATGATGGCCAGGAAGAAAGACTATACTCATAATCAACCACTTGTTCAACCTTTGATATGACCTGTTTATTATGTACAATTCTGGTCTTTCATTTGTTTGGGGGAGCAATTTAGCGCTTTCATTAGAGCGCCTGCGCATTTCACCATGTTCACAACAACTTCAACGCTGATCGGATGAAAAAAAGAGTTTAGAGCTCTGGCTTGGGTTGCTTGGAGCATTGCTTCCCTCCAGCACTTTTTGTGAACAAACAATTCGACATAACCAATCGAAACCATGCTGCAGGTGCTGGGAACAAAGCACCACAGAAACGCCCTTTGACAGAAGCCTACGCCGAAGCTATTGCTGATGGGGTTGGTGACTCAGACAACCAACTCAGTGTTGCCTTGGATGCCCTGCATTCCCCAATATAGTCACAGCTCTGGCTTTCTTGAGGGTCAGTGTTTCAAAGATTTTCAAAGTATATCCTCCTTCAAGTGTTTGTAATATTATTCCCCACCTGAGCCCTTAGGTCCCAGCCTCCAGTGTCGAGAAAGTGCACCATGGGGCCTTGCTGGAAGCCGGTGTGCTGAAAAAAACCAAAATACATAACGTTTCACGGGATGCCTACCGAGCCATCAAACGATTTGGGATTGGTTGGAAAATCGAACAGGATGTCTTCAACTATGTTTGTGAAGATGGTGATGTCATTTCGATCCACTACTTCCGACCCAGAAATCTCTTGGAGTATGTGATCAAAAAAGAACCTGGCCTATTGTTTGGTTCTGGGGGAGTTGAGTCCTTGCCAGCCTTTTGGCATGCCTACAACATGTACCATAGTGGACACAGAATTTTTTCTGACCACCACTGCTTTGATCGTATCATTCCCCTGGCCATTCACGGAGATGAAGGACGAGGCAAACGGAGATCAAGCACAACCGTTGTGTTTTGTGAAGCAGTTCTTGGGGTGAAAGGCAAAGTCAACAAATGTTCTTGCCATCCCACGCACTTGGACACCTACCAGCAGCCAGACGATGAGCTGCATCGTTTGGCCAAAGCATTGCAGTGCAACCTCAAAGGGCATTCGTTTTTGCAACATTTCCCTTTGTTCGTGATTCCTGGGATCTATGCCAAACAGTACAAGGATATCACCCTATCTATGTTGGAGCTCATTGCTGACGATCTGAAAGATCTGTATGAGAATGGCATGGATATTGGAGGTGAAAAGTTTCATGTTGCCATAGTGGCAAGCAAAGGCGATTTAAAATGGCATTCGAAGATCTGCAGATTTACCCGTGGATACGAACGAAAGGGTCGAATTGTTGATGTGCCCTGCTGCCACATTTGCTTGGCCGGGGCTCCCGGCCTCCCTGCTGAAGATGTTTCATCCACTCCATCCTGGACGGACACTTGCTACAGAGAACGTCCATGGAGCGATGTTGCTGGTCAGCAACCTGCCCTCAATGCTGTGCCATTTGACCCCCAAAAGCCGGAGTTCATGTACAAACATGACATTCTTCACACCATTCGCTTGGGGGTCTTTCGAGACTTTGTTGCTTCAACAATATTCCTTTACCTTCGGTGGAACTACTTTGGTGCACAGGGGACCGTTGGGGACAAACTTGAAAGAGCACATGGACATTTCAAGTTGTGGCTATCAGCAACAAGGAAGACAGCTGCACTTCGGAGTTTTACGCCCCAGTTGTTCAAGTATACCAACAAGAAGTCTTATCCCTGGGCCAATGTGAAGGGAAGTGACTGTGCCCTTTTGGTCCAATGGATTACAACTTTGACGGTGGGGTTGATCAATGACGGACCCCCGGCCTCGCAGCTTCCGATCATGCAAACGATCTTGGCGACATCCAGGGTGGGAACCTCATTCTACCAACACATTTGTCAGCACACCATGTTTCAAGCTCCCAACTGTGCTTCGGTGATGTATGAATTTGGCCAATCTCACATCAATGGCTACATTTTATTGGCCAAATGGTGTTTCGAAAATCAACATTGCCTCTATGCCATCAAGCCAAAGATGCACTTCATGAAGCACATGCTGCTGGATGTGAAAGACCAGTTGGATAGACATGATCCTTTGGTTTGCAGCCCGTTGCTCTGGGACTGTTGTCAAAACGAAGATGCAATTGGCCGTTTGTGTAGACTGAGCCGTCGTGTGGATGGAAGAGTGATATCAACCAGAGTGCTCACCAATTACTTGATCAAGGTTGGCCTACTCAGTCACAGAGAGTTTCATCGCTGAGCTTCAGGCAAAAAAACAATCGCGATGGTGCCCAGTGAAGTTGGGCTGGTGCATTTTTTTGAGGGTTAGTAGTTTCTGAATCTTCCACCTTCCCCATTATGTCAGTTGAATGATTTGTTACAAGATTACAAGATGGAATGGTCAAATCAACATTGCCTCTATGCCATTTGCTGTTGAATGATTTGTTACAAGATTACAAGATATGGAATGGTCAAATCAAACAGCTGCGGAACATCAGGCGGCGATAATTTAAGCAAACAGCGATAATATTCACAGGCAACGATAATTGTTGCTGTCTTGGCAGGCAGCGATAATTTTACAAGTGGATTTTCAAGGTATATTGACAGATAGTATTGTCTTAATATGGCATATTTATATAGAGATATGGATAATTATGACAATATGGAGATATTCTTATGGATAGTATTAAGATTAAATATCCTATATGATATGGTTGATGGGAGGATGATGAGAGAATGATGGAGGATCATCATATATTACTGTAATACGATATATATGATATATACAATATGACGGGATGATGGGAAGGGACGACGATGGGATCATACTAATATGGAGGAAGATATAAGGACTATAACATATGATGATGGGATAATATGATGGGATAATTACTAATATAATGCAAATATATGCAAATATTACGGGATATACAATGTGGATAATAACTATTTATATGATAATGGGATAGTAATTACTATTTATATAGTATCTATATATGATGGAGAGTTACAATAATCATAGTGGAATTAAATGATTATGAATCTTATTATGTAATAAGCATGTAGGACTATGATTGTAACTGTTCGATTTTCTGAGAGAATTATACATTGATATTACAGACATATATGGAGGATTTTGGAAGAATACAATTTCATGTGTTTTTTCAACAAATAGTGCAAAACATTAAACCACAAGTGACAATCACTTAGTCACACAGCCTCAAGTCTCCAAGTGAGACGAGGGAAGGAGAAGGGCCAAATGAACGAAACATTTCGAATCATATAAACATTTATTGTTATAGAAATGATATATTTGATAGTGGTGAAGCATCAATAGTTCACAAATCATGGGATGATGTGTCAATTGGGTCAATTGGGGACATGGGATTCCATGAGAGGATCCCCGATTTTTGGAACTGCGACCCGCCTGGGATTCCATAGTTTTCCTGAGTTATATGGGATATTGTCATTGATTAATGTGGATGAATGCATCCATCATTTGGAGAATCAAATTATGTTTTTTTTGGGGGGTGAAAAAATAGGATAAAGCAACTTCCCTTGGATGAAGTATGATACAATCTCGTAAAATCACGTCAAATCCTACTGAAAATGAGTGATTCCTCGTCATGGGATGGGTCCAGCAAATGACCAGGAGGTCATGGGGAGATGAAAACCTAAACTGGTTGGTGGTTGAGCCCTACCCCTCTGAAAAATGATGGAGTTAGTGAAAGTCAGTTGGGATGATGACATTCCCAAGTGAATGGAAAAATGAAACATGTTCCAAACCACCAACCAGTAAAAACATGAATGGAGTGTTGTATCCATTGTATCCAAGAAAAAATGAATGTTGAACCAAAAGAAATTGGCGGATGGAGCTTGTCCAACCAAACATGTCGGACAAAAATGGACAAAACATGAAATGACATGAATATGAAAAAAACCTGTGATTTATTGGATGAAGCGAAACAGTGTATGAAGGAGAAAGACTTCCTTGTAGCATTCTTGAGACCAGGAAAAATGGAATGTAAATGAATGTAAGCAAGAAAACAGTTTCACAAAGTTTCACCATGCTTCAGCATGTTTCACCCAATTAAATCCCAATACCCTCTGGTTATTAACATAGCCATGGAGAATGGCCCATTTATAGATGGTTTACCTGTGTTTACCTATTAAAAATGGTGATTTTCCATGGCTATGTTAGTCATAACCAGAGGGTATCTGGGTTCAATTTTCTTCAAGTTCCTAGTCGCGCTCCCCCCGGAAAACGGGCCCCCCGGAAATCGCTCCTAGTGGTTGATCTCCCAGCAACCTTGGAAAAGCGCCATGGCCATGGCCATGGGCAATGGAAAACCCTCTGGTGACTAACAGTTCTCCATGGTTTTTCGATGGCCCCAATCGAAATAGATGGTTTACCGAACTTAATAGCATGGTGGATCTTTCCATGGCGAACTGGCAATGTCATAACCAGATGGTATCTCAATTTATCAGGGAAAGGCAATGGAAATCTCAATGTGGGAAAAACCCTGGAAAAAGCCATGGAAAAACTCAGAACTTTTTCCAGGCAACATGTAGGCCGTATCAAAGGTACGAAGTGACTGATGTTTTTCATCCTCTTCTTCTGCTCCCAACTGACTCAAGTTCGTGAGCTGCGCCTCAGGAAAACACGCCCCTGGCTGGACACCGAATGGGAAAATGATGGGATTTTGGGGACACCAAAAATAGATCAACATCGGTAATCCATTTTGAATTATGTAGTACTAGTAGCTTTGTTCAGAATTATCAAGATCTATAGGCAGTTTCATTTGGCGGTTCTTTTTCAATGGGTGATCCCCAAGTCAGAGGTGTCAATCCTAAACAATGCTCATGACTTGGATGACTTGGTTGACTGGGGGTACCCCCATGACTTCGGAAACCTCCATTACCCTCTGGTGAACTAACATAGCAATGGAAAATCACCATTCTTAATGGGAAAATCCACTATAAATAGCCATTTTCCATTGCTATGTTAGTTCACCAGAGGGTATCTCATTATCATCCCATTATTATCTCATTACATATCCTACGATAAATTATATAAAATATCCCCAGTATTATCCCATTAAACTATCCCATTATCCCATTAAATTATCCCTTATCCCATTAAACTATCTCATTATCCCATTAAATTATCCCATGATCCCATTCAATTATCCCATGACATATCCTATGATTATCCCAAAAAGGATCTCCCAGATCCGGCCTGACTGGAGTCCCGACGCAACTCCGAGGCTTGACGACACAAAATCGAGGCCGAGGCCTCACGCTGCAGCTGCTTCCCAGCCAGCGGCGAACTGGGCGATGGCGACGCCTCATCCATCACCGGGGTGTCGTCGTCAACTTCATCCAGCAACGAGGAGGAAGCCCTTTAAGGACGACGGCGCAACTGAATGGGGGATGAATGGGGGATTTTTGATGTGTGTCCAAATTTATCATTTCTGGATCTTTATTCCAACTAAGATGTGGATGAATGTTAATGGATGTGTCTATATATATGTGATACCCTTATTTATACCTGTCATCTACTAAGAAGATCTATAGTTCCAACCAAAATTACACTTGCTCTACTTCCTTCAGATTCAGTATGATAAATCCTTTCTCGCGAATCCCCACCTTCGAACAGCTTCAGGGGTGTGTTGCTGTGGCGTCGGCGGCTGGGGGGTCAGCTGTTGTGGGGTCAGCTGCTGTGGCGTGTAGTATCCCCCCGGCGGCGTCGGGGTGCCCCCTGAGATCTGGGACGTTTCCTTCCGCGTCGGAGTGAACAAATGCTCCGGCGCTGTCAAGCTACCTGGCTTCGGAACGCGCAAAGACACAGGGTTGATTCCAAGTTGTCAGTTAAAACATGCTAAAACCATCTGAAGCCATCTGAAGCCTAACATGTTGAATCATTTTGAGATGTATATATGTTTATACTATACTATGCATATATATATATATGTATGTATATATATATATATTGCATAGCTATGCATAGTTCCCATTTGAAAAAGACAAATGTAAAAAGCCCAATCAGATACATAGCCAGTTCCCCGGTTTTTTCACATCCCAAAAGTCAGATGTGTTTTCATATAGAGCTTAAGGTAGATGTCCAACAAAAAATCACGGCCGAACTGACATGAACTGCTATCCCATATGCTCCATGTTGCTGGAATATTTGCCAACATTTACCTCATAGACTCATAAATCACCCCAGTTTTGTAGGTCAATATACTATACATGAAAAATATATGGCTTCGTCAGTTGGGATGACATGCCCATTCCCAACTGAATGGGAAAATCATCAAATTCCATGGTTCATATGGTTCCAAAATGTTCCAGTCACCACCAACCAGAACTGCTATGGGGGTGAATTTCTCACCACTTTCCACCAGCTTTTGCCTAGCCACCCACATCAATGTCCAAGGGCTGGACCAGGTTGCGACGACTATCGAAGCTGCCATGACGTGAACCTGGCCTCATCTTCAGCTCACCTGGGATGGTGAACGGTGAACCTGGTGGTGGGCTGTGAAGATCAATCTCTATGGAAAGCCTTAATGGAAAACATATCTGGTTGGTGGTTTCAACCTACCCCTCTGAAAAATGATGGAGTGAAAGTCAGTTGGGATGATGAGATTCCCAAGTGAATGGAAAAATAATCCAAATGTTCCAAAGCACCAACCAGATATGGAAAACATTAATGTTTTTGATGTTTTGAATGATTGATTGCATGAAATCAACTATATGACACGGGGGATAGACTCTATAGAAACTGATGCGCCTCACTAGACACACAAAGAGGAATATTGAAAAAACATGACCGAGAAAAACAATAGTTATTGAGAATCGGTAGTACCATGGATAGCAAATATGGAAAGATTATGGAAAGATTATATGGAAAACAAGTGGTGCATCCCAGCGATGGAAACGGAAATCTTGCCACAAATCCCATAGCCAGCAATTTTTCACGTGGCTTGTTGGAAATTCCCGACATCCGAAATCTACAGATGATTTCCCATGAAAACTGCCATGTAAATAGGAGATTTTCCAGCCACGTTTGAGAACACCGGAGGGTACGCCTCAGGCAACAGAGCCTTTGAAAAGCCGCAAGTTCAGAAAGGACAATTTTGAGGCAATGGTTTGGCGTTTTTAAAAAACGCAACTGCGCTAGACTTTCCGGCTCACGGACTCACGAACATGCCAAGCCTAAACTCAATCCATCTTTGTCAAGGATATGTCCTAAATTCATCTAAAATTTCCATGGAATCGCATGAAAACCCATGGAATGCCATGGGAAATGATGAGTAAAATGTGGATTTGCAACCTCCAGGACCTCTTCCAGCCCCTCAAAGAGACCCTCGCACCTGGGCAGTTCCATAGTCGATCGGTCACCACCCACAAACCGCCCGCTGGAATGCTGAGGCAGCGGTTGGGGATGTCATCTTCCCACACAAAGCCGCCACCCAACTCCTGCCTGTCCCTGACGTATTTGTATTCCTCGGACGGCTTGGCGCTGCAGATGGGACTGGTGGAACATGTGGAACGCCTGGCCTCTGAATGTCAATGATGTCTGAATCCCATCCCCCAAAAAAACAAGCAGCTAGTTACTATAAACATCTCCCAGAAACCATGGCGGATGGTGGTGAATTCACACATCTGAATGGGATCGTGGATGGTTGGGGGTTGTGCAAAATAGGATGGGATCCTTCCATGGCGGCATCGGAGTCCCGTTCATCCCGTTGGATTCTTCAAACCATCCATAAAATATACTGTTAATAATGGTCAATACCATGGTTATTATATGGTTAATGATGGTTAATGATGGTTAATAGTAATGACTGGTTGGTGGTATACCTACCCCTCTGAAAAATGATGGAGTGAAAGTCAGTTGGGATGATGACATTCCCAATATGATGGGATAAATAAAAGCCATGTTCCAGTCACCAGCAACCAGTATATGTATATCCAAACCATTCCAAAACATCAATCATACATCAATCGAAAAGCCCCAAAACAAAACACCGCCCCAATCTCCCAACAACAGCCGTTTTTGTCGTTTTTTCAACGAGTGTCCAATCGCTTCTTCCCCGCTTTCGGTTGGATCCACACCGGGTTCGCCGTGGTCCACATGGGATAGCTCTTGGCATCAGTGCAGAGCTGCACTGAGTTGTCCAAATTCCACTTCCCCAGCTCCTCAGCCTCCCCAATGATGCGAATGCTCTCCCCCACCTGCGTGTTGGCGTAGATCCCGAAGACCAGACCTAGGCCCCTAGGCTTCAAATCTTGGGAAAAATCCGGCTGATTTCAAGTGGGGCTGTTGGCAAAATCTAAGGCTCCAAAATTCTGAATATCGAAGAGTTTGAGGAAAATCCTGCTGAAATAGTGGGGCTGTTTTTAAACACATGTTCTATCTTTTTTGGGGAGTGTAACTATGAGGGAAAACTGAGGGTTGAAACATGTTGAAACCATTGTCTTCTGATTATCTTAACTATGAAGTACAAGGCTCAAGAGTTTCCCATCAAGAAATCCCATCATCCAATTCTGTCAGCGCGGCGTCCTTCCCAAAAAAAAGACATGATAAACCCAAAATTATCCTCTGGAAAGTTAACATAGCTGTATGGACAATTACACATTTCAAGATGATTTAGATATCTACTATAAACATGACCATGTTCAATGGATATGTTCCATTACCAAGGGATATCAACCATCTGGATGCTTTTTAAAATCATCCGCAGAGGTATACACAATAAAAATTAGGGATGGATTGTGACTGGTGACTGGAACTTGGTCAAAAAATAGAGGGAGAAAAAAAAACGTGTCCAGCATCGGCCAGGAACCCACTTTGGAGTTGTCAGCCATGACTCCAGCGTCCACCGTGGCAGAAACACTAAAATCAGATCCCCAAAACCCCAAACCGCTGCGCACCCCCCCAGCTATGTGGGCCCCGAAACGCGCTCTGCCTACGGATGAACGGAATGCTTGAGTCAAGTGGCTGCGTCTGCGGAAGATGGTTCGGGATGTTGCGGGTGAACAAGCTAGCAAAACATGTGCATGTTGCGAAGGATCATATGATGTTGGTTCAATGTTGTCAGTTCAATCGAAGGATCATATGATGTTGGTTCAATGTTGTCAGTTCAATGCCACGCTATATTACACTATAGTCATGATAGCATGCACTTCAATGCTACGCGATAGATACTATAGCCTGTCCCAAACCATTTGGATATGGCAAAATCCCGGCTTTCTGAATCCACTGCCGGGCTGGTCTGAGAAACTCAAGGTTCGCCGAATTTGATCGCTGGCTTGTGGCCACTTGTCGTCAAAAGCAGATCCCACCTCAGTTGCGATCGTCTCTAACTCTAGGCTATCCGCAGGTGGATTTTCTGTGGCCGAACCTGGGGGAAGCATTGAAAAACTATGGATTTATTGGAGAAATTGCAGGGAACCATGATTTGCAACCCCAAATCTGGTTTTTTTTTCAGGTTTCCCTTCAACATGCCTCAACCAATTCGGGGACTTTATCCTGGATCTCTGTGTCCAGCACGATGCCTGCGCACGCCCACACTCTCTGAATCCCCCAACCACCAAAAGGCTCTCAAATGTATTCCATGAAGCCAATTGACCACATCCATACGCTGTATAATATTATAGACATGATTTGAAACACACATGCCTGATATTAAAGCCTGGGAAGTGGCTTTCGCCACACCTTTTTCAGCCCTCCCTTTTTTTTTGGGCTGCCGAACCAGTACAAAGAGATCACCCTTCACTGGAATCGCTTGGAGCAGTGCGCGGTTTTCAAACGCCACCTTCGGTGCGGCACGGCAATTTCACTCAACTCTGCCTGCCTCACAAGGCCTCTGCCATCATCTCACTGAGGCCCCTCGCGCCACGCGGGGAGTAACTGGTGAACTCAATCATCAGTGTCCTCCTGAGATGTGCAATCAAGGCATGCCATGAATTTTCCCAAGTGGATATGGGATTAATCATCGATTTTAATGGAACCATATGAAAATTACTAGGATAATCATCCAAGTAATCTATTACAGTAGAATCTATGATCAATCATGAATATGTCTACGATCATCCCTCCATTCACCACTGGATTGAGTGTCACCTAGTGAATCGTGACCATCATGACCATTTTCCCAGGTTCCACCCCTCTAAAGCGGCCCCCCGAAGCGCAAGCTCACCCACATCTGTGGACATGCATGGACCAAAGAGACCAAAGAGACTCCAAAGAGTGAGTGGAGTAGATGAATTAAATTGAATTAATCACTAAACACTAGAGACTAGTTCGGATCCATGTTGGTTCCCCATTTTTGGAAGGTGAAGTTTCATTGTGAAAGCTTCTATGTGGCAGAGTTTTGACCACAGCATGCACAACAAACATTCCATAAATATCCACATCAGGAAAATCCATATCTGGATATATAATGATATATAAATGATGATAAGACCATATAAGGCCCTTTTGGGATAGTTACCCCTACTTTTCATTCACCTTATCGATTTTTTTTCATCACATCTGGATCCTCTCCGCAGCTGTGCGGCTGCCACACCTCCCATTTTCCGCTTCGTCTGAGAGAACCTTGATGGCATCTGGGAGTCCATAGGCTCCAAACTTGCCTCAAATATCCATCCAGGCCGGTCTCCGAAAAAATGCGAAGACCATTGCTGGAAGGAATGCTACTTCCTATAGATGTGTATAGACATGTAGTGCATATATATATAATTATATATATGTGTATATATATATTATATATATATTGAAAATCAGAGGTTGACATTACTCCTATGATAGAAAACAGATTTTTCAACAATCCGCGTAGGTTTACAGCCACAAACAGTCTCAGGACAAGCGGCCTTTGCTGCTTAAAACCTCATCCAACAGGCCTTCGCTTGTCAAGGACTCTCCGGATAGGATTACCTGCCATATTGCCATGATCCAGATATGTCCAGATGACTTGGCGAACGAGTCATGTCATATTTATAATAATTGCAAACAGCAAAAAAAACTATAGATATTGATACCATCAATAGATACCATCAATAGATATCATCAATATATATATATATATACAAATCTAATGAAAAAACAAATCAGATCCCATCTATTCAGATATCGATAGAAAAAATCACCATCTATTCAGATACGAGCAAAAACCGTACCATAAGCACAAGAATTAGACAGCGAATAGATCAATAACAATCGATACAGAAAATCCCGCGGCCTGGAGGAAGACGCTCGCACCTCCACCAGATGTGGGGCTGCAGTGATGGGGTTGCTATCGGTAAATGGGTTTGCAGAAAACTTACGAACATGCCAGATTAGTATAGATTAGTGAGATATATATATATACATGTATACATCATATTATATCATAATATCCATGTAGACTATAGATATATCTCGTGCATTCGAGTGGTTTCTCCATGTTTCTCCGCTATCTTCCAGTTGAAAGGGCCCCCAGCGACTTTCCGGGGATGCTGCTCTGGAAACGGACCTGGAAATCCGCAGTTTTCCAGCTGATATTCTGATATATGTCCAGTTTTTTTTTGGGGGGGGGGTTATCTTATCCACAGTTAGCGATAACCAGGTTATTGTCATCTTATCCACAGTTGGCTATATATATGTTTAATGTGATCCAAATAGATAAAATAGATCAATTTATCATTCGTCCAGCTCAAAAACCAAATTCAGCCCATCGGTCCATCAGAGTTCATCACTGTCGTGTCACTGTCGTCGTCACCGTCGTGGCACCTTTGGAACGAACCTCCAGGCTCTTCCCTGCACTCGCTCGCTCCTGACCCGCGTTGAACGCACGATACGCACGGTTCAACGAAGCGATGAGAAATCGCAACGAAAATCCGGTGCTTGAAAAGCCAAAACTGCTTGGTGGTTGAGCCCTAGCCCTCTGAAAAATGATGGAGTGAAAGTCAGTTGGGATGATGACATTCCCAATATGATGGGGAAAGTAAAACATGTTTCAAACCACCAACCAGAAAAGGTTGGGATTTTGGAACATTTGCCATTTGACATGGGGCGATCTAAGGACGCGACATGTCGTGATTTCATTTGACTTTCCAAAAAGAAAAAAAAGGAAACCAGGCTCCGTGTCAAGTTTCGGGTGTTTACTCAGCATCAATTTACCTGACTTAGGTCAACTTTGGATGTGTCCAAAATTGATACAGAACAAATACGTGAAGTCAGGACACCAGAAATTGGTCCTCCCAAACCTGTCCAAACCTCAAGGATCCCCCCGGCAGTCCACAGGCCAAGGGCTGGTGAAACTCACCTAAGAGACCCTTTGATTTGGCACCTGAGATTGCCATCTCACTAAAACCATGTGTTTTTTGGGAGAATGAAACCATTGTTATTCACCGGGAAAAAACTCATCACCATATTTCGCCTTCCTAGGTTTATTATCACTTGTCACCACTTATCACCATGATCATCCATTTATCAGTGATTGCCATCATCATCCATCATGCTGGGTCCGGCTAGCCAAGTGGATCACAAAAAATCATACGCACCCGTCATCACCCGTCAATTCAATGAATTTTATTGAATTTTCAGATCAGCATCACCCCCCAATCTCTGAAATGGTTTTCTGAAACCACTTTCAACTTTCATTGGATTTTCCCACTTAAAACATCTTAAAACATCTGAGCAAGTGGACGTCCGTTGTATAAAGTCATGGGTTAACCATGGATAAACCCAGGAATCTGGGACCTGAAACTCATGATCACCAGCTGATTGGTGGTTGAGCCACCCTGCTGAAAAATATTATAGTTAGTCAATGGGGATCTAAAAAAATAACAACGATCAAACCACCCCTTCAGTATCACCCAACCATTTCTTCTTGAGCTGACTTTTATCAAATCGTTCATTCCATACCTATTAATGTGATAAACCATGCCATCCCACTAATCATGACTGGGGGTCATTTTTTTATCATCCTCCCATTGCGAACATGGCACACCCAATTTCAGAAACCGAAATTGCGGGTGGTTTATTATGGTCATTATCCCACTACCATCCAATGGCTATCCAATAAAACTATCCCATGTTGATTCAGATTATCCCATGAATTATCAACAATATCCATACACCATATCCCACTATCTTATTTTATATCATAGATATTATACCACTCATATTCACCTGTGAATATCCAAGTCATAATCGTATGGGAATGGGAATAGCTATAAACGAACAAGTATGTATGCATTGGATACGGGATATGATAACTATGTTACCACATCATACCTTTCATAGATGTGATGATGGTAATTATTAGTTATCCCAGTCATAATCATTCATATCCATACTGCCATGCTATATGTTCCACCGTTTTTTATGGTCATTGTCATTACAATTATTATTACTATTATTATTATGTTTATTACTATATAGTAATATTATGATTATTATTACTATTATTCTTACTATATAATAGTTATGATATACTTTTCCTATCATTATTGATCATTATTTATTACTATGTTCATATGACAGCTAGAACTATTACTATGTGTGCTTGCCCAACCAAGGCCCCTTTCGGCCGCTAGAGTGGGATGGCTTTGGCCGAGGGGTGGGCCGCAAAACATTGGAAAAAATACATTGGAAAAAACGACTTTTCTGCCTCTACGCGCACATTGATCTTCTATCTTCTGACTTTTTTTCTCTTCTCCGACTAGGAAGAGGAAGCGGAAGAGAAAGGAAGAGAGAAAGAGAAAGAAAAGGTTGCTTTTGTAAAAGGCTTTTCTTTCTTCTCTTGGCTCCAGGATCAGCTCTGGAAAAAATTGCTGCAAATGTGAACCCTGAGGGCAAACCGTGAACTGGACCCTCTCATGGCCCAGTTTGTGGGAAAAATTGTTCTTTAATACGGGTAAAATAAGCGATCTGATTCTTTTGGGAAAGGGTTGGACTTTCAACTTATCGCTGGCATTCTACTGACTAGGGTGCCAATCCAATCACCCGCCAAAACAGGATTAGTATGATATAGGTTTCATATGTTTCCTGGGGGGCCTTCGAAATGCAATCCCCGCTTGCCCTGCTTGCTCTGCTTACCCCCCGGGAAGTGGGTCGAGCGGGGCGAGCGGGGCGAGTGGGGCAAGTGGGGCAAGTGGGGCAAGTGGCGGATTTCAATTAATTTTCCTACCAAGGCAAGCGGGGCGAACGGGGCGAGTGGCGGCTTTCAGATAATTGTCCTCGTGGGCGCCCGAAATGTAATATTAACTAATACTGTAAGAATATTCGAAGGAAGTTTAGAAGCTAAACTTCCGACAATATGGACAGTTGAAATGCAGAGCAGGGAAGAGGCAGAGAGAAGAGAAAAGATCAGAAGAAAGAAGAGGTAGATGCGCGAAAAGATAGGAAAGTCGCAATTCACTGTGTTTTTCCAATGATTTGTGGCTCCGGAGGGTCGAAAAGTAGGCTCGCTAAAGCGGCGGGTGCGGAGCCAGCTGGCCAGATGAGACATGAAAAAGTGCACGCCGTTGTGGCGCGAAGCACATTTCCAAGTCAAAATGGACAAAACACTAGAGGAGCGGACCACTTTTGGAAGTTGAGATGTCGAAAAAGTGCACGCCGTTGTGGCGCGAAGCACATTTTGAAGTCAAAATGTGCAAAACACACCAATGTCGGACCACTTTTGGAAGTTCAGATGTCGAAAAAGTGCACGCCGTTGTGGTGCGAAGCACATTTTGAAGTCAAAATGTACAAAACACACCGTGGTCGGACCACTTTTGGAAGTTGAGATGTCGAAAAAGTGCACGCCGTTGTGGCGCGAAGCACATTTTGAAGTCAAAATGTGCAAAACACACCAATGTCGGACCACTTTTGGAAGTTCAGATGTCGAAAAAGTGCACGCCGTTGTGGTGCGAAGCACATTTTGAAGTCAAAATGCACAAAACACACCATGTTCGGACCACTTTTGGAGTCTGAGATTTCGAGTTTTGAAAAAGTGCACGCCATTGTGGCGCGAAGCAGATTTCGAAGTCAGGATGTCCAAAACACACCATGTTCGGACCACTTTTGGAGTCTGAGATGTCGAGTTTTGAAAAAGCGCACGCCGTTGTGGCGCGAAGCACAGTTCCAAGTCAAAATGTTAAAAACACTAGGCTGTCCGACTACTTTTGGAGGTTCAGATGTCGCTTCGCTTCGCTTCGCGTCACTTCACTACACTACACCACATGACACTACACTACATGACGCTACTACAACAACAACAGCAACAACAACAACAACAGCAACAGCAACAACAACAACAACTACTACTACTACTACTACTGCAACTACAACTACAACAACTACAACAACAACTACTACTACAACTACACTACACAACATCTACAACCACACAACAACTACAGCTACAACAACAACAACAACAGCAACAACAACAACAACTACTACAACAACTACAACAACTACAACAACTACAACTACAACTACAAAACAACTACAGCTACAACTATATGACTGCAACTACACTACACTAATTACATTACACCACAACTACAACTCCACTACGCTACAACTACAACTACAGTTGCTGTACATCACACTACATCCAGCAGTTGTGGGTGAGGTGACCACTGCAACCATTGCAACCACTCCAGCAAACACAACTCCAACCACTTCTCGGTCAATCAGTGGCTTCGCCCTGCCATCCCTGATTCACAACAACCAACCTCTCCTATAGGTTTCCTATTTTTGAAACTTCCGCCACCGCCTTGTGCGGTACTACTGGTAACTAAGTATGGATAACTAATAACAGTAATATGTAACTTTATATATTCTATTCCACTATAATTGGAATAATGGTGGATTGGCCACATTATTATTGCCATTATTATATATGTATCCGCCAAGTAAAAAATTGGAATATAATAGTGGAATCCGGATAGTGCATATACAGTATATATATATATTCCACTAGAGAATTATACGCCACTATCTTATAATTGTGATAATGGTGGATTATTCATGTTGTTATTATATATATATACATTATATATATATATTGCCACTCATTTATATATGATCATATATGATCCATTATCTATTATCCCAATTATAAAATGGCCATTTATAGTTAATTTACCCGTGAAAAATGGTGGCGGTTCACAGTTTTGTGTATGTTTACCAGAGGGTACACACTATTAAGGATAGGATGGGGATAATGGTGGATTATCCATATTAAGATTATCATTATTCCTTATACCCTCTGGTGATTTAACATAGCGAACTGGAAAATCACCATGTTTCATAGGTAAATCATCATGTTTATCATCTTACATGGGCCGTTTTCCATTGTTTTCCGCTATGTTAAAGAACCATAGGGTATATTCCACGAAATTCCCCCAATTCATCCACCATTTTCCCGGGGGATGACCTCCTCATCGTTCCAAGTCGTGGTTACCTTTGTGGAAGCCAGGACCTCGGCAGCCACCAGGCGGGCTCCCGAGGCATCGGCATCTCCTCGCCGGGATGGGTACCGTTTTAATACAAGGTGGTACCCCATAGCTACCCTCTGGTTATGTCAAAATAGCTATTGAAAATGGCCATTTATAGTGGATTTTCCCATTAAACATGGTGATTTTCAATCGCTATGTTAAATTACCAGAGGGTAGCTAAGTTGGTTTATAAGCCCATATTATCAAGATGTATCAGACCAATACATGATACTAATATTATATACTAATACTAACTTTTTTGGCATTGTCAATTGTTAGTGAGATGAACCATATGAGTATCATCAATATGATATTTGATCTAATTGATAGTTGGTGAGATGAGCATCAATTAGATCAAAACCTATTAGTATCATGCCAAAACCTATAGTAAATTGATGTTCATCGGCATACTTAGTGAGATGAAGATCCATTTATCAGCTATTTTTTGGGTTAATATTTTTGAACCAGGGTGTTGACTTGTTTTGACATGTTTTGAGCCATATATTGAGATTACAATTGGGATGTTTACGTGGGAGTTAACCAATGGTTATACATGGTTATACCAATTATATGGGATGTTCAATTGGGATTAGTCACGTGGGATGTTTACCATCTACCAATAAAAAATGGGAGTTTCAATATCCGATTATCCGTTACATGGGGATTTCCATAAATGGGTAATTACATGCAATTACCCTAATAGCTGGGTGGTATATTTTATTTCATGGATAATCCTAAAGTCAAATGGACGAGAACTGGGGGAACCCCTATTTTCGGAAAACTTCATGTGGCTTCTGGATATCCAGAAAAATATGTTCATACATCCAGCTATCATATGCTTGCGAAACTCCATTCGTAGCTCCAAACGGCTCCCCATTTCATAGGGAAAATAAAAAATCGATAACCGTTCAGCTCCTTAGCAGCCTCACCACTGGATTGTCCATGGATGTTCATCCCCCCACACAGGTGGTGCACCCATCTTGGGGGGTTATATCTAGGACATCGACACTGGAAAGAGCTTCCTCCAAGCCTGCATCAACGAGAAATGGCTGGTTCAATACGAGAAATGTCCCAAATCTGGGAGTTCGAAGCTTCAAAACTGTCACTATCCATCTTCAAAAACCATATTCTGAACCTTTTGTTCCCACCTTCCAACCCAGCACCGCCCAACCGCAGACAGCCGCCTTCCATGATGCCCAGATCGCTACTGAGCTGCACCCCAGTCTCAGGTCGCGGACGAGGGCGGGATAAGCTGCGAATGGCTGCATTGACCTCAGGCGGTTGGTGACTTATGGTGACTCCCCCAACCATGGTTGGGTACACATAAAAATGTTGTTTCTTAACCAACAAGCACTAATGAAATGGGATTAAAAAAACATCTTTCTTTTTACCATCTATCATTTTTGGGATGATTCGGATGATCTATCCTGAAATCATGGCAAATTAGAGGGACCAATCTATGTCTTAGGTCATTTTAGATCTATGTAAGTCCTAAGGGAACATCCTCAAAACAGATGGCCTTAGATTGTTCAGGACCTCACATTTTAGGGTCCTGAAATTTCCATTGATAGACAGTAACTCGAATGGTGTTGAAGTCTTAGCTGGTCTTGCACCAAGTAGGAACCCATTGATTCTTCTAATTATATCACAAATAATTCCTTTTTCGCTGGTAATCGAGACATGCCACCACAAAAATCATATCACATTTGCTACTCTTTATACAAAATTCTATACATGTTACATATAACGCTCAAAACATCTCAAAACCAAACTGGGATAATCATATCCCAGTCACCAACAAGACTGAACTGATAACTGTTTGAAAAAGCCACATACAAACTGGGATAGCATCCCTGTTGCCAACCAAACACAAGGGGGTTGTAACAAGTTGTAACCCCCATGACCTACAATTATAACCATCAATACTATCATGTGATTGGGAAACCAATCGCTCCCTTCTTTGCTCCCTCCATTCACGTCACATCGAATAAACCCCAGTTATTGGAGTTACCCCCTGCTGATTTAACGTAGCTGTCGAAAACCACCCTGTTCAATACAGGTAGATCATCATATGTATCCTCTACTAGTGAGCCATCAATACCTTAAATAACCACAGGATGACCCAACTTAGCTACCCTCTGGTAATTTCTTACATAGCGAACTGGAAAAATGGCCCAGTCGAAATAGTTGATCTACCCATGAAAAATGGTGGATCTTCCATCGTTTCTTGCATGTTTACCATTGTTTACCAGATGGTGATCCAGCTGAACCCGCTAGGCCCCCCTGACCCCCTGCGCCATTGCTGGCCTGCCGGCCACCAGGGCCACCAGGCTGCCGGCGCTCCGGAGCCAGGATCTGGCAGATTTCCATGGCTTTTTCACCACCAAGTCGGTCCAGTAAAGGTCCAGCAGTCATCTTTAGTCACTTGCACTAAATCCCATTAAACCACCATTAAATCATTTAAATCCCATGAAATCCCCACTAAATCCCATGAAATCCCCCACAAACAAGGATTTTGAGATGGCAGAATTGAACAATCAAAAGAAAGTCAGCGATATCAGATCCACATTGAACAATCCATCCCAGGTAAATGCAGAGCACTTGCTAGTCATCAGGTCTGGCACTTTGACATCAATTACCTTGGAAAACCCTTTATATAAAAGCATCAACATTCAATAGATGACATGTCAGATAGCAGATTTTATTGGCTGGGATCAGGAACATTGACCGGAAAATATCTGGCTCATTTTTCTGTAGATTTCCATATGTTCCCCATCAAATATATCATATCTCTGGGTGGGGGGTCCTATAAATGTTCCCTTCATCCGAAGATTGCCTGGACACAGGCACGGCTGCTGGCGACATTGCCAGCAAAACAATCACCTCAGCGAGCCAAGGAAAATCTGCAGGAAATCGGCGTATTTCCCATGAACATATTAATCAATGGATTGGTTTAAGGGAAAATCTAGAGGAAACCATGGTTTTTACCATCAAATAAGGGGGTTTCCTGTAAATTTTCCAATGATCCAAATCTTTGAATTAAAGAAGAATACACATCCAACTACAGGATGATACCCCCCAGTAATAAATCGATTTCATAATCCCCCTTCAGCTATATACCCCCATCAACCCTAGTATAAACCAACTTAGCCAACTTAGCCGACATGGAGATTTCCTGACATAGACACTTCCAGCAACTTGGGGAACCCTCCTGCATAGCCAAGTGGCCGCTGCGGCCGCTGCCAAACACCTGGCATGCCGTCGGCCCCGTCGGCCCATGGCCGCCACAGCCATGGCGGACTGGCGTCTAAGCCATGAGCTCGAAATCTTGGTCCTCTCCGGTCCTCCCAAACGGTTGAGCTTAGGAATCCAACAGCCTCATGAGCCTTAAACTTTACCGCAAAAACCATGACATACCACGACCACCAGTCGTCGATCTACTGATGACCATCACCAGCCTGTTCTGCCAAGGTCAAACTATCGCTGCAAAAACGTGAAAATGACCAGCTTGCCGGGTTTTTAATTGTACATGTTCCATCATGTTCCATCAATTGTCAGCAAAATCCATCCATTGTTGGGGTGTCTTCCTCCCACCCCCCAGATTTTGGGGCAAATACGGCCGTGCCGACTGCAGCTACAGCTGGAGAAACATGATGGCGGGCGAAACAACGAGCTGATGGATGCGAGGTAACAAAAAAAACGATTCAATTACCACAGCAAATCTGATCATATTCCACAATCACTCATAATCTCTAGAATCTAGAATGGAAATATGGGGAATCAGCCAGGGATTAGAGCTGGAAAAGTCAAACTTCACTTTTTGAGTAAAGTAGTGGTAAAGTACTCAAATATCCACAAATATCAATGAAGAATTGTGTGCATGTCTACATTCTCCCCACCATAAGGATGATCCCAGGGTCACCGAACGCCATCGTGCAAGCACGTCATCTTGCCTTCGCCCAGGGGCCTCAGTTTTCTAGTGGCCAAGTTACTCAAGTTCGGACTGGATGAATCATTTTGGTTGTTCCATGGGAAGTTCATAGTGATCCAGCGTGAAAAACCACCCATGAAACCCATGGCCCATCATCTCAACGACGGTGTTGGTATCGCCGATCGGTACCCAAAACCTCGGATCATCAGATCACCAATTGAGTATGTACATTGCATCGGGAGAACACGCACGCACACACGCACACATATATATATATATATTATAGTATATATAATGTGTTTATACATATATACATACATATTATATATGCATATAATATATATATATATATAGTATATACATACGAAACAGCATACACAACAGCACCCACCCACCACCACTACCACTTAATTTCTGCCAAGACATTGGGTAAACCGTCATAAACCATCCCCAAATAGATGTTTTTTTGGGGGGATTCTCATATTCCATCAATATCCCATTCATATTCCATGATATTCCCAGTATATGTGGGTAAAACATGGTAAAACTATGTCATGTTTACCACCCATTTTCCTGGGAATGGTAAACATACCACCTATAAAATGGTGATGACTGGGGGATGGTTTATGGCATGGTTTTACCCACATTATATAATTTATGGGATACTTTCTGGATGATCCATATGATGGCCATGATTGTCAATAATCTTCTATTCATATATAATATTCATGATATTCCCAGTAGTTAAATGTATATGTATATAATCCCTTCCCCCTAATATTAAACACCCCCTAAACGAAACCATGGTTTAGTGAGAATTTCCACATTCCATTGGGACCATATATGGGGTGTTTAATATTAGGGTGATGGGATTACATGGGATTACTACCATCACTTGTGGCTTCAACCCCCGCAGTTCCTGCACCATTTTCAACACTCACAACGCGGCACGCTTGCTGCGCTGTGGCCCCAGCACCTGCACGAGTCCACTAAGGGCCGAAATTAACCAACAAATTTGATCAAACATATTAAAACATAGATAAATGGAGGTTTCCTGAAATCGGGGTACCAGATCATCCATTTATAGATGGATTTTCCATTATAAACCATCCATTTGGGGCTACCCCCATTTGTGCAAACCCCCAAATAAGGATCACATGACGTTATGTTTGATAACTTTGAATAGCTGGTGGCTAGTGTTATAGCATTTCTATTAAACATCATGTCATTTACCGATTGGTTCTGCAAAATATGAAAAATAAGCGCCAACCAAATAGTGGCTTCGCATGACGCTTTTTTGCGGAAAAATATGGATGTGCCAATCAGCTGACCCATGCTGAAATGATTTCAGAAGCTGACCCCCTGCTGTTGAGACCTTTGAACATCGATGTAACCGCTTTGCTGCGTAAAATGCGGGAACTTCTCTTTACATTCTTTACCAGTGCGTACAAAATGTGCAAAACAAGCTGAGGACGTAATTTGTGATGACCGCCATAAATGATAAGATAGGCATTTCAAACCCGGCACTTCATCCAATCGGATACATGATCAGATCGGAACGAAGCCTCGGGTGCAGCTGAAGCCGGGCCATTGGGAACGGATAGAAACTCGTTGAATTGTGTTGTTAGACATGCAAGTGAACATCATTATAGACATGCCCGGATGTCAACGGACTCATATGTCATGTACTCTTCTTCTAAACTAACAGTTCGATGTGGAAAACGCACCATGAATGTTTCCCCGGCCGGGTTTTCCACATCTTTTAGTCTGTTTACCCTTGGGTAAGTATGTTATATGATTTTATCATTAGGATTGATGGTTAAACCATGTTAAACCCCCAAGAAATCCTGGGACATTCCACCCGGCCCTGCGGGTCCCAGTGCCTTTTGGTCCGCCATTGCGAAGGGTCCCTTGCTCTGCAGGAAGTTGCCGCACTTCGCCAGGGTCAACTCGCCCGAATGGCTGCCGTTCACGCCTCGTTAAGGGGGCGTTAAGGGGACGCAAGATGTGGCTGTGGCCTGGCACGGGCACCCATAGTCTACACGTAGGTTATAGGTTTCTCAATAGCTACATTGTTTTAAAGAATGGGTTTGATGTGTTTGGGTCTTGTTGGTGTGCTGATGTTGCTGATTATTTACAGATTGATTGTTTTCTACACATGTTATAATGTATGTTAATGATTGTTAATGATTGTTAATGTGTGTCAATATATGTTAATGTATGTTAAGTTAATGTATGTTAATGTGGTACCTTCTGCGTCGCAGACAAGGCATAGTTTTTCCAGTATCGGTATGTTGCTTATCTCGGACTGTTGTGTGGCAACTGGGCACAGCAAGCTATGTTGCTTAAAAATCCATATATATACATACAGCCATATATAGCCAACATATTTCTTCAACTGGTGGCAACTCAGGAAATCACCTCGCGAAGACGCGAAGGTCCTCGCGACTTATGGGAAATCTGTCGGTCCAAGACGTGGGAGATTTGGGAGCCCTGAGCCCTCGCAGCGATGCGTTGGTTTCCGGGCAGAATTGGTTGAATCGCAGGTGGCCATTGTTGAAGCTCCATTCCTCCGAAAAACGCTGAAAAACCAGGGTGATTCTCAAGGTATAGCAACCTCCGTGAATTTTGGTGGACATCGCAAACCAATCAACCTTGAGGTTGTCCCACCAATCCAAACCTTGTGGGATAGGGCTATCAGCTGCCTCTGAAGATGGTGCTGCCAAGCATTGCCAAGCTGTGTGGCTGGGTATCACATGTTCTTGGAAATTTCGATGATCATGCACCGTAACCCCTGAAAAGATGCCGAAAAGTTACAGTACATAAAGTATGAATTTACCGCTACCATCCACTACCTTGGAATCGGATTTGACCAAAATCCACCTGTTTGGGGAGTGCTAAAAAGGAACCCATGCGTTGACTCAACGTCCATGCCCGCGTCTCCTGCATTGCGGACTGATCCATGCAATTGTAGAGCCTTGCGCCAATGATGTCAATGAGCTTGATTAAAATAGATGCAACAATGTCTCCCCAAAATATCCAAAAACGTATCAAACAACGACAAACCTCTGGCAATCTAATAACCTTGCAACCGAAACATCCCCTACCATTTGCAATTGATTTTCCAAACCCTGGTTGCCCAGCGCTGTTCTCTTTGGTTGCAGCTGAGCCACAGAACTTTCGCCCCTAACTTGTTGGGTTCACCAGCATTGGCATCCAAACACCTGCAGAATCCCATGGCAGTGGGCAGATCATCAAAGATGGCTGGATTTTTTTCTGTTTGCGGATGACTTTCCATGACTTTCCCATCACAACCTCCGTTTTTGTTGGGGGCTTCCGAATGCCATGATGGATTATTTGACAGGGTAACTTTCATGAAAAGACGCACAGAAAGTGCCTAGAGGAAATTAAAACATCCTTTCAATAGCGGGTTTTACCTTGCCAACTTGAAATGGCCCAGAACTGGGGTATACCTCCAAAATGGCAATGTCAGCTTGCAAAATGATGCCAAGTTTGGAACAAACCGATATTGAAATAGGATATACCTAGACCCTCCATGTACCCAGAAACATGGTGTGTACCTTTTTTTGGTGGTATTTGGAGGATCCATGTTCATATGAAGTCATCAAGACCAAGGCGCGCGTTGCTTTCAACATGTTCAATGCTGCGACCTGGCGTACCGTTTGACAAATTACCCAGGACCGGATTTTCACCATCTTTGTTGCACGTGGAAGATGTGTTCACGTACGTCACGTACCCATCATCCATTGGTTGGTGGAGCCTATTCTATGCGTCAACGGTGAGCTGGATTGATATTGATATCACTGATGTCACTTAAATCGCTGTGGGGCAATTCTTACCCTCATGATTTACTCAACCATTCTAAAGCACCAACCCAAACCACAAGCTAACTATTGGTTAGATTTCTTTAAAAAAATGTCAGAAACATCACGGTGGTGACTTCGAAAACTTCCTCGCGGTTTCTCGAAGCCGCCTTTGTGTGTGAAGGCCCAGCGGAGGCGGCGATCCTGACAATCGTCATGGCAAATTCTTTCCGAGGGGATGACCATATGGTCATTGTACATAGGAAGGACCACAGGGTATATAATATATATATATATACACTATAATAATATCATAAATGTATAAATAAATATTTATATATACATATACATGTGATATGTGAATTTCCCTTTAAGTCCACAAGGCAAGGGTGGACCCGTTTCAGTCCCTCTGGTTGCACGGCACTTCGATGAGTCGCGAGGTGCCGTGATCCTCCGTGAGGCACAGCTCGGTGACCTCGCAAAGTGTCCTATTTTTTTCTTGAACTCAAAAAATCTTCAGACATAATATGATCATTCTATGTACCTGTGCATATATTACACTATATATATATATATCATTGCATTATCGAAGGAAGTTTAGAAGTCAAACTTCCGACAATATGGACAGATGAAAAGCAGAGCAGGGAAGAGGCAGAGAGAAGAGAAAGATTAGAAGAGAGATCAGAAGAGAAAGAGTCAGAAGAAAGAAGATGCAGATGCGCGAAAAGGTAGGAAAGTCGCGAAACACTGTGTTTTTCCAATGATTTGAGGCTCCGGAGGGTCGAAAAGTAGGCTCGCTAAAGCGGCGGTTGCGGAGCCAGCTGGCCAGATGAGAGATGAAAACTTGCACGCCGTTGTGGCGCGAAGCAGATTTCGAAGTGAAAATGCACAAAACACACCATGGTCGGAGCACTTTTGGAAGTGGAGATGTCGAAAAAGTGCACGCAGTTGTGGCGCGAAGCACATTTTGAAGTCAAAATGTACAAAACACACCACGTTCGGACCACTTTTGGAAGTTGCGATGTCGAAAAAGTGCACGCCGTTGTGGCGCGAAGCACATTTCCAAGTCAAAATGTACAAAACACACCAGCTCCGGACCACTTTTGGAAGTTGCGATGTTGAAAAAGTGCACGCCGTTGTGGCGCGAAGCACATTTCGAAGTCAAAATGTTAAAAACACCAGGGGTTCGGACCACTTTTGGGGGTTCGGATGTCGAAAAAGTGCACGCCGTTGTGGCGCGAAGCACATTTCGAAGTAAAAATGTTCAAAACACTAGGGGTTCGGACCACTTTTGGGGGTTCAGATGTCGCTTCGCTTCAATACACTACACTACAGGACATTACACTACACTGCACTCCAGTACACTACATTACACCACACTACGCTCCAGTACGCTCCGCTACACTAAATTACACTACACCACACTACATTACACTGAATGACACTGCAGCACAGATAGACAGGGAGACAGCTAGACAGATGAAAGGGAGAGATAGATAGATAGATAGATAGATAGGTAGGTAGGTAGATAGATAGATAGATAGGTAATTAGATGAAAGAGAGAGAGAGAGAGGCCAGCTGGGTAGATGAGATAGATAGATAGATGGCTAGACAGACAGACAGACAGACAGACAGACAGATAGATAGATAGATAAGTAGACAGATAGACAGATAGATAGATAGATGGATAGATAGACAGATAGACAGATAGATAGATAGATGGATAGATAGATAGACAGACAGACAGCCAGACAGATAGACAGATAGACAGATGAAAGAAAGAGAGAGAGAGAGAGATATAGATAGATAAATAGATAGACAGATAAATAGATAGATAGATAGATAGGTAATTAGATGAAAGAGAGAGAGAGAGAGATAGATAGATAGATAGATAGATCGATAGGTAGATAGATACATAGAAAATAGATAGGTAGGTAGGTAGATAGTCAGAGAAAGAGAGAGAAAGAGTGAGAGAGATCAAGCACCTTTCAGTCCATCAGTGGCTTCGCTCTGCCATCTCTGATTCACAACAGGCTTCCTATTTTTGAAACTTCCGCCACCGCCTTGTGCGGTACTACTGGTAAGATATTATAATTATAATTAATTATATATAAATGATATAAGATATATATATATGCGTCTGTGTGTGTGTGGGAATGTGTGTGTGTTGCAATATGATGCAAATATATGTGCCTGTATATTTGATTGTATGGGCAAAAACAGAGAGTAACGCTGAGACTGACAATGAATAGCATTGAAAAACTGCATGGCACATGATTTCTTGTGACATCTGAACAGTTGTGTGCCCTGTGCTTAGACAATACTGATTTGGTGTCAGTTGGAAACCGTGTGGGCTGCTTGCTTCTCAAAAACTCTGACATGTGCTGTCTTGAATAATCTCTGTAAGGGTTTGTATGAAAATATGGTACCCCAAAGCCCATCAACGTAGCGTTTTTTTAAATATATGTGACGCATGTCTTGTCTGGGCTTGGCTCCCGACAGTGTCCCGTATCAAGAACATCTCCTCGCATGTCGCGTTGATGCCGGCAGGTGTCACTACAGACCCAACACCTGAAGACTCGCACTCCAATTTGCATCAGTGGCAATAACCCCTGCCGGCAGATGAGTGCACATCAAACAATGGCCGAAAATCCGAGGCCCAGTTGTTCAAATACTTCTTGGAGGAAAGAAAAACGGCTGGCACATTCAATCTGGTTGGTGGTATACCTACCCCTCCGAAAAATATGAATTCGTCAGTTGGGATGATTATTCCCAACTGAATGGAAAGTCATAAAAGATGTTCCAAACCACCAACCAGCAATATACTGACAGAAAGGAGGTAACCAGCCAGAAAGACATGACTCTCCCTCCGTGTTTCCCCATGTGCCAGCACCGTCCGCTTGAGGCGGTCCTTTGGAAGCATGCTTTTCCTCTCGAAGACCTCCTGGCAATATGAAATTGTGAATGGGCATGAATGGGCTAAGTATGGCTTATCATCTGGAATCTGGAAGATCATCTCAAATCAGCTACATGGCTACATGATTTCCTAGGATTTTGAATGATATTGGCATGATATTGGCATACATTGGCCAATTACTGTACATAGTCATACTGACTGGCACTTACCTTTTCGCAGGTGTTTGTCTTGGTTTTTTCTTTTGGCAGCACACGCATATCCAAATATTAATTTAAAGCCAACTGCGGAAGCCAATTTCTTCGTGGATCCAGTTGGCAGACTGGCCGGCTGTTGGTCAAACTGCACAGGCTGAACCAGAAAATGCGGCAAAAACTGCAGTCCCTGCTGGATCCGTGCACAAGAAGACAATCTTTGCAGGCTTTGGTGCAGCAACTTCTGCTGCCCGCTGCTTGGCCAATGGCGGAGGTCAGCCGTTGCCAATGGAACCCAAAAGACAAGCCCCGCGATTTTTTTACAAAGTCAGATTTGTGCTCTATGCTTTCTTTAAAGAATTGAAAGTCAAACAAGGAATTGAGGGATATGGTACCAATGCGTAGCTCTGCACTGGAACCGACTGCTATCGGTCTCAGCGGCGATACAGCACTGGATTTCCACTGGATCTGTTTTTTCCCGGATCCAAGCATGTCTCGCGCTTTCGTGTTACGTTCTGCCAAGATTATCTTCCCCTTGGTGTATCCAAGCTGCAAGCGGGTCATAAGCTAGTGTATGAGTGTTATATATATATATATATGTGCATATGTTTTCCATATGCTCCAATTTGGCAAACCCAATCATAAACTTGTCATCAAGCATGTTCAAGGATCATTCTACATCCTTCCCATACTGACATAGATATGGAAAAGAATCAATTTTAGTATAGATACTTTAATTTTCATTATTACTTATTACATTTTCCATGCCTATGTTAATAGATAAGCGCTAAGGCTTTCCCATATCGCCATTTTTTTTTTGGATCATGGCATCCAATCCCCATGGAAATTCCCAAACTCCGGACCTTGCTGTTGATGGGTTTCACCATAAATTATGGTGATTAATACAGTGATGGTGATTAATATTAAAACACCAATTTATGGAGTATTTATGGTGATTACTACAAACACATTAGTTAGTTAATCACCATAAAACTCCATGAATAGATGGATTTCTATTCATTAATCACTTTTAAAAATCCATTAATTAATCACCATAAAACCCCAATTGCTGTTGATGTCCTTTTCTTTAAACCCATAGGTATGTGATCCCCATGATTTACTACAAGTAGCATGTGGTTGGGAAATTCTATTCGTAGCTCCAATTTCGAAACAGGAATATGGATACAACCATAGCTCTGAACCGCTTCCTCCTAACCACTGGGAAATTGCACCATGATCTAAAACCCCAATTGATTTCTCTTCGGTGTCATCAAGCATTGCTGGAAAATCCGCATCGAAAATGGAGATTTCTAGCTGGACGAATCATCGAACTAAATGAGTGACTTTCAAGCTAGCCATGTTTGGCTAACTGGAGGGCAAACGGTTCAGCCAAATACCACTATGTTCCCATGCTCGGTGTGATATAGTGCCATTGCTAATAGTCATTGCATTCCCGTGGGAATTTTGTAAACCATAGTAAACCGAACAATTCTGGTTGGTGGTTTCAACCCCCCTGAAAAATATGAGTTCGTCAGATTGGATCATCAACCCAACTGGGGAAAATTCAAAATTCATGTTCCAAACCACCAACCAGTATATTAATCATTGATTATCATTATTAACCACTATTAACCACTATTAACCACTATTACGGTAACTACATTTAAATATACGGATTTTAATTAAATATACGAACAGGTATTTTAGACTACCTCCAGGAAGGTTTTCCTTGGCCCGCCCAGCAATTTAAACATACGGAGTCCAATTCATTTAAACATACCGTAACTACATTTAAATATACGAACTGGTATTTCATGCTACCTCCGGGGCCTCGCGGTTTGGCCCGCCCTCCACATATTTATATAAATGTCGTTACCGTCATATAGATTATCCCATTATTAACCATTATTCATGTTCCAAACCACCAATCAGAATTTTTCGTTTCCCCCATTTGACCAGCTAGAAATGGGTGATGTTTCTGGCAGCTCGCCTTGAACTTTGACACATACCTGGCGCGCAAAGTGGGCCGTGGCAGGCAACGGAGAATGCAAGACTTGGTTCAGAACGCTCCCGAAAATTGCGGTTTAGATGGGTCATAAATGGCTTATGAATGGCTTATGAATGGTTATAATTCTGGGGAGGTTTAGTTGATTTTGTTTAATCAATCATTATAGTGAATCATGGATAGTTATTGGTCATTGGTTATTGTGGGCATACGAAGTTCCCCCAATAATCAACCAGGATCAATAGGGTCTGTGTTTGATATGTTTGTTGCTGGTTTGATTGAGCCTTCCAACGTGTCAAACGGTTGCCAACCAGACGTACGGTATTCAATTTTCTCTAGGTATAACAGCATTAATTACAGATTATAACAGTAACTTCAGTGGCACACTACCCCCAACATCCCCCAACCAAACATGCTCGATCATGCTCGCAAATCACCTGGTATATCCACCAGCTTTTGGATTCACCGATCACGCGATGCCTGAAACTCACCTGCAATTTGAAAATCACCTGGCAATGGACCCATTGATACCAATACTCCTGCGTGAACAGCAGCACCCAGAAAATAAATACATATAACGTGCACATAATATGTATATAAACAATTATATTGAATAAATATGATATTAGCATATAGCAATAAAACGAACAAGGGTCGAATTTTCGACTTTCGACTCTGTTTCTTGATGTTTCGTCCAGCTCCTTCCCATGATGGCCACGGCACCAGCTGAATGGCTTGCAGTGTAGCTTCTGCTTCAGCGCGACCCTCTCGGAGATGTCACCTCGGGGTGCAAAATTGGACCTACCAACCTCCAAAGAGATAGGGAAGTAATGATCAAGTAAAATCCTATTGAAAGATACAGATACATCATCATAATCATACATACATACATGTATATATATATATAATATTTATACATCATATAAATAAATATATATATATATGTACATACAACACTCACCGATCTGCCGCCCTCTGCCGCCATGGCGCCCATGAAGGGAATGAAGCGCTTAGCACCGGGGTCTGCTGCCTCGGCGGGATGTGGATGATGCTGCCCCCATCCGTCGGTTTCTCCAGCCTTTTTGTAAGGACTAAATATAGCTTCACGAGCAAAAGTGGTGACTTAAGTGCTTTATAATCCATTGATGACAGATAAGTTGGTTTATAACTACATAATGCATATACCAATCAAAATGGCGATGTACTGGCTATATAATGTGGTATAGGATTACTTTTCAAGTCTAGATACATCTATTTTCTGTATATGCATATGTATATATATAATATATATACATATATCCGCCACAAAATCCATATCCACTCTCTGTTGTCAACGATGGATGTTGTTATTTCTACGACTTTCTAGCTCTCCTCCCTCTCTCTCTCTGATGTTGCAATAGATCATGCCCATGTCTTTGAGGATCGCTTATCATGAACACATGGTCCAACAAATGCCTTCTCATGACTCGGCTTTGGGTTCTTTTTTCAAAAACTTGGTCAACCAAAGATCTCAATAAACGGCCAAAGTGGTGTGATGTGTTTCAGGCACATGTGATGGCGACAGCCGGGCCACATAGTAGTACTCCTTGTACTCATCAAACCAAGCCTCTACGGTTCGCACCTTGTTGATATAAATCTCCTTCACCGTGGGAAGTGGCACAACTGGATCTTGGTGAAACTCCCGACAGTGAAGGCAATATGCAATTGCGGAGTCAGTGGTAGTAATTCAACATCAAGGATGCAGTTCCGCACACATCATCAGTTCTGTGTTTCCTGACTATACTGCAGATTCTTATGGATTCGCACTGAGTTTCTGAAATGATCTGGTTTTTCTATCCCAAGGCTCCCAACATTTCCCCCAAAAAAACAACGGCAGTCCGTGTTGTTGACGGCGTAGGGAAATTTGCGACGAAAGAGATGCGCCTGACGGATGCCAGGGCAGCGTAAAACGTTCGCCGTCGCCCGAGGAGTCGCCACCGTTCTGAAGCGCCAAGGGACCACCCGGGAGTCGCGAGCCACGTAGATTTCGCCGCCGCAAAGCCAGACCCTGAGGGTGGCACTGCGAAAAGTGTACACATACAAAATAGATCCTGGTTGGTGGTTGAGCCCTACCCCTCTGATATATCATATATCATATATTATAGATTATATATTATAGATTATAGAATATATATATATATCTATATCAGGTAGATACCATCTGGTTATGACTAACATAGCCATGGAAAGATCCACCAGTTTTAATAGGTAAACCATCTATAAAAAAAGCCATCTATACCATGGCTATGTTAAATAACCAGCCAGAGGGTATAATATATATCCTGGCTGGTGGTATACCTACCCCTCTGAAACCTATGAAAGTCAGTTGGGATGATGACATTCCCAACTGAATGGAAAAATAAAATTCATGTTCCAAACCACCAATCAGTATCTATATATTGATATAGCTGCGTGTGGTATGTATACATATGTATAATACATAATATACATATATATATATATTCCCACTGAATCCCCGTTGATAGCACAAGGTACTAGTTACTATCGAAGGTTTGCCCAGACAAAACCGAAGGAAAGCAAAGTACGTAAAACACTGGGCTCAGCTGAGCCGAAGATGAACAGAAACAGAGAGAAACAGAGCAAATCTTGCTGGTGGTTTCCGCCCAACTTTAGTACGGCTTCACATTTTGGCCATGTTTTGGCAATTTTTAGCCAGTTGCACCTACTGAAATAAGTTCATACAATTTCATACACATATGTCACTTAGGGCCATAGCGTGATGGGTCACCCAAGTACATCTCACCACCTACAGTTGGAAATCGCTGATTGTAGCTCCTTGGCCCCCCCCACTTGCAGGATTTAAAAGAGAATATGACAATACCTCCCGAATCAACCTTAGCCATTCCAATATGCCTATAGACCCTCCAAATACCTCCCAAAAATTGTAAAAACCAGTAAAAACACCCAAATTGTGAAGAAACAACATTTTTGTGATTACAAACGGAAGCTCAAGGTATATTGATTATAGATTATTACCCCATATATTCCCATACTGCGTCCATCAAAACGCACAATTTTCCCCATATACTCTCTGGTAATTTAACGTAGCTACGGGAAATGGTCAATTCATGCTCATTGTTAATTGATTTCCCTATGAAAATGATGAGGTTCCATAGTTATATATGTTAGTTTGCCAGAAGGAACATCAATGGTAATATTTATCTCTGGTAATTTAAGTATTTGTGCGCTTAAAATTTTATCTAGGGAATATCACCATTTTGCATGGTGAATTTATGCTCTTTGTTCCCCAACTGGATCCCGGTCCTGATCGATTGCTCGATGTTTTCGGCGCCCCACATGTTCATCCCGTAGTCGTACCTGGTGCTTCGCACCATGGAAAAACAGCGGAAAAATGGTGGAACGTTTATGTCATGGATATCCTGGTTGGTGGTTGAGCCCTACCCCTCTGAAAAATATGAAAGTCAGTTGGGATGATGAAATTCCCAATATATGGAAACATAAAAAATGTTCCAAACCACCAACCAGGGATATATCAGTGCTATGAGACATAACACCTATGAATATTCTAGATAGATAGATAGGTAGATAGATAGATAGGTAGATAGGTAGATAGGTAGATAGGTAGATAGGTAGATAGGTCGATAGGTAGATAGGTAGATACATATATATATATATGCTCCAAATGTGTTAGAAGTAGTGATGGATTCACATAGATGATATTAATGCATATGTGGGGAATGGATGGAATATATGGCTGGAGATCCATGATTTCTGGCTCGATTTTGCAGGGTGAATCCATGATTTCACCCTCCCCCATGATGGTTTTCAGATGGGAAAACCCGGGGATCATCAGTGTTTTGGGCCAAGCTACTTGAAATCCAACAAAAAGAAGAAGCAGAAGCAGTTGGGATACAGCTCGGTTGTTTAGCTCTAAAAATTCCTGGGAAACACAAAAAAAAGCGGAAAAAAAGTGATGTTGATATATTACACTCTGTACATCATTTAGCCTCTGGCGATTTCACACTTTGCGAACTGGGAAATAAAACCACTCTGAAAATAGCAAAGTACTAAAATCAGTAAATGGATATAGATACAAATAGATAGTGGTTCCAACTAATTTCCCCATATGTTTTTTGTTGAATCCCTATTTCCAAGTTGCCTAAAATGGGATTTTTGATGTGGCAAACTGTTAAATCACCAGCAGGTATCTCAAAAATCCATATCCCTGTTGGTCAAACCCAACTTGAGTCATCATAAAATCATCATTTCCCAAGCGAAATTCCTACATTCCCCATGAGATATATATATATATATGGGTAAATTATAATATATCACTAACCTGAATTAAGGCCATTTGGGGATGATTCCCCTTATTAACCATGATTCCAGTGAGGTCGCAGTGAGGTCGTTATAATTTACCCACATATATATATATATATATCCCAGTGATATTTCCAATGATATTCCCAATGATATTCCCATGTTTAGGTACCCAATATATACCCATTTCAATGTTATTTCATTTCCATTCCCAATGTTATCCATTATATATCCATTACATTGTAATAACATTGTTATTCTTTTTTTGATATCCCATTTTATATCATTGCGTACCCATGCAGGATGGGCCCCCCCAATTATAAGTTGGTATATAGTTAACTATAACCACCATTAACTATAGTTGTATATAGTTATATCTACCCTCTGGTTCTTTAACATAGCCATGGAAAGATCCACCATTTTTAAGTTCGGTAAACCATCTATTTCTATGGGCCATCTATCCCATGGCTATGTTAAATAACCAGATGGTACCATAAACCATTAGAATTCAGTTGGTTTATAATTGACTATAACCCCCATTAACTATAGTTGTATATTTAGTTATATATATCTACCATAAACCATAGAATTCAGCCACAAAAATATCTCAACTGAACGCAACAACGAACGGGGGCCCCATCGGCCCCATCCTGTGATGATCTTCGCCCAAGCGTCTCCCCAGACTCGTGCCACCAACGTTTTGAGATGGCGAAGAGACCTGGACGACGGTTCTCGGTTTTCTGGATGCTAATAATCCATGTATTGATATAGTTAATATATGTTATTATTACTATATAGAATAATCAATTTATCAATATAGACTATCTAGAAATTTTCGTTTTCTAATAATCAATTTAAAATATAGCGCTATTATTACTATAAGTATTATCATAATTAATGAATATACTATTAGACAATGATAGTTATTAAAAATACTTATGTTGATTAACTATAGGTATTATTACTATCATCCAGATAATAATGATTTAATAAGTCACATATATCACATATATATATATATATATCATATCTACATTTAATAAATCATCGGCTATAGATATTTACTATATGTACTATATGTACTATAAGTACTATAGCCGTTTTACCTATTGTATAGATATATCATCATTGACTATAGTTCTGGCTGAATCATCATAACTCACTGATCTGAAAGTAGCTGTTATCATGCGGCCAGCTATGGGGATGATTCCCCGAATCCAATTCCTGATACCCTCTGGTAAACCTACAAAAAACTATGGAAAATCAACATGCTATTAATGGGTAAATCCACCATTTCGACTGGGCCATGGCTTCAATAGCTATGCAACAAATTACCAGAGGGTATCCCCCATTATATCCCATTATATCCCATTACATCCCATTATATCCCACTAGATGAACCATCAAATCACCAACTATAAATGGCCATTTTCAATAGATTTTTGTTTGACATAACCAGATGGTATTTCCCGTCATTCCAGAATTCCATCACCCTGAGGTCATCATCAAATTCAGATCATGTCATTTCTATGGTGAAAACTACCCTCTGGTACTGTGATCAAACGTGGCTAGCTATGCTAGCTAGAAAATCCTCTCACTAAATAAAGGTTTATATCTGGGAAAATCATTGAACTAAATGGGGAGTTTCCAATTGCTATGGTTGATGACCAGAGGATAAAGATGGGTGAACCCACCAACCAAAGGAATAACATCCAGCAATAGTTCGATGATATTCCCAGCCAGCCACATTTGATTCCCAGAGGGTATCAACTGATATAAATTGATATCATGATTCCAGTTAAGATATCATGGTTCCAGTTAATTGGACTTGCAACCAACCAGTCCAAAGATGTCAAAAGGAATATATTATAATTAATGATTAATGATTATACTATACATAATTTCCTGAGCAAAAAGGCAAATGTCATAGTTGCTCTCAATGCGGCCCCCTACGATTTCCCATTGAATATTCAACATGCCCTTCGGTAATTTAACACTTTGCGATCTGGAACATCACCCTTAAAAAAATAGCTACCCTCTGGTAAACATACAAAAAGCGATTGAAAATGGCCATAGAAATAGTGGATTTACCCATGGAAAATTGTGATTTTCCATAGCTATGTAAAACGTTTACCAAAGGGTATCAATGATCGAACTAAATGAGCCAGTTTTGGGGGAAGCCTTGGGCAATCAACGTGGCTAGTTGGGAAACCCCTGCACCAAATGGAGGTGTTAAGATGCTGAATGGGGAAAACATCGACAAATCGGGGATTTTCCATTGCCATGTTTAATTGCTGGAGGGGTACTCCCTAATTAATCCATCAACCGGCGACTTTTTAATCCAGGGTTGACATTACAAAAGAATGACGATTCCGAGGGCGCCTCCGCTCATGCAGGGGACCAGATCTGAACCATCTTCGAACCAATTGAAGAAGAGGGTCCAGTCAAATCTTGTCCATTGCGGCCGTTGGTCCCTACCTACTAGCTGGTGTCCATAGTATAAGTAAGCGGCTGCTATCACAAGAGTGTCCTGACACAAGTGTGCAAATTAGGTACTGCAACCATTACATGATCAAATCTGGTTGGTGGTTTCAACCCCTCTGAAAAATATTAGTCAGTTGGGATCATGATTCCCAATAATTAAATGGGAAAAAATGTTCCAAACCACCAACCAGACATGATCAATAGCAGTCACTATTTTAGTGTAAGTGAACATGCTTTTCAGCTGGATCTGACATGTATCAACCAATCCCAAGGATAGAGTCATGTGTCACTTCATTTCACTTCAAAGCGGCCATCAAACCACTTTTGCAAAGTACACCATAGCAGCCATATGTCACATTCCCATTATCCCATCATTTTCCCATATATTATATTCCCATTGTTGCTGGAGGCTTCAAAGAAGCCACCAGCAGCCACTGGACCGGATTTTTCATCCATCATATTTCCGTGATTTCATTCCAAGTGTTGCCTCCCCACTGGCATTCACCATTCATTTTCTAGATCCCATCATGTTCCCATAATTCCAAAAAATGCCACTGTTAGTTCCTGGAGGGTTTTAAAAACCCTCCTACCCACTGGCATTCACCGATAGTTCCTGGAGGGTATATCCCATTATATCCTATTAGATGAACCATCAAATCACCATTTTCAATGGGTAAATCCGCTATAAATCACCATGTTCAATAGCAAACGACATAACCAGAGGCTATTTCCCATTATATACAGTAATATCCCCATATTTTCCTTGGTTCAAGACCTATGAATCACCATCAAATCAAATAAAATCCACTATAAATCCACCATTTTTCACCACGGGGCATCATCTTCACGCCCACGGCGTTGTTGTCGATCTCCCACGCGTCATCCAAGATGGGAATCAACGGCACCACGACCCCTCGACAGGCCCGGTCGGCAACGGTCACGGTCGGGGTTCACGCAACGCGTTCGCAAGGCGAACAAAAAGGCATAGCCTCTGGGAAATAATGGGATTTATAGTGATTTAATGGGATTTATAGTGATTTAATAGGATTTATAGTGATTTAATGGGATTTATAGTGATTTAATAGGATTTATAGTGATTTAATGGGATTTATAGTGATTTAATAGGATTTATAGTGATTTAATGGGATTTTATATTGATTTTATAGTGATTCAATGGGATGTTAATGGGATATACCCTCTGGTTATGACATACAAAAAGCGATTGAAGCCATGGCCCAGTCGAAATAGTGGATTTAGCCATGAATCGCATGGTGATTTTCCATAGTTATGTAAACGTTTACCAGGCCGGGTAGCTGGTGCTGAAATCCCATGAAAAATCGTGGCAAGTCTGACTTTTCAATCATTTGATTGTTGGGGCTGTTACTATGCTGACTTTGCATGTCCCAACAGGCAATTCAAAACAATGGCAGTCAGCTTAACCAGAAACACTGTAATTGCACAGCATCCCAAAGTCATGAAAAATCATGAAAATCACTGGTGAAGAGTCCTTCTTCCCCCCGGTGCGGCATCAGGTTGCGCCAGAAATTTCAAGGCTTGTCCGAGGCGCGCTTGTAATTCTGGTTGATGTGCTTGAGGAGCGGTTTGTGCCAACCTGCATCGAAAAAACGCGGCCTATGGCTACAGCCAACTCCAGGTGGGCACTCCCAGTACAAACTGGTGTGGCGTGCCTTTTCAAAATATTTGGATTCTACATTATCTCATAATTACGGCGTAATATTATCAATATTATTGTTGTTATACTATATATATATTATAGATATATTATCATTCATATGCATGCATATCGGCATGCATGTATGTATGCATGCATGTATCTGTATGTATCTGTATGTATCTGTACGTATCTGTACGTATCTGCACGTATCTGTACGTATCTGTATGTATCTGTGTGTATCTGTATGTATCTGTATGTATCTGTATGTATCTGTATGTATCTGTATGTATCTGTATGTATCTGTGTGTATCTGTGTATCTGTATGTATATGTGTGTATCTGTATGTATCTGTATGTATCTGTATGTATCTGTGTGTATCTGTATGTATCTGGTTGTATCTGGTTGTATCTGTATGTATCTGTATGTATCTGTGTGTATCGGTATGTATCTGTATGTATCTGTGTGTATCTGTATGTCTCTGTATGTATCTGTATGTATCTGGATGTATCTGGATGTATCTGTATGTATCTGTATGTATCTGTATGTATCTGTGTGTATCTGTATGTATCTGTATGTATCTGTCCGTATCTGACGTGTCTGCACGTATCTGTATGTATCTGTATGCATCTATGTATCTGTATCTGACGTGTCTGCACGTATCTGTGTGTATCTGTATGTATCTGTATGTATCTGTATGTATCTGTGTGTATCTGTATGTATCTGTATGTATCTGTGTGTATCTGTATGTATCTGTATGTATCTGTGTGTATCTGTATGATTCTGCATGTATTTGTATGTATCTGTATGTATCTGTATGTATCTGCATGTATCTGTGTATCTGTATCTGTATGTATATGCATACGCATACGCATATAGTATAAAAGCATAACTATCCCCTGCTACTCACACGTGTCTACTTGGAACCCCCCCATTTAGTTCGATGATGTTCACATCTAATAGCCATTTACTGAAGGATTTCCCCATGTTGGATGACACTGCTTTGCCGCCTTCTTCAGGTCGAACGTGCGCATCTAAAAACATGATGATGTCCTCAGTGGCGCTGGGCGATAGCTATGACTGAGTGCAGCCACAGAAATCATCAAACTCTCAGCATGTTGACTGTTCTGGTTGGTGGTATACCTACCCCTCTGAAAAATATGAAAGTCAGTTGGGATGATTATTCCAAATATATGGAAAAATAAAAAATGTTCCAAACCACCAACCAGTGTTGGTCTTTAAGTATTCCTGGGCCTTTGCAAAGCCTCTACTTTTTAGTGATTTTTTTGATATCCGCTGTACGAGAATTGTGTCTCGGGGTGCAGGCCCTGAATGCCAAGGTTCTCCTTCGGCAATATTTCCACCCTCCATCTTTGATTTGATGAGCCCCTTCCTTGGCAACTCACCAAGGATCTTCAAGGATCTCCTCTGACACTTGTGGATCTTTCATCTGCAACAAAAAGACACAAGCGACATCTGCTGTGAACATGTTCCGGCCACCTGGCTCTACACATGCTCTTTAAACCTTGAAACTGTCAAATTCGAGTAATTCGAGCAATACCGAACCGCCCAAATTTTGATGGTTTACAGTATATGACCCATTTATATCCATGTGTGGTACATGAACCCACAAATCTTCATTGGGTCAGCCGTTCCCATCGATCCCACCGCGCATCCCCTGCCGAGTCTCCGTTGTTCGTGTCTCAGCCTGGCGACTGCGGCGATGGCCAAAAAACCATGGAATTGAGAGACACACGCGCGCGCGTGTGTGTGTGTGTGCGTGTGTCCGTACGTACGTACATCCAACGTACGTGCATATATCTATATCTCTATCTCTATCTCTATCTCTATCTATCTATCTATCTGTCTATCTATCTATCTATCTATCTATCTATCTATATCGATCTATCGATCTATCGATCTATCGATCTATCGATTTATCGATCTATCGATCTATCGATCTATCGATCTATCGATCTATCGATCTATCGATCTATCGATCTATCGATCTATCTATCTATCTATCTCTGTCTATCTCTATCTATCTCTATCTATCTCTATCTATCTAGATCTATCTCTATCTATCTATCTATCTATCTGTCTATCTATCTATCTATCTATCTATCTATCTATCTATCTATCTATCTCATCTATACGTGTAACATACACTGGGTACATTTTTCCGTTGCATCAGGAAGGATGATGGCAACAACGTACTGTCGACGGTAGGACACCTTTTTGGTAGGTGGATCTCATTGTAGTCATACATTTATCGAAGGAAGTTTAGAAGCTAAACTTCCGACAATATGGACAGTTGAAACGCAGAGCAGGGAAGAGTCAGAAGAGAAAAGATCAGAAGAAAGAAGAGGTAGATGCGCGAAAAGATAGGAAAGTCGCGATTCACTGTGTTTTTCCAATGATTTGCGGCTCTGGAGGGTCGAAAAGTAGGCTCGCTAAAGCGGCGGGTGCGGAGCCAGCTGGCCAGATGAGACATGAAAAAGTGCACGCCGTTGTGGCGCGAAGCACATTTCCAAGTCAAAATGGACAAAACACTAGAGGAGCGGACCACTTTTGGAAGTTGAGATGTCGAAAAAGTGCACGCCGTTGTGGCGCGAAGCACATTTTCAAGTCAAAATGTACAAAACACACCATTCTCGGACCACTTTTGGAAGTTGAGATGTCGAAAAAGTGCACGCCGTTGTGGCGCGAAGCACATTTCCAAGTGAAAATGTACAAAGCACACCATGGTCGGACCACTTTTGGAAGTTGAGATGTCGAAAAAGTGCACGCCGTTGTGGCGCGAAGCACATTTCCAAGTCAAAAGTGATAAAAACTGACGGTCTCGGACCACTTTTGGAGGTTCAGATGTCGAAAAAGTGTCGAAAAAGTGCACGCCGTTGTGGCGCGAAGCACATTTCGAAGTCAAAAGTGTAAAAAACTGCGGGTTTTGAGCCTTTTTTGACGTGAAGATGTCGAAAAAGTAGACGCTGATTAACTTAACTAACTTCACTAACTTAACTATCCTAACTTCGACGACAACAGCAACAGCAACAACAACAACAACACCAACCACAACAACAACAACAACACCAACCACAACAACTACAACTACAACTACAACAACTACAACTACAACAACTACACAACAACTACAACTAGACAACAACTACAACTACAACAACTACAACTACAACTACAAAACAACTACAGCTACAACTATATGACTGCAACTACACTACACTAATTACATTACACCACAACTACAACTCCACTACGCTACAACTACAACTACAGTTGCAGTACATCACACTACATCCAGCAGTTGTGGGTGAGGTGACCACTGCAACCATTGCAACCATTCCAGCAAACACAACTCCAACCACCTTTCGGTCAATCAGTGGATTCGCTCTGCCATCCGTGATTCACAACAATCAATCTCTCCTATAGGTTTCCTATTTTTGAAACTTCCGCCACCGCCTTGTGCGGTACTACTGGTAACCACTACCACAAGGAGGAAACCAGTGCGGACAAGATATTGTGAACACACACCATGCAAAGAAGAACTACGCAACTAAACCCACATAAATGTACATAAACATGCACAAATAAGATGTAACGAACCATACTCAGCATACATCAGTCGTTCCCACCGGGTACATCCATAGATCAACCCGCCATCATCGACAGGCGGCAATCTCACAATGGGATAGTTATACACCATCGGAGCCAATGGCGGGCTGCTACCATCATCCACCTCGGCAGCTCTGAGCGCTTCGCTCAGCTGGGGCAGATCCATTTTTTGTCCTCAAAACAACCAAGCTTAGGGTGTGAAGGAATTGCTGAATGAATGCTCATGGATGTTGATTGGTGTTATATAATGAATGTTAATGGTCTAGCCGCCTAGCCATGTCCACAACACCATGAAATCCCCCATGGTAAACCCCATGGTCTACCCAGCATCCAGTCGGTCCCGGCTCCGGCTCCCAGGCTCCAAATGGCTCCAAGGAACCAAAATGATCTCCACCAACAGCTCTATGGGCGTGCTCTTCAGGATGGAATCCAACCTCAGCTGAGGGGTTTTAAGATGGGTTTTTCAGCAGGTTTTTCTGCGGATGGCAACAGCGGGTAAACCAGCACTGGCAGTCACTGGCACCTTCATCCGCTATTTGGACAAAAATCATGCTTAGGACTGCCTTAGGACTCAAAAACCCCGAAAAAAAGGTGGCCAGATCCCAACTGAGTCCCAACGTTCGCGTCAAATACCTGGCACTGCCACGCCACGGGAAGCGTGCTCGGAAGCGGTGGAAAGCTGTGGGGAGAGTAGAGGTCCTATATCAATCGATGAATCGTCATCAATCACACCCTGCACCAGTTGGTAGATGATCTATCCCGCTATAATGCCATTGCTTACAGTGTTTCATTGTACCAATAGTCACCAACTGGTGCAGGATTTCTTCCATCCACAGATATCCACAGTATGACATGCCATGCCTTCCACAGGCAGTTTTCCGCGACTGACAGCGGGCAATGCCCATGCAAGGAGATAAGGTGACAAGAATCACATTTGGCGATATTTGGCGATTGTTGTTGGCTAGAAAATCAGCCATTTGTTAGTACGATTGTGTTCGATTGTTCATATCACTACATCCAACAAAGCTACTTGTAGGTGTTCGTGTCATTTGACAGCGTAAACACCGCAAGCACTGCATTTGCCTACATTGCATTTTGTTAAAAACCGATGAGCTGATGTTGGACAGCCGTGCTGTCACCACCAGAGGGCCCTTCACCCCATGTCACCAACGTTCCATCTGCCAAAATGGCAGCAAAAGCAGTGTTTGTGGCATGAACTTGCTGAACGTTCCTGAGCTGATCTTGGACTGCACTGCTGTCACCACCAAAGGCAGCTTCACCCCATGTCACCACGGTTCCGTCATCCAAAATGGCAGCAAAAGCAAAGCTTGTGGCATGAACTTGCTCAACGTTCCTGAGCTGATCTTGGACTGCACTGCTGTCACCACCAAAGGCAGCTTCACCCCATGTCACCACGGTTCCGTCATCCAAAATGGCAGCAAAAGCCGTTTTTGTGGCATGAACTTGCTGAACGTTCTTGAGCTGATCTTGGACTGCACTGCTGCCACCACCAGAGGGCGCTTCACCCCATGTCACCACGGTTCCGTCCGCCAAAATGGCAGCACAAGCAGTGTTTGTGGCATGAACTCGCTGAACGTTCTTGAGCTGATCTTGGACTGCCCTGCTGTCACCACCAAAGGCAGCAACACCCCATGTCACCACGGTTCCGTCCGCCAAAATGGCAGCAAAAGCAGTGTTTGTGGCATGAACTTGCTGAACGTTCTTGAGCTGATCTTGGACTGCCCTGCTGTCACCACCAAAGGCAGCAACACCCCATGTCACCACGGTTCCGTCCGCCAAAATGGCAGCAAAAGCAAAGCTTGTGGCATGAACTTGCTCAACGTTCCTGAGCTGATCTTGGACTGCACTGCTGTCACCACCAGAGGCAGCAACACCCCATGTCACCACGGTTCCGTCCGCCAAAATGGCAGCAAAAGCAGTTTTTGTGGCATGAACTTGCTGAACGTCCTTGAGCTGATCTTGGACTGCACTGCTGCCACCACCATGGAGAGGACTGCCCCATGTCACCAAGGTTCCGTCCGCCAAAATGGCAGCAAAAGCAAGGCTTGCAGCATGAACTTGCTCAACGTTCCTGAGCTGATCTTGGACTGCACTGCTGTCACCACCAAAGGCAGCAACACCCCATGTCACCACGGTTCCGTCCGCCAAAATGGCAGCAAAAGCAGCCTTTGTGGCATGAACTTGCTGAACGTTCTTGAGCTGATCTTGGACTGCACTGCTGTCACCACCATAGAGAGGATTGCCCCATGTAACGATCCCATCACAGCCCACGCACCACAAAGCAAACGCACTCTGTGTTGCAGCTATCTTTGGCTGTTGTGCAATGGCAGCAATGCAGCCTCCGTTGTCTACCCCAGCAGATTGAAGAGATTCTGTTGGATTCAAAACACGTCCATCGGACGTAGCAAACCTCAAGAACGGTCTTCCCAAAGAGCGTTGCGCTGCCATTTTCACGTCACTGACAGTACCATTCATCCCAACCACAACTTTAGCACACTGTCCACTTGGCAAAGAGACCGAAAATGTCAAGGTACCAGTTTTGGTTACATCGCAGCCCAGTGGCTCAGTCTCTTCGATGGCAACTTTGCGCCCTTTACCAGGCTCCATGGCGTACGAATTGTTCGTAATCTGCGGCCCGGAAAAATTATGGGTGACTCATGATGCTTCCAAGTGTAGCCAAATGCTGTGATAGTTCATCTCGTGAGAAATGCAAGTTTGCATCATGTCCAAAATGTTTGTGTGAAGCACCTTGTTCAGAATATCAATCACGCGACATGGACACGGAAAGGGACTGACAATTGTTGGCAAAGAACTACTTAACCACAACCTTTTTAGGTCAATTCAGCAGAATTCAACTTTGGTCGATTCTTATTTGACCAATTAAATGGCAAATTAGTCTATAAAAACCTTATGTTGCAAAGGTCAATGTTTGGCACGAGATTGAACTTGAGCCAATCCGCGAACAAAGGCTGAAGAGTCACCAGATCATGTGCTATGTTTGGAAGCTTCGATGGTAAATTTTGGCTACCTTTGGAACTTCCACATGAATCTGGGTTCATTAGTTTGAATTAGACTACATAATTAATCTTTGCCAATGAGCTTCGCAGCCAAAAAACCAATGAGAATGATGAACCACACAGCATCACACAGCAAACAAGCCGAAACAAATTTAAATCAACCATACTAAAGCTAAAACATAGCTCATCTTAGGTGCTTCAAAAGACTAGCTGTGACTAGCTAGGACATGTATCCCCATTCAACCCTGTTCGTATCATATAAATCTATTCTTTATCAAATCTCTCTCTAATCCAGTCCAATCTAATCTAATCCTAGTCTATCTTATCTAAACTAGTCTAATTTAATCTAATCTGATCAAATCTAACCTTATCTATCTGATCTAATCTAATCTAACCTGGTCTGATCTAATCTAATTTGTCTGATCTAATCTAATCTAAAATAATCTAATCTAATCTAATCTAATCTGTCTATCCATCTATTTGTTTATAGATAAGTTAGTTGGCACTCAACTATCTCTCCAAGTTTGACCAAGAAATCAAACCATGCAAAGTGGTCCATCAATCAATTTTGCCTTCAACCTGAGCAAAGACTATATTTCCGAAATCGGAATCAAGCAGTTGCTTGGATTTGCTAAAGTGGAGCCATACAAAAATGCAACAAGAAACTAGTGGATTCCCAAAATACAATGGGGAAAATTTAGCCAAACTGGACAAAAAATATAGATAAACCATTGGTTAAAAATCATCCAGCAATTTCTATGGTTTTTCTGTATGGTCTTTAGCCATTTTTTTCAACACATCCAGGATTTTAGGGACCCAATCCTACTACAACCGTCGCTTTCGGGTCCAACGGGTCGAGATGCTTCTGTTCGTTGTGCGCAGCCATGACCTCAAGTCATGTGGGACTGGTGGTTTGGGCGAGCCTCTCCGAAGAACATCTCGGCTGGGTTTTTCTCTAACAGAACATAGAAGAGTATATAATACAAGATGGGGCCCCCAAGATAGCTAAGTTGGTTTATAAGTGGTTTAACTATGGTTTATGGTAGGTATAACTATAGTTAATGGTGATTATCATGGTTTATAAAACAACTTAAAACTAGTACTCATCACTGAAGACACTGCAGAGCAGCCTCTTTTTGACACAGCTGCGCTAGAAAGCGAGTAAGATCCAAGTAACAAACAAAAACAACAACTAAAGCAAGAGGAGCACTCCCAAAAGCCTGACATCCCCAGGAACACCGTAGCGCCTCAAGGTGTCCGGAGAGACCAGAAAGGGAAGGCACCCCCCGAGACAAGAAGCTGTACCCGCAGTCACCACAGCGCCTTTCAAAGACCTCCTCCTGGGTAAAGACCCGAAACAAAGAAAGAAAAAGGTAAGGGCGCAGGCGCAGTACGCTGGACAGAAAGGTGGTGACGGGGGTAGGCTGGAAGGCCAAGCCAAAAGCTGCATGTCAGAACAGTAATTCGTACTATACAACAGGGGACTGCTTGCTAGTACTCATCACTGAAGACACTGCAGAGCAGCCTCTTTTTGACACAGCTGCGCTAGAAAGCGAGTAAGATCCAAGTAACAAACAAAAACAACAACTAAAGCAAGAGGAGCACTCCCAAAAGCCTGATATCCCCAGGAACACCGTAGCGCCTCAAGGTGTCCGGAGAGACCAGAAAGGGAAGGCACCCCCCGAGACAAGAAGCTGTACCCACAGTCACCAGCGCCTTTCAAAGACCTCCTCCTGGGTAAAGACCCAAAACAAAGAAAGAAAAAGGTAAGGGCGCGCCAGCGTACCATCCCCCCCGATTTGCGCTCAAGAGCGCGTTTATATTGTAGCCAGCTCAAGCAAGGAAGGATGTGGTGACAGAGAAAAAGAGCTGGAGAAGGAGGAGGAGTGGTGGAGGATGAAAGAAAATCAAGAAGCAAGAAGATAATCAGGACGGCATTTCTTGGCCAAAGCTTCAAGACGACGTTTTGTGCGTGTTGCAAACACCAAGTCACTGAGTTGCGCAATGCCATCACATATGTAAATTCGTGCAGTTTTCAAGGATCCCCAACGTCCACGGAGACAAATGGCTGCTAAGTTGTTAGTTCTTCTATAAGCATGAGTTGTCCTGCCCGTCTGACACTATACCACCGATAAGGATCAGTGATATGCAATTGATATCAAGGAGGGAAGCAAGTCTAGATCGAAGAAGTCCCGGAGACACATTGGAAAGTCTATCTCCAGAATGCATCCCCTTAATGAAGTTTTTCAACAGATGAAGAACATAGACATCCGTGAGCAGGATGGATTCTACAGCCCCAGTCCTTTGTCCGCTTTTGCTGAGTGGCAACGTCTAAGTTCCCGAAGTTGCTGAAAGTACGAAGTCACCCGCTCGGGCATTGAAGAGTTCACCTGTGCGAGCAAAGGTGTGGAACCCAAGGATCAAGAGGACAGCGATGTCAGTCCAACCATTCTCAGCTGCTAGTTGGGCAAGCCCATACAGCAAAACTGGGGTGAATGGCGGGTCACGAACTGGTAATTCAGTGCGGCCCCATGCAGCATGTAGTCTCCAACTTCCTACCAAGTAGGGTTTACAACTTGCAATCAAGTGGCCAAGTCCGCTAAGGCAGTCAGATGCCCAACTTCGCGGGTCCCCGTTGTTCCCACAAATATTCAACAAATTCACAAACATCACGGTCAAGCAGGATGAAACTGAGGGGTATCTCTTACGAGAGACCTTCAGAAAGTCAAGGAAACGTGAAACGCTGGTGAAATAGCGATCCTCTGTCTTTGCGGCAACAACTTGGTGGGCTAACCTACCCAAGGCATGTCTGGTATTTTGTCTCTCGGCTTGAGTCCGCTTGGCAAGTACCTGTTTGGTCCTAGGCATCACGTTGGGCACGACGTTGGACCCACCTAGAGGGCCCGTCAGCTGGGTTCCATTCTGACTTGACCCAAGCCACCACGAGACGTGTGCCAGATGCCACCAGGACGGCTGCTGTCCTTCTCAAAGGGGTCCTCAGTGATCTGGAGGTAGTCCGTCCCTTTGCCAAGATGCCCACAACGGTAGTGTTGTCAACCAGCAGCAAAGTGCGCTGGAAGTGATTGGCTTTGCTATGCCCAAGTTTTCGCAGGAGGTCCAGGATCGCAATGGCCTCCAGAGCGTTGATGTGCCCAGTGGATTTCCACTTGTAGCTCATGAGCACCTTCCATTCCCACAATGTGGGGTCGCCACTGCGTCGACAGAAATCTGAGGCACTGTAAGGTACCCCTGCATCAACCTTGCAATCAGTGCCGCGATGGCTGGCAGCCCTGGTGATCAGGTACACCAGGAGTTGTTCATCTGAAAGGGACGGGCGAGATGTGTGCCAATCCCAGACTCCGATGTTCGAAGCCGGAACTGACCCACGTCCCCGCCCGCGGACACCCCAAACCTTGCTGCCCAGCCAGTGGCTTTCAGTTGTGCCACTCTAGATTCCAAGGTTTTCCAAATGCTCCATATCTCATTGCAAAGGTTCCTGCCAGTGGCCTGCTCTTCAGTCAGCGCAAGCCCGCACAAAAGCCGGGCCACCACAATGACAGGGAAGGTGTTCCCAATCAGCTGACCCTTCTGGTCCTCTGTCAGCTTTTGTTTGAGCTCAAAATGGTCCGAGTTGTACCCCAGCATCCTGAGTTGTTCATCAGCCAGCAGCCTGCGAGGTCCATCTGCGGCTTTGACCAGGTTGTTGTCCTGGTACTGGTACGGTGCGAGCCGATAGCCATCTCCTTTCCACCTTCCCAATGTTTTGGGATTGCAGCGCTCAATTCCTGCAGGTGAAGCTGGAGGCTCAGCACGAGGTTGTGGCCGGGCAAAGCAAAAGAACGGCTCGTTGGGCTGCGCGAGCTTCACACAATTCGGTTTCAAAAAGGCATCCAAGCTAGGCTTTTCACAGTTTCAGCACAGGCAGGCTGGCACCTGTAGCTCCCACCTGTTGTTCTTGCAGCAACGTGGCGTGAGACCCCTTTAAAATGGGCAGGTTCTTCAGCCAGAAAAGTCTGGGCCTCCGACACCATAGTACATCCGCTGCCTCATTCATGAGGGGAGCTTGCCGATCTTGGTTGACTGCACACGGAGATCATCTGGATCCATCACAACATTCTCATACAGCTCAATCACTTCCCAGTTCGGAAGCTCCACGGGGCTGCTGCAATCATGCAGCCATGTTGCAATGTTAACCATATCGTCAAGCAACAGAGAGCTGTCTGCCGCCGCCCCCAGCCGAGCCCTGTTTAGCGAGGCGTGGTTCACACATGGCCACCCCCCACCGAGTAGGACCCGTCTGGAACGGGCAAATTGCACCCTCCATTGCTTGACCATCTCTTTCGTCACCTTTTTGATGTTGTCAATGACAATGACATAGGCGCAGTGACGCTTGGCGAGCTTTGCACGTATCGGGTCACTGTCGATCAAGATGATACCCTGGGGCAAAACTCCAATCAGTTCCAGGGCCTTCCTGAGGCCTCCGATGCCCCCAAAGGCCTCAATGAGGAGCAAGGAGTCAGCAGCCCCGCCTTCAAGGCCGTCACTCTCGGCGCAAAGCAAGTGACACTTTGCTCTTCCACGAACAGACAACTGCGTCGAGGCACAAGGCCCACCACCCTCTAGTGAGGCATCTGTCGCGTACACCGTGGGGTTGAGCTTGCTCCTTAGATCAAGCCAATGAAGAGGGAGAAGACCACAGAGCAAGTAGAGCTCTTCAATCGCTGCGGTTTGCAATGTTTCGCCACGCCCGGGACGATTCATCGCCGCAAACAGTTCATCAAAGCAGCATCCTAAAGGCCTGCAAAATTGCACGGAGTGCATGTCCAGGGAGGCGACCTCCAGATCGTTGCAAAAGGTTCGAGAGGCCTTTCCCAGCAGGTCAAGTACTTCCAAGGACTGCCCGTCGAAATTTACGGGAACTTCCAACAAGCCCAGCTTCACCGAGCTGTTCAGCACCCAGAGTTGACCACTCAAGCACCCCTTCGGCTGCCTTGTTCTCATCGCGGCCAACTCCCCAGACCTTAAAGGTTTCTCGGAGCTTCAGCTGGGACTCTGACGGTTTGCCCATGTAGATACCCATTTCCGATTGGGCAATGATGCAGAAGCTGCCATAGTTGTCGACGTAGTAGCTGTGGTATTCTCTTTTCTCCCCAAGCGGCACTCAAGGGCTCGGCTCACCAAGCCTCACAACGCGCTCAGGTGGGATGCAGCTCAGCTTGCCCATTTCTTCAAGGGTGGACTGCACAAAGTCCACAATGTTGGACCATCCCATTGGCGCTGACATCACTCTTGGTCTGCAGGGTTGCCCCCTAACTGGGTCACCAAAAGCCTCGGCGCTTGCTGCCTTGGACAAGACGAAGTATCCCCTCCAGCGAGCTGACGGAGAGAAGATTTGGAAGCAGTGCCGGATGTCCTCACCATAGCAGAGGATGACCTCATCATTCAGCAGGCACATTGATCCCCAGAGCGGGGCATATCCCATATGTTTTGAGGGCTGCAAAGGCATTCGTCGCTGGCAGGTATTCGACGGTACCAAGTTCACAATGAGCCTGAGTGTTCGCCACGGGGTGCCCTTGTCATCAATCTTCCAAGTTTTGTGCACCCCAAAGAGCCCGCTGTGGACCGGCTTACCATGTACTCGAAGAGTCTCAATTTCCACCTCCTTTTCGAACATTCCAGCCCTGACGAGATGGTGCACGATCAGGTCGTACTCAGCATCGGATTCAACCAGCACAGGTGCACTCATAGGGACATCTGCCAGTTCATCATCAGGAATGCGCAGGAGGTCAGGGTTCTCAACATACTCCTTGAGTTCAGGACGCACCGTATCTGCCAGGTTGATGCGCCCCGCTTCACCCTCCTTGGGCACATGCGGTTCAATGGCTCTCCATGTCAACTTGTAAGCCTTCTCGACTTCATAACCCGTATACATGTCACCCAGAGTTTGCGCGTGGTGATCCCAATCTGCCAACTCAATGGGGTATAAATCATCTTGCACCCACAACTTGACCAGCCTTTTGAACTCACTCACAATGTTCTCTTTCTCCTGGGTGTGTCGTTCAGGATGAGGCATGACCTTACCCAACGGCCTCGGGCCACCGCAGAACAGGTAGTTGACGAGCCCAATGATGACCCATGTCCAGCTGGCCTCTCCAGCCTGGCGTGCAATCAACTCCAAGTTCTTGAACAGCTCCTCCTTGTCGGAGGACGCCGCCTGAGCATGTCGGGCCAGCAAGCGGAAGCACTGTTTCTCCTCATGAGTGTCATCAGGTAAACTGATGGGCAATAGTTCGACTGGCATCTGCCTGAAGTGCTTTCTAGCGCAGCAGGGTAACAGCCTCAGCATGTTGCCCAGATTGCCAGGGCGGCGCATGATCAACCATTTCAGCACCACCCCAGACAAAGAGACAGATGCACAGTCCTTCAACGATGCCCGCACCATCTCTGCACAGCCCTGCTCAGACAACACGATCTGCTGACTAGAGACACCGAACTGATCAATCAGCTGTTGTGCAAGTTCCACTTCATTTGCCAGGACATAGAGGGGCCTGCCATCCAAGGCACGTCCGACATTGACCGGGTCAAGGCTATCTTTGAAGCCTTCCTGAAAAATGGAGCAAGTCATCTGGCCGTCTCCTTTACCCACATAGATGCCGCCATCGCCAGCATCCCAACCTTCGAACCATTCACGGATCTCACAGCCCTTGTGGGTCGCCAGCAACTTTCCCTCCTGAGCCTGACTTCTTCGTGGCAAAGCCCTGCGTCCATCTGCTTGACGACTCGGAGGTAAGACCCTCTCAAAGTGCTCATCACCATCGGGCCCACCTTCTTCCCACAAAGGCCGGTACTTCTTCAGGATGACTTCTTTCAGCTGGTTGTCTCCCGCTTCAAACTGGCTCACCAACAGGTCGGCAAGATCACGCCTGACCTCAGATTTGTCAGCTTCAGCCTCATAGCAGTGCACAATGGCAGAAATGCTCTGGCACAGCGCTGCGTCATTGGCTATCCTCTGAATCTCGGCCTTGGTCTTCTCACAGATGTCGCGGCTCTCCAAAGCCCGCCTCAAACTGGGCAGCAGGGTAAGGGCAGATTCTACCATCGGCGCCTGCCTCTGCCCTTCTTCCCTTTTCCTTTGCCCTTGTTCACCGGCGCCGTGTTGAGAGGCGGCTTGTCGTCTGATTGGCCCGGGGAGCCTTCTTTTTGTGCGCTTGTGCTCCCCTGAGCACCCCCCCCATGGTTGGTGGGGGCGCCATCGTTGAGACCTCTGGGGACCGGCTTCTAGTTGCCAGTTCGACTAGCCGCCACTGTCCTCAGCTCCCTCGATCATTGTTCTCATCGGAACCTCTCCCGCTGGATAGCGGCTGAGCAGCACCTGTATGAGGTAAGGTGTTGCCACAGCCGGCAACGGGTTCTCTGACTCCTCCGCCGTTCCCCTGCCTAGAGTCATGGCCACTAGCTCTCGCATCCGAAGAAGCGATAGGGAGGCAATCTTGCCCGGGTACTTCTGGTGGACCCGATGCAACCTCTCTAATCCTTTTGGCAGGGCGGCTGAATGAAAAAGCGACCCAGAAGAGCTGGTACTTGGAGAGCTGCTTCTGCGATCATCTTCACTCTTGTCCTTGGACTTCTTCTTCTTCTTCTTCTTCTGCTTCTTCTTCTTCTTCTTTCTCCCACCTTTGTTCAAAGAGCTGAGGTCCAATGCCGAGAGGCGGGGTTCCTTTGGTGCTCTCTGATTGATGGCCTCTCTCAAGTCACCCTCATCTGCTGCAAAGTCGGGAGCTGAGCGCTTCCGGGTCTTTTTCGGCTTCTTCTCCTTTTTCTTTTTGTGCTTCTGCTCATCCTCACTTGAGCGGCTAATTTCATCTCCTCGCGCATCAGCGGGGCGCGGTGGTTCACCAGCTCCAAGGGCCTGAGCTAGGCCTTCGATGCCAGGCCGTCCAGAGCGCACTTCATCCGGCCTGTCCTTCTTGGCACCCGCCTTAGGAGCGGCTGCAGGCGCTGCTGGAGTTCCAGCATCACCCGCATCTGCCCCAAGGCTGATGACCAGAGGGTTGGCACAGATGTGTGCCCAGTCGTCTTGAGTCAGCCACTGGAGTTTGTCAAGCTGTTCAAACTTGACCACCCTGTAAACATCCACATGGATAGGGCTTCGGTAGCGTGTGTCCACACCACAGCGAGCCACGGGCTTTGCACAGAAGTGGAATGGGATGAGCCCATCCACATGATATGGCAAGCCAGCACCTTTCCCTGCTGATTACCCCGGTTGTCGTACCCGGGGAACTCCACAAGACTCATTGTCTGCAACTTCACGTAGTGGTCGTCACTGGCCTTACGACGAGTTCGCCGCCATGGTGAGAGCCGGTCCACTGACATAGTGTGAACCCCCAAACCAACCAAGGACTTCCACCGACCTCCCAGCGATGAGCTGAGAAGTCAGCTGCCTCAGTCGGTGGGGTCACACGTCAGCTGGCTCTTCACCTGGCCACCTGAACTTCCTTCCAAGCCAAAAGCTGCATGTCAGAACAGTAATTCGTACTATACAACAGGGGACTGCTTGCTGGGGGGGGCCATCCTGTACGATAACGATAAAAATCATAATTATAGATAATAGTGAGATGATCGTAAAACATGAATTATCAGTATCACAATTGTTTATCACTAACATATAATAGTATGAACAAATACAAATAATAATGATCATTATACGATAATAATAGTTATCATGATTTATCATTATCACTATAGAATCACTTTTACTATCTCAACACGATAATAGTGATAATGATAAATCATGACAAAGCTAATGACGCTAAAAATCATTTCATAACACTGATAATAACAAAAAATGGAAGTAAGATAACGATTAATATTACTGTACTTGATGATAACATGGTTTTACTGAAATTGTGATGATAGATAATTATAACCTGCAATAGTAAGACAGTCTGTAGTACTATTCAGAGTATGATAGGTGTTGCTAGTTGGTAAGCAGTGATATATGGAATCGGGTTGAAATAGTATGAAATAGAAACATAATAGCGTTGAATATGGAGTAGCCAAGTGATCTAACAAACAAAAGAAGTAATAATATACATATATATATATATAGTAATAGTGACAATGCTATACCTATTGTTAATGATATCTAACACAAAATGGTACAAATACAACAGTAGACAACAATAGTGATAAGAATAAATCACAATTATAGTTGTTAGAATAATGATAAAAAGACGAATTGTTATATATAATCACAGTAAGACAGAAAGGATGGTAATATGCTAGTACTGACTTAGTGATAGTGATACCCTCTGGTAAACTAACGGAACGAACTGGCAAATCACCATGCTATTTTCATGGGAAAATCCACTATTTCAATGGCCATTTTCAAGTTCGCAAACTGTTGACATAACCAGGTTGGCTAATGCATACCCAAACATCGAGTGACGTCACACGCTGGACTGATCATCGCAGTGATCATCAGGGGAAGCTCACCCATATTGAAAATTGCCCATAGAAATAGTGGATTTACCCATTAATAGCATGGTGATTTGCCGGTTCGTTATGTAACAGTTTACCAGAGGGTAATATTGAAATAGTCCACATTATCCATATACACATGATCCATGGTTTACCACATCATCCATGGCTTACCACATTATCCATATGCACCATTATATACCATTATGCACCCCTCTTGTGGTTCCTCAGGGCCGTAGGATACCATCCACTTACGACTTTAACATCAACACGTCCAGGACTGAGTTCATGGCCCCGCTTTTCACCATCAGTTTTGCTAGGTGATTCGCCTTCCAATCAAGTCGTACAATCCCTATCTTGACCCATCATGTCTCCCTCCTGAAAACCAGGACCCTCCAGTAAATTCACATAGACCCTGGCAGATAGGGGCTGGAAGATTAGTTTCCATTAAAAATTGGTTCTCTTCAGGGTCTATGTTAATTTACCAGAGGGTAATTATTATAGAACCCCCGGTAAAGATGATTTCGTATCGGATCCTTTTGGAAGATGACCATGCTGGGCTTCAATGTGAATGAAAAATGTGATGTTAAACTTACTTTCAGACAGGTAATAGCCCTATAATCATGAAAAGGTCAATATCCATCAATATCCCGAATTCACATCTAAAAGCAAAAAACACATCAAAAACAACTGCTAACTTTATGACTTTGCGGCAATTTCTTAAAGTTCTTCAATTCCGATGGTGTCGAGCTGCAATGGACATCGTTGTGCCCACATTGGTAACTTGGCTGCTTGGTGCCACCTGCAGATGCCAAGAATAGCTGGGTCTAAAAAAAACACCGATTACCGGAGGACATTTTAAGCGATATTCCCAAAATATCACAATATCCCTGAAAAACATGCCATGATATTTCCAAAGTCACACCATAATTATTATAAATAAATATCCCTACAAGTACGTATATTATATCATATTATATCATCATTTCATGGCTAAATCCCTATGCTTTTCCAAAATCTCTTTTTCAATCGCCCGTTGGAACATCCAGGGCCTCAACATGTTGAAAGGTCGCCCCATCCACTCGGCGATGCAAAATCGCCAGGCAGCTGAACATTTGTAGCGCCTGAACGGCAGGCGGTTGGCTGGGGATCATCCCATCGTTTTTCGGTTATAGCCGTAGTTTTTGTTGCAGGTATAATATTGTTATAGTATGTTATACTTATAATATGTTATAGTAACTTAGTATGTTATACTTATAATATGTTGTAAGTAACTTAGTATGTTATACTTATAATATAGGCATAAGTATTTATAAGTCATATTAATGGTATTAAATCACATCTTACAAGCATCGGATCGCATCGGATCACCGGGTCCCCCGAGGCGGCCACGTAGATAAGGACCAGGAAGACCGGGAAAGGCACGCAGCGTTTCCTCCCGCAACGCGGAAAGTGACGCGTGAACTAACCAGGTGTGACAAAGGCCGTGGGGATGGGTTGATGATGGTGGTTAAGAATGGTTAATAATGGTTAATAATGGTGGTTATGATTAACCATCATGGGAATTTTAACCATCAACTGGTTGGTGGTTGAGGTCTTATCTCTCTGAAAAATGATGGAGTGAGTTCGTCAGTTGGGATGATGACATTCCCAATATGATGGGAAAAATAAAAAATGTTCCACACCACCAACCAGAAATATTGCTATATATTATTAAGTTATATCATGATTACTACTTTGACGATGATGGTGATTATGACTGTGATTGTGATTCTGATGATGATAATCGTTGTGTTTGTTCTTTACCATCCACTACCACGAGGACACACTTCAAACTCGACCCAACGTTGGGCTGTCCTGGACAACTGCCTTCAACCAAAAAAAAATCATCAACCAGTCCTTTGCCGATACATCTCCAAAACAACGGCCAGAAGACCTGGGAACATGTGGGAAGCGTGCAAGAGAAAGGGGTACCAAAGGGGACACAAGTTCTCGAACTTGATTTCAGATTAGTCAATCACTTGGGGCCATGGCCATGTCTTTCAGCTCTCCCATCAAGGTGGAACAACAAATTCAAGGAAATCCCAAGACTTTTGCCCTGATTAACGATGCAAACCATGCAAATCACTTCCGCATTTCCAAGTATTTAACGCACATTTCTCAATAAAACCTTTCTTTGCGGCTGGGCCCCGGGTCCACTGTGCTCGCATCAGCCTGGTTCCCCGACTACTGGCCAGGAGCACGAGAGCCAACGTGCCTTGCTTCTGGGCATCCCATCATGATCTATGCTCTGTGGGCGGCTGGCACCAAGAATTACAATTTTAAAACTGTTGCAAAGATATGTTATTAAACATATAATATATATATATACAAGAAGACATCATCTCAACTTCACCAAGGATTTCCACGGATTTCCTTGCTTCGGTATTGCTAGAATCGGAACCCTATGAGTTCTGGCCACGGCACCCCGTGGCAAAACATCCAACGAATGGCAGGGGCAGAGCCCAACGAATCTCCGCAGAGTCTGTGACGCCAAGTGACCTTCTAGTGCGAGCGAGGCCGTGACAGGAGCAACAAAGAGCAGGAGCAGCAAGCAAATGTCTCGCGCAACCTCAAATCCAGACATGACGGGACACAAAAATGCCACAAAACCACCACCAGTGCCATGGGTTTCCTATATTTTCCTATGGTTTGCGGAGATCGAGATCCATTGCCTCCCCAGCCCCTGCTTGGAGCGCCTGCTTTGGCGGCGCCATGTCTGCCACTCATGGCGGATTGGACCAGTCACGCAGACTGCCCATCACGCAGCAGCTAAGCCCAGAGGAAATGTCTGAAACTCATGCGGCTGGTTGCTACTTCCAACCCCAGTACCAAAACCTTTTGCCAAACAATTATACCCACCTATCATATATACCATTTACCATATATATACATATAACCATGCAATATGATGAGCGTCTTCGCATCAAGTCCCAAATCGATGGCTTAAGGAGCCACATGAAATCAATTAAAAGCAGGACAAATCACCAACCAACTGTGCTGAAGTCGCTGTTAATTGCTGCGTCTCTACATGCCCCGGAAGTTGCGGGTAACCCCCAAGCCACCAAATCGGTAGAAGTACGTAGAAGTGATGAAATGGGCTTGGAAAACAATGTTTCCTCAGTCGATCTGGTCATGTTCAGCTTCCACCTTGTTTTCTGTGCAGCCTCTTGATCTATCGCCAGAAATTCGGCTGCAGAGAGTGGAGCCGAAGACCAACTCAGTGGTTTTCATCCCTACAGTGGCCGTTCTGAGGTGTTGTGTTTCTTTGAAGAATTTAGGACCTACAACTTGTAGCCTACACTGGGCCTAGGTCGTGCCCCATAGTTTTCTAGCTAAGTTGCTGCTATAGGAACTTCAGGTCTAACTGGGCGTGTCCTGGGCTTCATGGTAGATATATCATATATCATATATGATAGATTATAGATTATAGATTTATATCAAACCATTTATAGTTGATTGTCCCAGCACCTCCATGGCTAAGCACCATCAACCGTTGGGAGTCGAGCGGTCTTCGCACCATGGGCACAATGGGTTTGTTCTTATCCTCGGGTCATCGTCACCGTGTCACCAGGATTTGCGATGGGTTATGGATGATCATGGCCTAGCAATGGATTTTGCCACCGTTTCTGTTCAAAATGTGGTCAAATGATACTATTGTATGTTGTATTATTAATTGTATCAAATGTGATCAAATATCATAAATAATATCATAATATACTGAATACAGATCAATTTCCAATAACGGCCACATCAATTGCAACTCATCAGAGTAGATAAGAATCGCTTCATCGTGGCCCCGAATCTGTTCCAGGTCCCACATGGGTCCCATGCCAGGCCCCGCCTTGCACCAAGTATGGCATCCACCCTTCAGCAGGTTGTTCGCCCTGCGCTGCGGAGCTGCAGCTCCGCTCTCCGCATGTCGCCCAGTGATTGATTGTGTCTCACCCTGGATCTATTGTATTCCATTCACCTTGGGATCTCAGTGAGCAAAAAGCCATGGTTAGAACCCTTTTGGATCACAGATCTGAGTTTCCAGACTTCAGCCGAAGGTAGAGATCGTCATCCTGGGCATTGGGCCGAATTTGGGGGCTCTCAAGCGCCAACCTTACATACTCCTGAACAAGTTGTTGTGGGATATGTTTTTTTCATGTTCATATGTTCCTCCATGTGTGGCGAATTTTCCCCAACTATAACTATAACCAATGATTCACCAAGTTTACTGTGTGTTACTAAGATATGAGACAAACAAAGTCGATACCCTGGAAGGGAGTCCGGACAACCCTTCATTTCAGGTTCATCTTTCATCCGCAAACCCCATCTCGGGATCCCTCAAGCTTGAGATATGTGTGACCTAAATTCAGTTGATAACTCTCTTCCAAAGATTGCCACCCAATCCAGAAAACTAGTGCAAACCAACATAGCTCTGGAAAATCCACCAGAGATCAAGATCATTTGGCGCCTCTCCGCCCCAGCCATCGTACTCGTTGGAAAAGCCGTTGATGCCACGCCAGTGTGTAGGACCTTGGCCGTTTCCGGAAAGAATGGCTCTCCGAAAAGTGTGGTAAAACCCAACATGACACCAGATTCAAAACATCCAAGTGTTCAAGATGTTGAAGTGGGAATATTCCCTAGAAACAAGCTATTTTTGACCCCACAGCTAGCTTCTGCGATCACACGCAACGAAAGCCAGGCAACTCAAAGACACCACACCACCCACCTCAATGGAAGGAGGACGGTTGACGCTCGGAACATGAGGGAATTTATCTATGATGCATTGACAATTTCGGAGGTCTCGGTATCGGGTATAACCGGGTATAAGTTATATCATGTTATATCCAAGCCAATAGAACATGATTCTTCTCCAGGTATTCCCAGGTAGTCCCAGGTTGCTGAGACTGCTGGCATTGTCAGGGTATGGCACGCCCCAGCCCCAACACCTCAGGGTTTTTTCAGCGGCAGTTTTCCATCCGTTTTTTTTCCATGTCCTTCCCATGAAATTTCTGGGAAACAAATGGTAAAACAGGGATACTGGGACAGTTTATGTTAATATGTCCCCTGTTATGGTTTTTATGTTTTTGTTCAATGTTTCTTCCCTACCTTTGATGTTTTATGTGGTGGGGGTTTTGGGACTATTTTGCCCCTAACTTTCACTTGATGGTTTGGTTTAAGATGAGGGGGATAATTGTTTAGACTGTTGGGGGTTTATGTTTGTGTTTGGGTGGGTGGTTATGGGTGGTTACTTCGTAATATACTTTATTAAGATATTATGAATTAATCATCAGGTTTAATGTCTCCACTTTTCATCACCACTACCTATTCAATCCCGACATTGAGAAACAATCGTTTTGATGTTGTAGAACACTAAAATGATTGTGTCTCTATCAAGTCCTCGTTGGTCAATCAAGTGCTTCAACACTGACAATAGTGTATAATAGTTTTGTTGTAATGCCGTCTTTCCTCCTCTGTGGTGTATCCTCTCACCGTGTTTTTTGATTAAATCTTTATCAAATATGTTTTCATAAATTTCTTTCATAAGGTCGTGGTTTATCTCTCCATACTCTGCGTATTGCTCTAAAGATTGTTCTTGCTTAAGTAGTAGGTCATATTCTATAAAATTATAGTCAGGATAAGGATTTTCTTTTATGAAATTCATTAATCTTTCTCTATCTCTTTTCAGTTCCTCTTCACTAACTCCGAGCATTGGCATTTTTCTCTTACTATATATAGGTATTTTTTCTTTAAGTAATTTTGGTGTCTTGTTCATTTATGCTTTCCACTTTCCTACAACTGCCATACATCCCTTTTCAACGTGTTCATCAAGAAGTTCTTTTGTTAAAAAGCCGTGTTGGCAGTGAAAACAGTGATTTTTCTTTGCTTTCATTTTGTTGGTTTGACTTCCTATTATTTTATCATAATTTTTGATGAATACATAATGGTAGTAATCCCCATCCTTCAGTTTTAGAAGACTGACTTGATGAGTTGCTTTTGATACTTTAGACTGTCTGTAAAGTAGGATGGACTGGTTCCCTTCTTCGGGGTCAAGAAAATAAACATTGACTGCTATTTTTCCTCCGTTGTTTTCTTCAAATGTATCTATATCAACATCTGACGAAGGAAAATTCACATTATCCCAGTTCAGTTCATCATTGAGGTTTTTGTAGTGAGACACCCTTTCGGGGTGGTCTTTTTCATAAACCTTACATATACCACATTGAACGGAATACTTGAAACACTTTGCATCTTGATTTTTGATGTTGATACAGGCTTTTTTGTTTGAAACCCATTTAGGTAATGGAATGAACTTACCCCCACGAGTTGGATTGTATTTGTCATAGTTGAACTTCAGTTTATCAATCTGGGTTATGACTAATCCACTCTCCGACACTTCCATCACCTCCGCTTGATGCTCTACATCACTTGCCATTTGATTAAGAACATTGGGTATTTCACCTTCGTTGGTGATGTTGTATCTTCTACTCTTGATGACTTGTCTTACATCTTCATTAGTCTTTTTGCTCTTCAAAGTGGCGAAGACCTGTAGCATAACCTTCATTCCATTATGTTTCCTCAAATACTCTTTCAACCTCAAATCTTGGTATTTGAGATACTGTAGTGCCTTTATGCCTCTAACCCTGATGTTAGTGATGGCATACGAATTGACATAACCTTTGAAAGCAGATTGTTCGTTGGTGGTGGTTGCTTTGTATCTCATTTGAATGCCTGTGAGTGCTTTGTTCTTGTCCAGATTGACCCATCTAATGCCTCTCTTCTCTTTCAGTTCATACTTTTTGTAGTCCATTGTCTGCCTAATCTTGTTGAATTTGGTAATCAACCTTTTTGAAATGGGTTTCCCCCTTACAAAGTTGTAGGTCTTGTCTCCAATCTTGAGTTTCTTGAGTTCTTCTCCATTCCGTTTCAATATCTCACCCTTTTCGGATGATAAAACGCAATCTAAAACAATCTGCTGTGAAGTGTCCATTATAGTATGATATAAATTGTAATCTTCTGTTTCTTTAAGTAGTTTTTCAGTGTGAATTGTTTGTTGAGGATGTTGCGGTTGATTGAATTGGTTGTCTGATTGGCTTTTAACATATAACATTTTTTTTGAATGTTTCAACCTTGTATCCTCTGCCATATTCTCTATACTATATAAGGTGGCATTCCTTTAAGTAGTTTTTGGGTATGGGTTGCCTGTTGGAATTTCTGGGACTGGGGTTGGAGTTCAACATAAAAAACCTTCTCAATAAAAAATATAGTTATTGAGAAAATTTTGGATTTCAACACTGGCATCTCTTCTTCATACAAATGTTGGTTTGACGATGTTTTGATAGATTGGATTTGGACAAAATTGTCCGTCCGCAGTCGGGGCAGGTGAAACGGGTTGATAATTTCTTTTGATAATACTTTGAAAAACAATTGGGGTCTAATGGTTTCTTGTCGTAAGTTCCGTCGGGTTTCCATCTTGTGGATGTTGTGGTTGGTGGATTTTGAGGGTTGCTGGATTGGTGTAGTGTTTCCGCCATTTGGTCAAAAAGGTCTTCGTCCATTTCTTGCTTCATACCGTTAATATACATATAGCAGGGCATATTCAATTTTTGATTCTATAAGGCGTCATTTCTTTAAGTGTTTTTGGGTCTGTTGCTCTAAAAATTGTGTTTTTAACAAGTGTCCTAAATTGATGTTTTTTGAACGCTAAAACGATGGTTTTAGGACACTTGTTGAAGTAAGGATTTTTTGTTTTCAAAAGTTCAGGGTGAAACGATTTGTCCGTGTTTGATGGTTTGGCTAAAAAAAGTTCAGGGTGAAACGATTTGTCTGTTGTTGTTTGTTCGGTGAATGATTGATACTCGGTTCTGGGTATCGTTGATACTTGGATACTGGTATCATGGTATCATTGATACTCGGTTCTGGGTATCGTTGAAACTTAGATACTGGTATCTGGGTATCATTGATACTAGGGTTGGTATCTATGCATGCAATACGTGAAAATTACTATTGGATGACTCACCCACAAAACATCTCAAGCGCCACAGTTTTTTTTCACCGGCGAAGCTCACATGTATCCTGCATCCCTCAGCTTCTGCTCATCCTCTTCGAAGAGCTTGGCGACGAAATCTTCAAAGCCACAGTTTCACTGGTTGTACTCCTCAGGACGCAGTCTGCTGGCTCCTCACGAAGAAGATTCAAAGTCATTTGGGTCGTCTGCTTGCTGTTTGGGAGATACCCCATGGGTCCTGCCTCAGCCACCTTGAGGAGATAGTCCTTCACTTCCTGGTCATCCAATTTCTTTTCAATGGTTCCACCCTCCGGTTGTACCACTGCTCAACCCGCTCGATGACCGCATTCGCACCTTTCTGACCTGCTCTGGAGACATTTCGCAGTATCAAGTCCAAGGCGCGCAAGTTGCCCCCCGCGCGGATGTAGTAGTGCTTCAACACCTGCTCCATGTCATCTTCGGCAAGAACCTTGTTCAGCGTCCGGAAGTCGTTTCCCTGCTTTGCCACCTCCTTGACCACAGATGTGAAGTCTTCGAAAGGCAGCGGTCGCACCACCACCAAATCTGACATGTCAAACCTTTCGGTGATGATGTCGGCCACAGCAGACACGCTGACCTCCAAAATGAACTTGCACGCGGCATTGTCGTAGGTGATGTTGCGAGCGAAGGCACCGAGGGTGGAAGCAATGTCATCACAGGCATCCCTGCTAAATTTGTCTCCGCGGCTTTTGGTTGTGAGTTGCAGGTATACCACGACGGCACTGCCTGTTCGGTGCTTGGACGTCTCATTCATTCGTTCCAGCAAAAATTTGACATTTGACGGGTAATATCGGGGCAAATCTACGGCTTGTAACGCTTGGGGTAGCGCCTCGTTCAGCTTCAAGTCCTCACCAGGACGAACAGAAATATCAAGAGGAAGCACCCTTTTGCCATTCTTCACATGCTCACACATGAGATTGTTCAGCATGGTTGATTTCCCAATGCCTTGGGAACCACTGACCACCAAGAAGGAAGGGGTGCTCAAAGCTTTACATTGAGGTGAATTGATGAAGTCCTTGATGTATTCCTCCTCGACCGGCCGTGCAGGGGCGGGCTCTGTCCTTTCCAGCCTTTGCCCAGCCTTCCTCACTTCCCTGTTCATGAAGAAGCCAGGAAGGAACCTTTGAATGAGAGCTTGGAGAACCAGCACTACGACGCTCCCTGTGCTCAACAAAGTCCAACCAGTCTTAACGGTCTGCGCGGGAAAAGCCCTTGCGGGCTGTGTTCATGCATGACCGCTTGGAAGGACGAACCGGCCTGGCGCAAGCTCAACCTGCCTCACAAAGATGCATCTGCGGAATGCCGAAGAAAAGGGACAATAATACATCGCTTCAGTCAATTTGTGCCAAACTGGCTTTGGTATTGAAGGATGCTTGATATGCAAAACCAAACAGGAACCACAACGCCTAACCTCAATCAATACATGAATTTGAAGCAAATAATTCGACATCTTTGAACAACAGCTTGGTAGAATTTGAACCTGAACCTACACATAGAAACTCTGACCACCTCAACAATTATCCCCTTCATTCAATCCAAACATTTTCACAACAACCTCAACAACACATTTAGCAAGATAATCAAAAAGAAACAGTCAAACATTTCAAACTATAACGTGAAGAAAAAACAAAGCAACATCCCACCTGACCTTTAACCTGTCTAATCCTAGCATCCCTGTTTTACCCTTTTTTATGGGGTTTTCCTCTGATTTTTCCGGTGAGAACAAATCCAACAAAAACTTACAGTAATCCAACCTCATCCCATATAGTCCGATGATGTCCAATGAATCTCGGAGATGTTTTCTGAGACAAACGCTGCTTGGCTTCGGGCTCAATTTCCCCTGACAGCTGATTGGGATACAAACACCAGCCGTAGTCCACCACGGGTGTGGGCCTTGGTTGTTCACTGCATTTTCTGGTGGCTAAAACTGACTGGTGCGTTTTACGTAGCGAATGGATGGGTTGCTGGGGGTTGCTGGGATGATACATTTGATAGTTGGCCAGTGGATCATTCCCGAAAATTCCCTGCGACTGGTGGCCACTTGTCGTCACGAGTTCCTCGTGCCCTGAGGCATTGACAGGATGTCAATGTCGTGCATCACCACCTTGGAGAGTCAGAGTCAGCCGGGTTAAAGACTCCCCCCGTAGGGCCTACATCAGAGAAGTGACGGGAAGTCTATCCGAGCCTATCCTGTCCAGATGCCAGACAACCCAAGTGAAAGATGTGAAAATCAAGTGGAATCCACAGTGATTGGCCCCTACCAGCTGAATCTGGGCTAGGAAAAGCACCAATTGGCAAAAAGCGACCAGTCAGGGGGCATTTCGTATCCGCTTTCTGCAACTACTGCAGCTATCTGCAGCTATCTGCAGCTGCCAGGGGGCGCAATCGAATTTCTGGCCCGTGTTCTTCTCATCGACTGTGGCGTACTGAAAGCCCACATTGAAGAGATAGCCCCCTGACACTAGCACCAGTGACTTAGGTTCACAATCTCAGGAGATGTGTCTTTATGTTTCCCTTTCTGCTGTGGACTTGAACCGTTGATCCGTAAAAAAGGTGCTTAAACTGTGGTTACTGTAACCCCACTGTCGGTTCAAGGACCATAAAGATTCACAAAAATGGCAAAATTCTAAGAGTCAGCTGTCTCTGATGAAACGTGATGTAAAACGTTGGCAGCTGAGGCAGCGGCGGTTGAACAGCTGCTCATCAAATTGTTCCACCACATAGACTTTCCAGCTGTGATGGATACCCTTCCTGGCAACGCTCCGAGTCCGGGGGGTGGGTCTCAACTTTTGAGTTGAACACCTGTCCCCGAACTGGTTGAAATATGTTGAAATAGATCTATTTCTGTTGGTTTTTCCACGCATTTGTGTGCTTATCTACCTTAATCTTAATAGTAATTCAGTTGATGTCGATAACATCCGTCAGATTCCCAGTTTTGTGCGACTGCCGTGTCGTTGACTTCCCATGTTTTTTTGTGTCTATCAATTTCAGAAAGCATAGGTTCTCTTTAGAATTTTCTCTTGAACCAAGTTTGTTGATTAAGTACTGGACTAGAAATGCAATGTTGAGTACATGTCCATTCTAGTTTCTGAACACTAGTAATCCATCCAAGATCCCGAGCCTCTCCCATGAAGCAATATGCCTCGGTATAGCCCGTAGACACAAACGCATGCTTGAATAACACACAAATATATTTATTTTATAATTCTATGTATGTAACACATCATCCAAAGAGATACATATATATATATATTTATTTATATATATATATATCTAATTTATTTAAAAAAAAAATCCCGTTGAGCATTTTCCCAGCTAGAAAGGCTATATTTATATATGTATATATATAGAAACCTCCGTGTTTCGTTCTTGGCTTTTCCAGCCACAAACCTCAGCCGCCTCAGCGCTGGGATGTTCGGGGTCCCCGGGCGACTGGATGCGTTCGCGAAACTTCTCGAGATGCGTCCCGCGGTCGCGAAACGGCACCTCGGTCGTTGGCACGCGGCCACCGAACTCGGCGGAATTCCCATGGATGTTGCCATCGGTTTTGCCATGGGTTTTGGAAGATGTGGCCGCTGGGAAAAAGCTGAGTCAGCTGGCAAAATATGGCAAAATCATCGAACTGCGGATCTAGTTTTTGGATGGTTATTGCATGTTATCATATGTTATTATATGTTATTATCCCATAGGTTTATAAGTGGCATAACGTTAGGATCAGTTATAGCCACCATAGGTTGGTTGGAATGCCATCTTTTTTATGGCGAGTCGCGCTTAGCTAGTGCTGCCAAAGCCCTGCCAGTGGCCCTGCCGCCCCTGGGGATACCCCGCCACCAATGCAATACGTTTTGGACTTTCCAAGTTGTACCTGATGGATCCGAACCGATCCGATGGTCATCTGATGGTCATCTGATGGTCACAATCACCGTGGGTCACTACGAAAACCATGGAAGACGGACGGGTGTCTCAAAATGTCTCAAAATGAATGAAAGCGTATCAAGTTGTACCATGAAAATATCATTGATGGTGTGTTTGAAGCAATTGGGAATATAAATCAGACATGGTTGTCAGGTGGTTTATCGAAAGACTGATTGTAGCTTCTTGGCTCCACGATTTGCGAGGAATATGGATGAATATGGATACTCATAGCTTCTTGCGGCTCTCTGCTCACAACCGGATAGATGATTTGACAAATATGGTAGCCCATCCCCAGGTTGATGATCCTTTTCCCCATTTGACAAACGTTCAAGTTGCCATTTGGATGGTATACCATTTTTTCAGACACACTCACATAATCATATTGTTGGTTAAAAATCTCCTCTCTCCATTGGGCCATTGGTTTTAACCTCCTCTCTCCATATAATTGTCAACTATCATCATGTCTCTGTATTCACTGGATTGGTTTAAGGGAAAATTTACAGGAAAGCCCCATATTTAATGGGAAAATCTATGGTTTCCGGTTTCGATTTTCCCTTAAACCAATCCAGTGATTGATCTTCCGACATTTTCTTGGCATTTCTTGGCTAAAAAAACCCAGTCGCCCCAGCACGGATCAAGATGACATCAGCGCACGGCTCGGGCGGCTTGGCGACGGTGCGATAGTCGATGCAGCTAGGGCAGCTGCCTGGGGTCAGCGGATGGTTTGCTGATCCATAGATGGCCCTGATTTTTTCGATAAACTACTGGTTGGTGGTGCAATAAGCATCTTGAAAAATATTTTCATGGGAAGGATGACATCCCATATATGAAATGGAAAATAACTATGCCAATGAACAGGTTGATCTCAAGGCCTCGATTGGTTGAAGGGAAATCTTAACCAGATTTCCCATTGTTTTTTTACCATCAAATATTGCTGGTTGGTGGTTTCAGCCCTGCTATCCCTAGCCCTCTGGAAAAATATGAGTTCGTCAGTTGGGATGATGATTCCCAAGATATAGAAAAATAAGAAAAAATGTTCCAAACCACCAACCAGTGATGATCTTACAACATCTTAAGTTCTTAAGAATGACATGCCACGAAAACATTGGGGTCATATATAGGAATTGTTGGGCCACCCCGATCATCCAAGCCATGTTGGGGTTCCAAAAGTTCACTGAGTGGCTGGCAATGTTCCACAGTGCCTCCACACCTTGACAGCACCAAGACACCATGAGAACTGGTCATCACCCCTCCCTGCATTTCCACTTTAAACTTTAAACTGCCGGAATCCTTCTAGATGTCAAAACACAATAGGTTCAATTGTTCGCAGTGTTCAAAACCCTGCATTGCCATAATCATAATGCAACTCATCATCAACCCAACTATATATCATTTATAAGTTTATCCTCATATTTCCGGATTACATCCCCAGGAAATGATGCTCAAAACCCCTATTTCACCCTGATAAACAGTCCTATAAATGATGGTAAATCATCAACCAACATTTGGATGATCATCCCACAAAGGTACCTGGTTTTAAAAATAAAACGCATGCCGCAAGTCCCCATTCAGTGGATCATTGAAAATTTTGGTAAACCATGGTGAACCGTTCACCCAATCTTAACATTCACCGTAGTGTGAGAAAAACAATCATAAACCACCCATTTGGGAATTGATTTATACCTATAAAAATCATGATTTGGTCCAAAAAAATGCTACAAAAGGTGGGATAATGGTGATTTGGGGGATGGTTTATTGTTTTACCCCACAGCTATGATGCCAGTCGCATGGCGCTCGGGTCGCAGCCAACCGCTCGGAGAGCAGCACGGAGCGTCGCTCTTCGGATTGCACCTTTTTAAGGCGTCCCAAAAACGTGGTGCCCCCGAAAAAGTTGCGCAAGCAGCGCAAAGCCTAGGGCTTACGATAGATACTTAGCTAACGGACATATATGTGTACATATATATATATACATATGCATGTATACATATGGATGTATACCTATGGATGTATACATATGGATGTATCCATATGTATGTATACATATAATATATATATATAGACGTATGTGTGTGTAACCCCCCCTACGCACCTTTCGCCATAATATACATATGTATATATATATATTATATGTCAATGTATGTGTATATGTTTAGTATATGTATGTCTATTCAGATGAGATTATAGATATTTCAACCTATGAACCAATTATAAACCAACAATATATATATAGTTGTATGGGATGTTTTAACCAACTTGGAAATATCTAAAATCCCAGCTATATCCCTATGGAAATAATTACAGATAATCTAACATTATCTGTATCTTGCTATGGATGGAAATATCTAGAAATCATGATATATAACTAACCATATCTAAATATAAATATCAAAATGAAGTGGTTTTGTTCATGATGACTATTTTTAAATGATCTAACTGTATTTTACCAGGTCAGCCAACAATAGTTACAATAACTAGTGGGGCAAGAACAAACCGGTAAGCACTCAGCTCTTTTGAACCAACGCTACAGAGTAGATCGATGATATATACACTACATGGTTTTACTGCAGGAGTTTTTACACCCCCCTCGGGCGAGCAGGGACGACTGCGGAGAACGAATAACCCAGAAGAGCATACCCTCGCGGGTAGCCAAATCTGTTTATTTGGTTTTGGACATTTTATGCAGTCTTTCAAAGGTCCCTATAAAAAGCTCAAGCCCGTAAAACCCAGCGCAGCTTTGCAAGGAAGGCACATTACCATGCCGCATCTTGCGCTATGCTACAAAAGAAAATCATCGTCTACCTGCGGTTCCAATAGATCCACCGGCCGCCGGCCTCGTCACGGTAATACCAAGCCCCACGCCAGAAACTCCATTCTCGGCGTGCACCATAGTGATCACGATTCCAACTCCAGGAGGCATCCGGGCGACCGGAGCTTGCAGCCTTTGATGTGACTCCTGTGCTTGCTGCTTTTGCAGTGGGCGGTGTCTCAGGCTCCAAGAATGGTCGCGCTCCTGCTTTGGATGTTGGTGGTTCGGGTGCAAGAAATGGTGCATTGTTGGGGTCAACTGGGGCATCAGCGTGCGAGGCATCTGCGCGAGCAGAGCTTGAGGCGGCAGTGTCATCATGTGTGGTGACGGATGCATCAGCTTCGGCTTTGCGTTTTCGCTCAGTGGTGGGCGCGACCGTGGGGTCGGCCTTATGACCTCCAGGACCTCCAGCCTTTGCAGCGGCGCTCTGCTTCTCTTTGCGTTCAAGGTTTCCCCGAACCAATGGAAGATTTTCCTCATACACCTTTTCGAGGAATTCAAGAGTGCCATCAAAAGGAACTTGGACAGTGCCCTTCCAGGTCAAAAGGCCACGGAATGCGCCACGACGACCGATGTAGCTGACATATTCATCCTCTGTAAAATGTGGCGGCCGAACATGAATCCCCAGACCTTCTTCCATGTTTTGCGGAACTCAACTGGGAAACCATCAACACCTCGAGGCTGGGACATGAAAATCAACTTAGATAAGCAGTTTTCATTTTGGGCATTGGCGGCGACGCCAGCCGAGATCTGAGCTTTGGTCCTTGGGGGATCGGGGAGGTTGCCATATGCGAACATGTCGTCGAATATGCAGTCCTGCAGGTCCTTCCCCTCACCGTGGATGCGGTCGCAAAAAGTGACGTCGCTGGAGTATCTGTCTTCCACGTCCTCGTAGCCCAGCGCTTTTGCACGTCGATGCCTGTCGCGGCAGTCTTTGAGGACTGCTGATTCCACGGATGTGATTCCCCTGGGGCCCAGTTCCCGGCGAAGCAGATTGGCTTGCTCATCCGTCAAGGCTGTCAGCAAGCTTCCGCTCATTTTCCCAAACATTCCGAACCCGGCGAGACTTTGCATTCGCCGTTCAAGGATGCGTGTCCTCCTGTTGGGTTTGTCGGCCTCTTTTGTATCGCCACTTTCGTCCACTGGGAGTGGCTCATATCCACATGTGGTGCATGTCACTTGGCCACTGACGTACTCAACCTGGCAGAGGGGGCAAGAGCCCATGAAAGGTTCGCAGTACTTGGGTGCAATGTAAACACGGCGCGTCCTTGCGGGCGGCTGGTCAACTTGCATTGGGGCAGTGGCTGCATCATCATCAGTGGACTTGGCATCGGGTCGCCCCGTGCTGGTGTCATCCATTGGGTCGTCGTTTGCATCATCTCGGGCAGTCAGGGTGACCGCTTTGGATTTCGGTGCTGAGGCTGATTCCGCGCCTGTCCATGAGCTGGGCTCGAGATTGCTCTCGGCGCGGGACCAAAGCACCTGTCCTTCTTCTGAGATGCTGACCAGAAATTGCGGTGGAATGCGTTCTGAACACAAAATACCATCCATTTCTGTGCGACTAAAGATGACACCAGCTTCAACTGCTTGCCGCATCGCGATTTTGACTTCGACTGGACATTTTGCTCTTAATCCAGACCGATACCCCTGTGTGCCGATACAGGCCGATACAGTGTTCTGCCATGTAGATATGAGCACGGCCACTGTTGACTGTGTCACCGCCGCCTGGGATCAGGCCGTTCTGTGCGATGCTCTTCCAGCTGCTTCTCATCGTGCGATGGAAGACAACCTCAGGGACCTCAGTCATGGCACACAAGGGCACGCCAGTGAAGGCGGCTTTTCGCTCGGGGGATACTTGGTTTGAGCAATACACCATGGTTGAATTGGCATAAAGACCCCCGGCGGTTTTCAAGGCAGCTTCGGAATGACCCTGAATTGCACGGATTTTCACAGGATAATACGGCATGCCTAGGCCATTGTCGACAGGAAAATGGGAGATCTTTGCACACAAGAATTGGAACCTACTCTTGCCATGCTTGTCGATCTTCATTGCGGTGCCAAACAGGTTTGCGACAGTGATGAAAACATCTGGGGGCACTTCCTTGCGGAAGGCTTTGGCAAAATCCTCCAAGTCAATCCAAAGGTCTTTGTCCATTGGCACCTTGGCACAGGATCCATGCCCCCTGCAGACTTTGTTGACACGAGTTGCAAAATCAGAAAATTTCTTGTCGACACGAGTCTGGCCAGCAATGGTCTCAACGTCGGATGCCGATATCAGCTCCAGCTCATACGCCGTACCTTCAAAGAGGATACCGGGCACATCGTCCCCGTCTGCATTGGTCACCATTGTATATTGGTATTCAGGCAAATGCTCTTCCATCCAATATGCTTTCACGTGGCCGGATGCATGTCCCTCTAAGCGCGCAGTTGCCTGCGGCTGGTACTGGCTGGATGTGGCTCTCTTGTCATCTGCGGGCTCATCCAATGGTGCTGGTGCTGCTTTCGGTCGCGACTTCAACATGACCTCAGCCGTTTGGACCAGGATTGTTGCTCTGCTGGATGCAGCGGGCTCGCCGTCGCCGGCGGCCTTTGGAGGGTCATCTTTGGGAGGCTCAGCGAACGTGCCCGAAGGCATCGTCTTGGTGTCGATGTAGTCCTCAGTGTCAGGTTGTTGAGCTTCGACGTCCTCCTTGGTGAATGACCTGCCCGTCGGCGTGATGTGTCTTCGGGACTCTCCAAAAAGCAACTTGGTGATGTTTGCACATGTCTCCTGATAGGATCTTGGCAGCTCGTCCAGGACGGCGCTCATGTTCCTCCGCAAATCATCCCATGTCTCCTGGCCACACTGAGTAAGCTCCAAACCAATTCGGCCAACACGCCATCCGCAATCAATTGCGAAA